CTTAAAGCCTGAATTCTGAACCCTAACCCGAGGCGCCCGCGACCCTAAATCTCCAAAGGCCGAGCTCCGGCCTTCAGCAGCTCCGGAGTGAAACTCTGCAGTCGGCAGCACAAGGCGCGCGCTGCGTGGGGCCAGGAGAACTTCCGCCCGATCTGCAGTGCTTTTTTCTTTGGGTTTTCGATGGTTTAAATTAGAGTTTAGGGCGTAGGATGGTTTAGGGTCGTGGTGCTGTTTGTCGCGTTCTTGCGAGAAGGGCTTCGGGCTTGATTTTGCTTAGGGGTCTAGTGTTTAGGGTTTAGGGTGATCTAGCATGTGGTTCGTTGAACAAGCTCTACAACGAGATGTTGAAAAGCTTGACACAGGGGCCTCAACAGTATTTCTTTGTGGGGCTGCTGCAGGGCATGAAAAATCATTAAGGTTTTAATCGAGGAGCGGGAATTGAGGTTGAAAAGTTTTGGGACTTCGGCTTCAAACCGTTCGGACTGTGGGTTTTACAAGTTTCTGCTGCTTAGGATCTTGGGTTGAGGGATTTAAGGTTGCAAGCGTCCATTAATTGATTCATTGAGGGTTTGGTTCAGGGTTTACGGCTTCAGTCTTGAACGCTTACAGAAACCCTAAGCATCCAAGCACTTGAGCTTTCCTCACATGGTAGAATCTTGGGTCAGTTTTCCCGGTTATCAAGACTTTGCGTACGGACTCCTGGGATCTGACAGCACTGTGCAGCACAGCTGGCCTTGACACCAAACCCGAAGCCCCAACCGTAAACCCTCACTCTACCCCCCACTGTATTCATAAACTCCTCCACACCCCAAAACCTGGAACACAAAACCATAGTGCAATCCTGGCTCAACCCTTAAGCAGACCTTAGAGGAACCCTTACAGGAATCCTGTGGCAACCCTAGCTACAACCCTTCCCCAGAGAGCCCAATACCCCTTAATTAAGGAATATGGCTTACATGATATAGGGCTTCATAATATGATTTAAGCTATATTCCTCAATTAAAGGGTATTGGGCTCTCTGGGTAAAGGAACCCTTGAAGGAATCCCCTAAACCCTAAACCCTTAAAGGACCCCTCGAAGGAATCCCCTAGACCCCAAACCCTAAACAGAACCCTTCGCACCGTGCAAGTGGAGAGACGAACCGGTTCCAGGGCGGCGCTCAATGTGTTCCCTGCACTTCGCGGAAAAACTTGGAGGGAGGTTTAGGGTTTAGGGTTTTGGGTTGAGGGTTTTGGGTTCAGGGTTTTGGGTTTAGGGACTTAGTAAGTAGGGTTGGGCATAGGGGCTGCTTGTGCGTACTCTAAAAAAGATCCCAATTGAGGTCATGATACTTACAAGCATTCAAAACGTCCCCCGGCCCAAGTGGGGGCTTGGCGGTTTTTCTTGAGTTGTTTGAGGTGTTCTGAAGGATCGTAAAGCGTTTCACAAAGTAAGCTTTTTCCTTTTATTTTTAGTTGTTTGAGGCTTCATAATCAGGACTTTCTGAAGGGTTTCACAAATGGTATCCAAAGGCTCAAGAAGGTCTTTATTTAAGGAAAACCGCAGGTCTACAAGGTCCTATACTACTTCCATACGGTTTTCATGTGGTCTTTATTGGTATTTCCAAAATTAAAGGTTTGATAAGGCTTGATGCGCCTTCTTGAACCTTCTTGAACCTCACGAAACCACTACAAAGCCCCAAACCTCGAATCCCAAGTTCCAGACCCTTAACCTCTAAATCCCCACACCCATCATCTCTTGACAAACCCCAAACTTTCACCCGCAAGCTGCCATAAAACGCTGTATACTCTAATCATATAAACCCTATCATGAAACAATAAACCGTAAACGAACATAAAATTCTGTAAAGTACTATATAATAAGAGACTGAACTTTAAACCTGCACTGCACCTGCCAGGCCCATCGCCGCCCAGGTGGCGATTTTGTCGCTGCAGGTCAGTGGGCCCTGGCTAAAGAATTTGTTTTCGTTTTTGTGTTTAACCCGGAAGGTCCAAATACGCTTAGGGTTTAGGGGTTTCGGGCTTATAGAGTTCAGGGCTTACAGTGTTAGGGTTTAGGGTCCCCATCATTATGGAACTAGGTCCCCAAAACCACAATAATCAAGAATGGTTTTTTGGTACCTAATTCCATAATGGTAGTCTACATGGACCCTCTGGGTAATCTCTTCGGTACTGTTGGGGCCTTGATAAACATCAGGCTGTGGAGTACTAGAAGGTCCTGTAATGTAGTGCTGCATGAGGTGTGGGGGCTTAAGGTTGAGGGCAGATCATGGCTCACAAGGGACTCTCCGAGCTCTCATGGAAGGCGTTAACGGGCTTGCAAAGATGTTGCAAGCCTTGAACTAGCTAGCTTCAACATTGCATTTAGGCCTAAGATTCCTACTACATTGGGGACGGGAATTGCTCCTTAGTCAATGGGGTGTACAATCTATACGTTTCCTATGATGACCTTACAAGAAGCTTCTGCAAGCGTTCATGTAGCGTTTGAAAAAGCACTGACGAAACCCTGGTTCGATGAACAAGGAATAAAAGGCGGGACGACGGAATTTCCGCGCCATCTGAATCCAAAGCCTACGCAAATCGAACTTACGGTAGCAACAAGGCTGCACATCAAGGTTCCTACAGGGTACGTAACACGTTTGTGTAAGGTTTTCTATAAGGGTTCTAATCATGTTCTACCAGTCAGCGTTTAGGGTTAGGATGGTTTGGTGCTCAGGGGTGGAGTCGAACGGCCGTGGGGACCAGTTGACTCGTTTCGGGTTTAGGGTTTAGGGGTTTAGGGTTTAGGGTTGATTCGTGCGGGAACGTAGCTCTTCAAGCGGCTGCTGCTGCCACTGCTGCTGCAATGGACATTGAGTAGGACAGACACCTTGATCGCACAAACAAGACCACTGACAGCAAAGACGACCATCGAATGCTTCATCGGCTAACCCTTAAAGACACACTAAACCATTCAGAAACCCGTCTAGAACAGCTCTTGGGAACCCTCGTAGACCCCACCCTAAGGCCCCATAGTAGTTCGTTTTGGGGTTAATATTTGGAATTCTATAAGGTACTCCCCAAAAGGAACTACTATGGGGCCTATGGGTAGTTTCGGAGCGTTCATGAACCCCGGAGTCCTGCTTAGCGCTGCCCCAGGCGTGCAGAAACCTCGGTGGCTGTGGTTCGAGCTCGGCTGCAGGGCTCACACAACAAGTCTATGAGGGTGAGGCTTTCGGGTTTACGGCTCTATAAGTTAATAAGTGTTTTTGATGTGGGTTCTATGGGCTTTTATTCTGCAAAATATAACTTGTATAAGGGTTTAGGCGCTGGGGTTGCTGTTGCTCCATGCAGGGTGCTTCGATAAGGGCTTGAAGTGTATTCGAAGGGTCTTGAATTGTCAACTCAGTGTTAGATTTATTTTCCGCATCTGCAATGCTTTGTTTCACGCTTTTAGTCACAAACTTACATCCCACCCCACAGCCCACCAAAAGTCCCGAAACTGCGTGAGCAGCCTAGATACAACACTCACATCAACAGAGAGAGAGAGAGAGAGAGAGAGAGAGAAAGAGACAGCTAAACCTATGTACATTAGTATCCATATGTACATATGTATATGTATATGTATATGTTCTTACATGTGTGTAGACACAAATATATGTTGATAGGCAGATAGAAAGATAGATAGATAAAGAGATGGAGCGAGAGAGGGCGAGAGGGAGAGAGAAAGAGAGCGAGCGACACATGTTCATATATATATATATATAGATACATATATATATATATATATATATACATATGTATGTATACGTATTTAGCCAGCGAATCCCCGCCTAAAGCTCCTGAAACCTAGACGCTGCGCCCGGACACACCCCTCCCTAACCCTGACGCTACAACCTCCTTTTCGAACCCTGGCAGAATAGCTCACAACCCATCTACATGCCTCAAAAGAACCCTTAACGGAGCCCTAGAACTCCACAAACAAGCGGGCTCTTGTTAAGGATTTTAATCTAAGGTAAGATAATAGGTATCTGTAGCAGATAGTATGGTTCCTTCTTATGGTGCCTTAAATTGAACCCCTTAACAAGAACCCAGATAAAGCCCTGAGTAGTAAACCATCTTAAACTCGAATGCTGGAAACCACGGCACTCGGTACCAGCAGGTGTCTCGGCGTCTGGTACAGAAACGGCGGCCTCCATCTCGTCTTCGTTTTAAGGGGGTAGGGCTTCGAGAATGGTGCTTGTTTGACTGTTGCTTGTAATTCTGCCGCTCATGGTTGTTTCTTGTTGCTCTGCGTATCTTGGGGATGGTTGCGTTCTTGCTGCTATGATGTTTGCTATTATGGGTAATGCGGACGGACGAAAATCACGCAGACACAGGGACACTGGTTTCTACGGTATCATCAGGTAATATCAGGTATCAGCATTTCGGGGGTAGGCCCTACCCAACCCTTTGGAATGGCAAATAATTCTCCAACAAAATCCAGCCTTGCATGACAGACAACCTTCCAAGAGTAGAGTCGTAGAGAATTGCTACGGCCCTGTGGGGGCCAGGGCACAAAATTCTTGGACCGCCTGAAAATCGGATTCCTGGAAATGGTATATTTACAGCTTCGAGACTACATACATCTTGGATGGATGGATCGGGACAACATAACAGTATGATTCTGCTGGTTTTTCGACGAAGCAGAGCACACGCGAGATGAACACATGGCACATATCTGCTCTTTTGAAGCAGAAAGCCATCGAATGCAGCGGGAGGCATGCAGGGATCCACGCTGGCCTGATTCGTGGGCGTTGTGGGACTGAATGGCAGACTTGGGCAGGGCGAGTTCGACATCAACTCGGAGATAAGCTGCGCAAGAGAGAACCCGTCAACAAATGATGCCTTAAATTCGAGATCACACAAGTCTTTGGACACGAAGCTCGCCCTGAACATGCCTCCGCAAGGAGGGAATGCACCTAAACAGAACTTGGTTAAGTTCCTGCGCTGTACCGTGCTGCTCAGCGCATCCGGGGCTTCTCAGCCCGCTCTCTCTTTCTCCTGCTGCTTTCGCCAGGCCACCGCCTGCTTCCAGGCCTTCTCCGCCTCCTTCGGCGAGAAGTCCTTGGGGCGGAACCTCATGTGCTTGCCTTGGCATCTTGCATGCCAGGCCTGCTCACCGGGGACCCATTTGATGCCCTTCTGCGGCCCGAGCGGCTCGAAGTGCGGGAGCTCCGAGAGCGGCTTCACCGGCACCAGCTCCTCCTGCAACCCCAACTCCTTGGCCAGGTCCCGGGCCCTGGCCTCCGCCTCCTCCTTCAACTTGAAGTAGCCCCCACGCACTCTTTTGTTGGAGGAGGGGTCCAGGAGCTGTACCTGATAGCGTCCCCCATTTCGTTTGTCGTAGGTGACACCACGAACTGAAGAGCCGGAGGCCTTCTCCGTGATGGGCTTCGGCGGCGTCAGCTTGCCGAGGCGCACGAGCTCCTCGCGGAAAGCCTTGGCCTCCTCGAGGGCCGCCTCCGAGGCTTCGGCCTCGCTGAGGCCCAGCTTCATGTGTTTGGAGATGGGGAAATTGAAAACCTTCACCTTGCCGGCTTTCTTGCATTGAATCCGCCAGGCCGACAAATCCATCCTCCAAGAGATATTTTGGATGCCGCTCTGGCGCTCCAGGCCTCGGAACTGCTTCGTCACGACCTGTCCAGGCCCAGTGGGCTCCACCTGCCTCGTCGACTCCAAGGGCTTCTGCTCGCCGGGCTCCGGGACGGAGCCCACAGACTCGAAGATCTCGAGGCCCTGCATGGCTGAGCCTCCGCCGGTAGGCGAGAGCTTCATCATGCCGTCCTCCACGAGCAGCCAGCCATTGCCAGCCCAAGCTCGCGTGGGAAGGTCCCGCATCCAAGGCCACATCTTCATGCACTCAGCTGCTCGGTGCTGATTGCCGGTTGAGCTCCTGTCAGCCTGTGGCCTGGATCCAGCAGTGGTCTCTGGCTGTCGCTCGCTGTTTGGGTCACTGTTGTCATGGAAGAGGGCATGGTGTGGATTCTCGCGGTAGAAGTCGCGCAACTCTCTGAACTGCTCTTTGCCGAGGAGCTGCACGCATGCTGTTGCTTTGTCTCTTACACATCCTTGCCACGGAGCGCCTGCTAATCCGAGAAACGGGCTGGCCGGACAGCAGGGCTTCGTGGGCAGCCACGTCTTACCAGAGGATTGAAATGCTAGGCATTTCTGCACCCACTCTGTCAATCGCGACTCGAAGGATGAAACAGAGACGTCAGGACTCTTCTGGCTCAATCGACGTCTCTTCGGCCCCGGCTGCTTGCAGTCCTCTTGCTTAACTTGCAGAGGCTGCTCCTCATCCACTTTCTCCTGCTTTATGCCAGTCCTTAATGGGGAGGCAATGTCAGCAATTCCACAAGCAAGTCAGTAGAGTCAGCAGAAAAAGCGGCACCGCGATCTCGAGTTCTACCACAGAACATAGCCCATGAAACTACAACACAGTTCAAGAACTGCTAGAAACCGACGCTCAGAACTGACTGCTGCGAAAGCTTATACTAGCTGCAAAAGAGGCGTCTGGTTTCAGACCTCCACTGTAGGAGTGAAGGTGACACAGTGTCGTGCACCAGTCGCTGTGCACAGTGTAAACCCTGCTGAACTATGACTGCAAGGCAAGGCGAGGGCTCAAGATAGAAGGAAGAGTTTGGTGAGGTTGCACGCAAGCGCCAGGATGGACTAGCTCCTGGCAGCCCTTCCATGGCTCGAAGATACACTTTACAAGGCCGAAGCCTGAAACCCCAAGACCGTACAGCCCAGTTACACCGAAAGCCCTCCACTCTGCCCATAGCCCGGTGTCACACTGAATAGACTCGCAGCATACAAGGTTCCTGACCGCTGCCAAGCCTCGACTCGCTGTGCGACTTCTTGTCCTCCGTGATGGGGGAGACAGGCGAAAGACTGCATGTTCGAGCATTGCGTGAGTCTTGTGCGGACGCCTGTTTGACGCCATGAAAGCACCAAGATGCACCAAGCCCTTGCCCTTTCACTTGCACGCATGGAACGCAAGGTGTAGAACTTACCGTCACCCCAAGTTGTATCCTCAGGTCCTGGATGCGAAAATCCAGGCCCCAAGCCAAACACAGCACTGCTAAACAAACATGACCAGCCATGATATGGTACTGATAACAAGACTGCTGGTAGAGTATCACAAGACCTTCATCGCATCCCAGAACCTGGTGTCAACAACTAGAACTTCACCGAGTAAATCCGGAAAACAACGGTCTTGTTGATATCGTTCTACTTCAGGTGTTCCAGGTGTCGGAGACAAACAACACTCATCGATCTTAGAGGGATAGGCACTGAGACGACGACAGCAGTAGCAGCAGCAGAAGTACGGCCCGTGCACACTCTTCGTCGCAAGACGATTTTTGTTGTTTCGAACGACATGCAGCAGCATCGGCAATCGCAGGAACCTCAAACAGCAAGCCGTCAACTATCTCTGAAGATCAGGGTGCCCACAGCCGAGCTCAAAATGCAGACCCGATCTAAACCCGGCAGACATGTTCACAGGAGTCCTCCTGCTTCACTTCATGCTTGATCTCAGCCTTGACCTTCCAAGTAAAGCAGCAGTTGCGAATGACAGCTGCGTACATCGCCTCTCAGTGTAGCCGCATTGTCGGTTGTCGTTCACTTCAAGTCCAGACACCCTGACACCTGACACCCCAAAGCCTGCTCTGAGGTGCCCTAGGCAAATGCACTCATGTTTACTCCGCTACTCCATGGCCTTGAGTGTCCGATAGTGTTCACGACCTAGATAGCCCGGGCAACGCTATCCGGAACAAGCGACGCACGACTCGTTGCGGCACAAAACTATGCGCTTTACAAACTATGCCTTTGCGCTATGCATTCCGTACTCGTCTCGCAGATTCAGCTCTATCACCATATACATATATATATATATATATTTATTTATTTATTTATGAATATATTCTTTATATATATATGTATGTATGTATGTATGTATGTATGTATGTATGTATGTATGTATGTATGTATGTGTATACGTAGACGCTTACATGCGTGTACATGAAGCCAGCGGGTCTAACATGTAGTGATTTAGGTCTTAGGGGTCCAGCATGGCGTCGTGCTTTGGTGCCTACACCTCTACACATGGATCTACAGCATCTTTCCAGGTGGCCTCTGTGCGCATTCTTCGACGAGAGCTGACAACCTCCGTTGGGCTTGGGTTCAGGTTTAAGGAGGAGTTGGTCTGCAGACCTTACGAAGTCAAGCCTGACAAACCCTCTGCTGACAATCACCCTAGAAGAGCCTTTCAAACTTAAAAAAACGTTGTGGCCAAGTCCCCGAGCCAATGGACAAAAGGCAGAACAGTATTGTCTTGAGCACGTATGATGTTGTTCCAGGGTAGACTCGTTCCAAGGCTACTCTAAGGCGCCAAAGTAGTTCCTTTTGAGGGGTCATATAAAGAATCCTATTAGGTAATCCCCAAAAGGAACTACTTTGGGGCCTATGGCTACGCAACCAACCCCCCGAAGCCGCAACTGAAAACGGATGCAGCAGTGGACTGTTCAGGAACATCGAGGCCTCCAGGTAGGGTTTAGGGTTTAGGGTTTAGGGTTTGGGGGTTTCTGGTTCAAGTCGAGTGTACAGTGTTTTATGCTCCGATTTTTTTGGAGTGTAACTCAGAACTAATGTAGTACAATGCTTCTTGTTGCGAGCTGTAAATTTTGTCTGGAACAGTTGTCGGAGGGGCATTCACCGGGTCTGTTATTGTATTCATCCCGACTATACCTCAAACCATGATGGTTAAACATATTATGAATACGTTCTAGACACCGTCATATGTCATTGCTACATTTCAATTCCCCGTCTCTTCTGTCGCCTCGTTGCTCTCTTCCTTCACTTCCATATCTGCATCTTTCGAAACCTCCTCCTTCACCTCCTGCTTGATATCCTTCCAGCGCTGAGCCGCCACATGCTGGTTGAAGCTGGTTTTGCATTGTGCACACCGGCCGAATGTCTGCTATGTCTCGAAACTCATGGACATCCGTTCTCAACTCAAACCGCTGGGTCGCACCCAAGTCACTAATCAGCTGTTGCAGCTTGACGTCTGAGTATCATGACCTGAACACTTTAAATGATCAGCCCTAAAACCCTGAAGCCTCAGCGCTGGGCCTCATTCCTTAAGTAATAAACCCGAGCCTGAAGCCTACTAGGTCGGGTGTGATGAGAAAATAAGCCATGTCAGCGTCCCAGGATTGGGGCTGAATAAAGCCTGGATCTTGGGCGCAATTCCCTTACAGATAAAACCCTGAGGGCCTATATGGGAGTTTCCGAAAATTAGGGGTGCCTTCTTTTGGTGCCTTATATTAAGGATCCTACTATTTAGGGTACTATATTAGGGTCCCCTATTTTCGGAAACTCCCATATAAAGCTGACTGTGTAACATTACTGAATTACTGACTGGTACAGTCACCAGGAAGACTAGCATCGTGGCATGACACCAACATATTTCGCCATGGTACTCCCTTCAACCTGAGTGAGCCTGAGTGACCCCCTCTCACAACTGAATCCGCACATCGAGTCCCACGAGCCTTGCGTGTCGTCTCCTCCTTGACTTCCACCTTGCAGTCCTTGGACGACCCCTGCTTGATCTCCGTCTTTACTTTCTTCTGCACATCCTGCGAAGCCTCCTCCTTCACCTCTCTCTTCATATCCTTCAGGCAATTCTGCAGGTCAAAACTCCGTCGGAATTATCTTTGCAAACTACCGGTCAAAGCCGGGCAAGTTTCTGAATTCTCTAGCCCGTCTAAGCCCGATCCTTACACCGCCTGGAAGTCTGAACCATTGCGATAAAAACAAGCCGCTTGCTTCGTCCCGAGCATGCAACGGTTCACAGTTCTGGCAGCCCTGAAAATTCTACAAATACCAGACCTTCCAAAATCCCTTAATTAAGGAATATCCCTTAAATTATAGTAGGATCCTACTATAAGATTTAAGGTATATTCCTTAATTAAGGGATTTTGGAAGGTCTGGGATACAACCGGGTCTTCGGTTGCCGTGAAAGAGCGAAGAAAGGCTACAACAACAACGGCAACGATTGTTTGGCATCGCATTGTCATAAGCACAATACGAATCTCTGGTCTGACAGTGCGTGCTGCCGTTCGACAGCAAACATAATCTGAGGATATCTGAGGTAATGAATGAAGAGACAAGAACACAAGTAAACCCGACATGTGAAACCGGAGTCTGCGTCCTTACCGATGGTTGCTTCGCTCCAAGACAAAAGCGCAAGCAAGCGAAGTCATCCCTTAACCCCAAACCCTGAATCCTTGAATCCCTACAAACCCTAAACCTGAATCAGCACATGGGTGGTGATCAAAATTAGGGTCCCATTTTGGGGTACCCTAAATAATAGGTGCCGTACTCTATTAGGGACCCAAAAAGGGACCCTAATTTTGACAACTACCCACATCCCTAAGGTCGCAAACCATGCAAAGAGCTTCGTCCCTACTCGCCTCCTGAAGCTCCAACTTGGTCTCAGCTGCCTTGCCCGTCTTGCTTTCTTGCTCCTGCCACGACCCTCCTATGAAGGGTTTGGGGGTTTAGGGTTTAGGGGTTTAGGGATTTAGTGTTATATAAGACTTTCAAATCCTGATAACACTAGAACCATGCATTGGGATCTAGTTTGCTAGGTTTGGGGGGGTCTTAGTAACAGTCAGCGGCTCATCAACTGAAAAGTAATGCTTTCAGATGATCGTCCTAAAGCACCTACATGACCAATCATGCATCTGCCTCAAACTCTTGCGTGACTTCATCCTTCACTACCGGGCTTAGGATTTAAGGCGTCAGAGTTCTAGGTGGGAGTTTCCGAAAATAGGGGACCCTTCAATAGTACCCTCAATAGTAGGATCCTTATTATAAGGACCCCAAAATAAGGTACCCCTAATTTCGGAAACTCCCAGGTAAAGTTCGAGGATGAAGGCTCTGGGGTTTAGGATTTTGGAGCCGGCAGGGCATTGATTCTCGGAGTACTGTCGTACCGGGCTTGACTAGGTGGCCCTCTTTCATCTGAGCCGGGCAGGGCCAATTTCGGATCTTGGCATCTCTTCCCAGACTCCCGAAAAACATCTAGAACGTAGATCTAATTTGGGGCCCTATACTAAGGGTACTTTATAGGAACCCCCATTAAGGGATCTACTTTTTGGATCCTCCCGCGGGTCTGGGTTGGGGCGCCCCGTTCCTGTGTTCCGGAGTCGACCGGACTTGCTTTATTGTTTGCTTTTCCTTCCGCTAGAAATTGATGGAGACTCTTAGTTGAGTAGAGGTTAATGACGGGAGGCCAAAAGGGGGGTTTAAGATTCTTGGGGTGGGGATTCCTTAATATGAACCCCACTATGGGAACCCTAATCCCTACTACGCTAAAACCCCTTTTGGCCTCCTATGAGTTAAGAAGAGGACCCCTCAGGCTTGGTTTTGGATGGGCTTGGAGCCTTTTCTGAGGATGTTTACAAAGCTACTGCGCCTAATCTACGACCAATGTTTCAATCTGTACTACTGTATTTATGATGAACTGCTACTGCGTTACTGTGCTACTCTACTGACTCTTATATAATGTACGATTGCTGTGCTAATGCACTCATTACTGCTCCGCACACTATTCAAGGCGCCGGGACATGTCTTCGTGGGCCACGGCACAACATTAGGGAGGTTTATGTGCGGAATGCTTTTGATTGCAGGTTTGTGCGTTGCAGGACATGTCGCTATGTATTGCCTCTTGTGGAAACATAAGCAGCTGGGATTCTTCTAGCTCGACAGACGCAAGCCCAGGGTCCTCGCATTAAGTGTTCAAAGCTGAGGACCGCAATGCTGAATCCCCTGTGCCTCGATCTTCTTCGTCACTTCTTCCTTGACTTGCCGAGGTCCGGCTCGCTCCTGTGGTTTCAGAGCAAGACAGACATGAACATATCATGTCATGAAGTTCATGGTGAGCTACCTGCCAACACATCTGAAATCGGTGCAGGATTCCCACGACGTCCGGAGGTTGGGCCAAGACAAGAGAAGCCCCTGACCCCCCCGAGCCTAGACCTCACATGCATGCCCAGCTTGAAACATGTCGAGCTCACACTCCAGCCTCAGGCTGGTTAGAACTCCCGGCCCTGGGGTTCTGAATAAGGACTTCATACGCTCCGAATGGGTTCAAGACTTGATTGAGGGCCAAAACATTGGCGGCTTTGTGCCAACCCGAAGCCCCCCAAGCTAAGCCCAGAATGAAGTCAGCTCCACGCTATCGCAGAGGAAAGACCTGTATGCCCTGCATATCGAAAACGCCAGAAAAGAAGGCTTCGCCCAGAGGTTTCTATTCAATCAGCACCCACTCTAAACACATACCTCCGATTCTCCGGAGAATTGTAGTGTAGCTAGTATGTACTGATGTAGTAAAGACTCAAAGGGGATACTCTTACCAACTACACCCCGAGAGTGTCTCGACCCTGAACCGTAAACCCTCTTCTCCTGGCTGTCAGCGCAATTCTCGATCCATTCCTGACAGCGTATAGTAGGGTTGGTACTTCGTGACTTGCATCTTGGCAGTAGGTGCCCACTCACAGGGAACACCACCACAAAACAACAGCTACACAGCAACCTGCAGCGGCATCCGGCGCGTTAGGACCTACTGGAGAGCAGCCAGCGCTATATGCACGTTGAATGGGTTTCCATGATCTTCCGCAGGGTTTCCGGAACACGAGATGCTTCAAACACAAGACCTTACCCATGGGCCCCAAAGTAGTTCCTTTTTGCGATTACCTTATAGGATTCTATATACGAACCCCAAACAGGAACTGCTTTGGGGCCTTAGCGTAGTGCCACAACCCTGAACACCTACCCCACGAACCCCCTCAAGTCTGCTATCCAACTCGTGCGCCCCGAATCCAACCAGGATCCCCCAATGGCCCTTAATAGTAGGGATTTTGGGGTATATTAGACGATAGTTATTCCTGGAATACAATACCCCGACGAACTCGTGCCTAAGCCCCAAACTTTTGACATTGAAGCCTACATCCGTCCCCTAAACCCTAAACCCAAGACCCTAAATCCTAAACCCTAAACCCAAGAAGTGCATGTCTCGGACCCTGTGGACCGAAATGGATCGCAAAAGCTGCACTACTGCAGTGTACCAGGAACTCCAGAAAGTTGGAATATGGAATAATGGCAGGATCCCCTATAATTTATTTTAAAGGGAGTATGATAATGATATTCCAACTTTCTGGCTTCTACTGTAGCTGTTTTGCAAGATACTCTACCCTAAGGCCCCAAAGTGGTTCCTTTTGGGGGTTCATATTAAGAATCCTATAAGGTACTCCCCAAAAGGAACTACTTTGGGGCCTATGGGTACTGTGCATTCGCTGTGTTTAGACCCCTTGAGGCGAAACCATGACGGCTTAGCGTAGAGCGGTTCAGAAATCTATAGGTTTAGGGTTTAGGGTTTAGGGTTTTATAGTTCAGAATAGTCGTTGATCAGTTGGTATGCTAAACACATACTGCCAGCTACCACGTCTGTTATGATAATGACGACTACTACCCATAGGCCCCAAAGTAGTTCCTTTTGGGGATTACCTTGTAGGATTCTTAACATGAACCCCCAAAAGGAACCACTTTGCGGTCTTAGGGTATCGCCGTTTTCGTTACGCAGCTTGCCGGGGTTGGGGCTTGGGTTTCGCTTCGGACTGCTGATACGTCGATGTCCAACTCCGCAACCGCCTGAACCCAGGCCCCTTAAGCCTTAATGCAGGGGCCTTAATGCTTAGAAGAGGGTTCCTTTTAAAGGGCCTATGAGGGTTGCTATTAGGGATCCATAAGGGTACAAAAATGTGGGCCCTAATAGTTAGAGTAGGGTTTTGTAAGGAACCCCCCCCACAACAGTATAGGTAGTTATTTAAGCCCCTATATAAGACAATCACAACCTGTACACAAAACATCCTGCAAGACTAAACGATAAGCCGAAGCCTGGAAGACGTACAAAGCGGCTCAAAGCCCGCCAAGACAGAGACAACTTAACCACATGCCCTGTCCTGCCAACCCTAAACTCTAAGTGGTACACCCGAAACCCGAAACCCTGAATCCTCAACCCTATAAAGCCTAAGCCACTCGAAAGCAGAACACTAACTTTCGACCAGTCTGACAGAACCCCCGAACTCTAATTACCACGTTCCTGACTCCCGAACTACCATAAAAACCCCGGAAACCTATGATGCCAGACGACTTGAGGATATTCAGGATGAAGGGATTAGGTTGCCGTCGAGGCCTAGGGTGTGGGGTTTAGAGTTTAGGGGTTTAGGGGGTTTAGGGTTTAGGGCTTTAGGGGTTGAGGAGTTTGGGGTTCAGGGGTTTAGGGGGCCTTCCGCTGCTGCCGTGGACGAGGTTTGCGCTGCTTGGCAATGTTGACCGACAGAACTACCACCTCAGCACCAGAAGTTTACGAAACTGTACTCTCTCCCTAGTAAGCTTAGCGCTTTACAGTTGTCGCGAGACTTGTAGCGATTCTGCGGTTATATCAAGCGGATTCCTGAAACGGGGAGTACCTGGACCCGTAGGGTGAAGCATGTTCAGGAAAGTCGCATCTGCGGAAGCCATGGCACGGTCTCGTGCAACAGTGGACTCTTGAGCCGCTCTGCACGGCCAACTAGATTCAGTCCAAGGGTAAAAGGAGGGACCCTTAATAAGGACCCCTACCAGATGCCCCGCTTTGCTTAGCGGACTTGTAAGTTAGGATGCAAGGCAAGTTATAAATTTGGTAACCTACACATAAAGTATGTTAGGCTACTTATAAGTTCGATAAGTTCGCTTGGACATATATGTTACTAAGGCTACTTCGCCGGAGGTTGTAAGTGACTTATAGTTATGGCGTCCAAAATACATAGAATGAACTTAGCTTTGACTTAGGATGGACTTACAAAATAGTTTTTTAGCATGATTGCTGTCATCTCTGCAGCTTGGGCTCGCCAATACAACATAACAGTATGATTCTGCTTGTTTTTCGACGAAGCAGAGCACACGCGAGATGAACACGTGGCACATATCTGCTCTTTTGAAGCAGAAAGCCATCGATGCAGCGGGAGGCATGAAGGGATCCACGCTGGCCTGATTTGTGGGCGGTGTGGGACTGGATGGCAGACTTGGGCAGGGCGAGTTCGACACCAAATCGGAGATAAGCTGCGCAAGAGAGAACCCGTCAACAAATGATGCCTTAAATTCGACATCACACTAACCCTTGGACATGAACTCGGCCTGAACATGATTCCACCGTGAGAGAATGCACCTAGACAGAACTTGTTTAAGTTCCTGCGCTGTACTGTGCTCCTCAGCTCTTCTGAGACTGCTCGGCCTGCTCCTTCTCCTTCTCCCGCCGCTTGCGCCAGGCCACCGCCTGCTTCCAGGCCTTCTCCACCTCCTTCGGCGAGAAATCCTTCGGGCGGAACCTCATGTTCCTCTGCTTGCTGGCCACATTGCAGGTTGCATGCCAGGCCTGCTCACCAAGGTTCCACTTGATTCCCTTCTCCGGCCCGAGCGGCTCGAACTGCGGGAGCTCCGAGAGCGGCTTCACTGGCACCACCTCCTCCTGCACCCCCAACTCCTTGGCCAGCTCCCGGCCCCTGACCTCCGCCTCCTCCTTCACCTTGAACCTGCCTCCATCTAACCTTTTCCCATTGTTAGTGGGGTCTTGTATTTGGACCCTCCAATTTCCCGCCTGTCTGTCGTAAAAAACACCTGGCACCGTCGAGCTGGAGGCCTTCTGCGTGATGGGCTTCGGTGGCTTCAGCTTGCCGAGGCGCACGAGCTCCTCGAGGAAAGCCTTGGCCTCCTCGAGGGCCGTCTCCGAGGCTTCGGCCTCGCTGAGGCCCAGCTTCATGCGTTTGGAGATGGGGAAGTTGCAAGCCTTCCGCCCTTTGCCTTCCCACCATTGAACGCGCCAGCCTGCCAGGTCTTTGCGCCAGACAATTCCCTGGATGCCGCTCTGGCGCTCCAGGCCGCGGAACCTGCTCGTGACGACCTGAGCTCCCGGCTCGACCTGGCTCGTCGACTCCAAGGGCTTCTGCTCGCCGGGCTCCGGGACGGAGCCCACGGACTCGAAGATCTCGAGGCCCTGCATAGCGGAGCCACCTCCGGTCGGCGAGAGCTTCATCATGCCGTCCTCCACGAGCAGCCAGCCATTGCCGGCCCAAGCTCGCGTCGGAAGATCCCGCATCCAAGGCCACATCTTCATGCACTCAGCTGCTCGGTGCTGATTGCCGGCTGAGCTCCTGTCGGCCTGCGGCCTGGATCCAGCAGTAGGCTCTGTCTGTCGCTCGCTGTTTGGGTCACTGCTGTCATGGAAGAGAGCATGGTGTGGATTCTCGCGGTAGAAGTCGCGCAACTCTCTGAACTGCTCTTTGCCGAGGAGCTGCACGCATGCTGTTGTCTTGTCCCTCACGCATCCTTGCCACGGAGCTGCTGCTAATCCGAGAAACGGGCTGGCAGGACAGCAGGGCTTTGTGGGCAGCCACGTCTTGCCAGAGGATTGAAATGCTAGGCATTTCTCGGCCCACTCTGTCAATCGCGACTCGAAGGATGGAACGGAGACGTCCGGACTCTTCTGGCTCAATCGACGCCTCTTCGGCCCAGGCTGTTCGCAGTCCTCTTGCTTAACTTGCACATCATCGACTTGCTCCTGCTTTATGCCAGTCCTTAGTGGGGAGGCGGCAACGTCAGCAATTCCACGAGCAATTCTGTAGAGTCAGCAGAAAAAGTGCCACCGCAATCTCGAGTTCTACCACACAACATAGCCCATCAAACTACAACACGGTTTAAGAACTGCTAGAACCGACGCTCATAACTGACTGCTGCGAAAGCTTATACTAGCTGAAAGGGAGGCGTCTGGTTTCATTTCAGACTTCCACTGTAGGAGTGAAGGTGGCTGAGTGTTGTGTACCGGTCGCTGTGTACAGTGTAAACCGTGCTGAACTATGACTGCAAGGCAAGGCGAGGGCTCAAGATAGAAGGAAGAGTTTGGTGAGGTTGCACGCAATTGCCCAAATGCGAGGATGGACCAGCTCCTGGCATGGCTCATTTTACAAAGCCGAAACCTGAAACCTCAAGATCTTACAGCACAGTTGCGCCGAAAGCCCTCCGTTCTGCCCATAGCCCGGTGTCTGAATAGACTCGCAGCATACAAGGTTCCTGAGCGCTGTCAAGCCTCGACTCGCTGTGGGACTTCTTCTTGTCCTCCGTGATGGGGGAGACAGGCAAAAGACTGTATGTTCTGAGTCTTCTGCACACATCTGCACACGCCTGTTTGACGCCATGAAAGCACCAAGATGCACCAAGCCCTTGCACTATCACTTGCAAGCATGGAGCGCAAGGTGTAGAACCTACTGTCACCCCAGGTCATATCCTCAGCCCCTGGATGCGAAAATCCAGGCCCCAAGCCAAACAAAGCACTGCTAAACAAACATGACCAGCCATGATATAGTACTGATAGCAAGACTGCTGGCAGAGTATCACACGAGCTTCATCGCTTCAAAGAACTTGGTGTCAACGACTAGAACTTCACCGAGTATAGCCGGAAAACACCGGTTTTGTTGATATCGTTCTACTTCAGGTGTTCCAGGTGTCAGAGACAAACAACACTCATTGATCTGGGAGGGATAGCACTGAGACGACGACAGCAGTAGCAGCAGCAGAAGTACGGCCCGTGCGCACTATCCGTCACAAGACGATTCGCGATCAACGACATGCAGCAGCATCGGCAATCGCAGGAACCTCAAACAGCAAGCAACAAATCAACTATCTCTGAAGATCTGAGTGCCCGCAGCCGAACTCAAAATGCAGACCCGACTTTAGCCTGGCAAACAGGTTCACAAACCGGAGGCCTCCTGCTTCACTTCATGCTTGATCTCAGCCTTGACCTTCCAAGTAAAACAGCAGTCGCAAATGACAGCTGCATGCGTAGCCTCTCAGTGTAGCTGGTTATCTTCTCTCTCGAATGTCGGTAAGCGTACGCTGTAAGTCCAGACACCCTGACACCTGACACCCCAAAGCCTGCTGTGAGGTGCCCCAGGAGTGCACAAGCAGATGCACTCATGTGTACTTTTCTACTCCATGGCCTTGGGTGTCCGACAGTGTTCTCAAAGCCTGACAACCCAGATAGCCCAGACAACGCGATCCCGCACAAAACAACGTACGACTCCTCGCGGCACTTGAAGTATTGTGCTTTACCAACTATGCCTTGAACACGTCTGCGCTATGCGTTCCGTACTCGTCTCGCAGATTCCGCTCTCGTATAGATGTTTACATGCGTGCACATGCAGCCAGCGTGTCTAACATGCAGGGATCTAGGTCTAGGGGGTCCAGCCTTGCTTCGTGCACCTCTACACATGGATTCTGATGCATCTTTCCGGGTGGCCTTCGTGCGCCTTCTTCGACGAGAGCTGACGACCTCCATTGGGCTTGGGTTTAAGGTTTAAAGAGGAGTTGGTCCGAAGACCTTAGGAAGTCATGCCTGGCAAACCCTCCGCTGACAATCTCGATGAAACCGAATCCAGCAATGGACCTGACCGACTGTGTAAGAATCAATGTATAAGCCTTTCAAACTTAAATCACTTGGTGGCTAAGTCCCCAAGTCTTTGCACAAAAGGCAGAACAGTATTTATCGTCTTGAGCATGTATAATGTTGTTCCAGGGTAGACTCGTTCCAAGGCTATGCAACCAAACCTCAAGTGAGAACGGATGCAGCGGCGGACTGTTCAGGAACCTCGAGGCCTGCAGCGGAGCTAGCCCCAACCGGGTGTTTCTGGTTTAAGTCGAGAGTACAGTGTTTTGTGCTCCGTTTGTTTTTCGAAGGTGACTCAGCGCTAACATAGTATGCTTCTTGTTGCGACCTGGAAAATGTCTCAAACACTTGCCGGATGGGCGTTCACCGGGTCTGTTATTGTATTCATCGCGAAATGTGGTTAAACTGTTCGCGCGAATACGTTCCGGACAACGTAATACTGCATTGCTACAAGTTCATTCCCCGTCGCCTCGTTGCTCTCTTCCTTCACTTCCATATCTGCATCTTTCGAAACCTCCTCCTTCACCTCCTGCTGGATATCCTTCAAGCGCCATGATGTCACATGCTGGTTGAAGTTGGCTTTGCATTGTGCACACCGGCCGAATGTCTGCTAGTGTGCGACTCAGAATCTGCAGTGTCTCGAAACTCATGGACGTCCGTTCTCAACTCAAACTCCTGGGTCGTACCCAAGTCACTAATCAGCTGTTGCAGCTTGACGTCGGAGTATCATGACCTGAACACTTTAAATGATCATCCCAAAAACCCTGAAGCCTCAGCGCTGGGCCTCATTCCTTAAGTAATAAACCTGAACCTGAAGCCTACTAGGTCTTCTGCGATGAGAAATACACCCTAAACCCTAAAATAAGCCACGTCAGCGTCCGAGGTTTGGGGCTGAAAAAACCTGGATCTTGAACTCAATCACCAGACAGATAAAACACTTAGGGCCTAAATAAAGCTATATAAAGCTGGCTGTGTAACATTACTGAATTACTGACTGGTACAGTCACAGGGAAGACTAGCATCGTGGCGTGACAACAACATCCTTCCGCCATGGTACTCCCTTCAACCTGAGTGAGCCTGAGTGCGCCCGCCCCCTCTCACAACTGAATCAGCACATCGAGTCCCATGAGCCTTCCGTGTCGTCTCCTCCTTGACTTCCACCTTGCAATCCTTGGACGACTCCTGCTTGATCTCCGTCTTTACTTTCTTCTGCACATCCTGCGAAGCCTCCTCCTTCACCTCTCTCTTCACATCCTTCAGGCAGTTTTGCAGGTCAAAAGGCTTCAAAGTCCGTCGGCACGGGGCCGCAAGGCCCCCATCCTCAAACTACCGGTCACAGCCTGACAAGCTTCTGAATTCTCTCAGCCCGATCCTTAAACCGCCTGGAACTCTGAACCATTGCGATAAATACACTTCGTCCCGATCATGCAACCATTCACAGTTCTGTCAGCTCCCTAATTTCGACAAATAAATACAACCGTTCTTCGGTTACGGTCAAAGAGCGAACTAAGGCTGCAACAACGATTGTTTGGCATCGCATTGTCTTATAAGCACAATACGAATCTCTAGTCTGAAAGTGCGTGCTGCGGTTCGACTTCAAAAATAATCTGAGGTAATGAAGAGACAAGAACACAAGTTAAGTAAACCCGACATGTGAAACCAGAGACTACGTCCTTACCGATGGTTGCTTCGCTCCAAGACAAAAGCGCAAGCAAACGAAGTCATCCCTGAACCCTACACCCCGAATCCTTGAATCCCTACAAACCCTAAATCTGAATCAGTACATGGGTGGTATCAAAATTAGGATCCCTTTTTGGGGTACCCTAAATAATAGGTGCCGTACTATATTAGGGACCCAAAAAGGGACCCTAATTTTGACAGCTACCCACATCCCTAAGGTCGCAAACCATGCAAAGATCTTCGGCCCTATTCGCCTCCTCAAGCTCCCACTTGGTCTCAGCTGCCTTGCCCGTCTTGCTTTCTTGCTCCTGCCACGACCCTCCTATGAAGGGTTTGGGAGTTTAGGGTTTAGGGGTTAGGGATTTAGGGTTATATAAGAAATTTCAATTCCTGATAACACCAGAACCATGCATTGGGATCTAGTTTGCTAGGTTAGGGGGGGCTTAGCAACAGTCAGCGGCTCATCAGCTGAGAAGTAATGCTTTCAGATGATCGTCCTAAAGCACCTACATGACCAATCACGCATCTGCCTCAAACTCTTGCGTGACTTCATCCTTCACTACCGGGCTCAGGATTTAAGGCGTCAGAGTTCTAGGTGGGAGTTTCCGAAAATAGGGGACCCTTCAATAGTACCCTCAATAGTAGGATCCTTATTATAAGGACCCCAAAAGAAGGTACCCCTAATTTCGGAAACTCCCAGGTAAAGTTCAAGGATGAGGGCTCTGGGGTTTAGGATTTTGGAGCCGGCAGGGCATTGATTCTCGGAGTACTGTCGTACCGGGCTTAACTAGGTGGCCCTCTTTCATCTGAGCCGGGCAGGGCCAATTTCGGATCTTGGCATCTCTTCCCACACTCCCGAAAAACATCTAGAAAGTAGATCTAATTTGGGGCGCTATACTAAGGGTACTTTATAGGAATCCCCATTAAGGGATCTACTTTTTGGATCCTCCCGCGGGTCTGGGTTGGGGCGCCCCGTTACTGCTCCGGAGTCGACCGGACTTGCTTTGTTTGCTTTTCCTTCCGCTAGAAATTGATGGAGACTCATAGTTGAGTTGAGGTTAATGACGGGAGGCCAAAAGGGGGGTTTAAGATTCTTGGGGTGGGGATTCCTTAATATGAACCCTACTATGGGAACCCTATTCCCTACTAAACCCCCATACGCTAAAACCCCGTTTGGCCTCCTATGAGTTAAGAAGAGGACGCCTCAGGCTTGGTTTTGGATTGGCTTGGAGCCTTTTCTGAGGATGTTTACAAGGCTACTGCATCTAATCTACGGCCAATGTTTCAATCTGCACTACTGTATTTATGATGCACTGCTACTGCGTTACTGTGCTACTCTACTAACTCTTCATGTACGATTGCTGTGCTAATGCACTCATTACTGCTCCGCACACTATTCAAGGCGCCGGGACATGTCTTCGTGGGCCACGGCACAACATTAGGGAGGTTTATATGCGGAATGCTTTTGATTGCAGGTTTGTGCGTTGCAGGACATGTCGCTATGTATTGCCTCTTGTGGAAACATAAGCAGCTGGGATTCTTCTAGCTCGACAGACGCAAGCCCAGGGTCCTCGCATTAAGTGTTCAAAGCTCAGGACCGCAATGCTGAATCCCCTGTGCCTCGATCTTCTTCGTCACTTCTTCCTTGACTTGCCGAGGTCCGGCTCGCTCCTGTGGTTTCAGAGCAAGACAGACATGAACATATCATGTCATGAAGTTCATGGTGAGCTACCTGCCAACACATCTGAAATCGGTGCAGGATTCCCACGACGTCCGGAGGTTGGGCCAAGACAAGAGAAGCCCCTGACCCCCCCGAGCCTAGACCTCACATGCATGCCCAGCTTGAAACATGTCGAGCTCACACTCCAGCCTCAGGCTGGTTAGAACTCCCGGCCCTGGGGTTCTGAATAAGGACTTCATACGCTCCGAATGGGTTCAAGACTTGATTGAGGGCCAAAACATTGGCGGCTTTGTGCCAACCCGAAGCCCCCCAAGCTAAGCCCAGAATGAAGTCAGCTCCACGCTATCGCAGAGGAAAGACCTGTATGCCCTGCATATCGAAAACGCCAGAAAAAAGGCTTCGCCCAGAGGTTTCTATTCAATCAGCAGCCACTCTAAACACATACCTCCGATCCTCCGCAGCATTGTAGTATAGCTAGTATGTACTGATGTAGTAAAGACTCAAAGGGGATACTCTTACCAACTACACCCCGAGAGTGTCTCGACCCTGAACCGTAAACCCTCTTCTCCTGGCTGTCAGCGCAATTCTCGATCCATTCCTGACAGCGTATAGTAGGGTTGGTCATTCGTGACTTGAATCTTGGCAGTAGGTGCCCACTCACAGGGAACACCACCACAAAACAACAGCTACACAGCAACCTACAGCGGCATCCGGCGCGTTGGGACCTACTGGAGAGCAGCCAGCGCTATGCGCGTTGAATTGAGTCCCCTGATCTTCCGCAGGGTTTCCGGAACACGAAATGCTTCAAACCCAAGACCTTACCCATAGGCCCAAAGTAGTTCCTTTTTGGGATTACCTTATAGGATTCTATATACGAACCCCAAAAAGGAACTGCTTCGGGGCCTTAGGGTAGTGCCACCACTCTGAACACCTACCCCACGAACCCCTCCAAGTCTGCTATCCAGCTCGTGCGCTAGGCCCCGAATCCAACCAGGACCCCCCAATGGCCCTTCAATGGAGCCCCAAGATCCCTTAATAGTAGGGATTTGGGGGTATATTAGAGGGTAGTTGGGGGGTCTAGGAATACAATAATTACCCCGACGAACTCGTGACTTCACACCGAAATCCTTGACATTAAAGCCTACATCCGTCATCCGACACCCATGAAGTGCATGGCTCGGACCCTGTGGACCGATATGGATCGCAAAAGCTGCGCTACCGCAGTGTACCTGTTTTGTAAGATACTCTACCCTGAGGCCCCAAAGTGGTTCCTTTTGGGGGTTCATATTAAGAACCCTATAAGGTAATCCCCAAAAGGAACTACTTTGGGGCCTATGGGTACTGTGCATTCACTATGTTTAGACCCTTTGAGGCTAAACCATGACGGCTTAGAGTAGGGCGGTTCAGAAATCTATAGGTTTAGGGTTTAGGGTTTTAGGGTTTTATAGTTCAGAAGAGTCGTTGATCAGTTGGTATGCTAAACACATACTGCCAGCTACCACGTCTGTTATGATAATGACGACTACTACCCATCGGCCCCAAAGTAGTTCCTTTTGGGGATTACCTTAGAGGATTCTTAATATGAACCCCCAAAAGGAACCACTTTGGGGCCTTAGGGTATCGCCGTTTTCGTTATGCAGCTTGCCGGGGTTGGGGCTTGGGTTTCGCTTCGGACTGCTGATACGTCGATGTCCAACTCCGGAACCGCCTGAACCCAGGCCCCTCAAGCCTTAATGTAGGGGCCTTAGTGCTTAGAAGAGGGTTCCTTAATAAGGGTTACTATTGTGGGTTCAGAAGGGTACTACAATGTAGCGGCCTTAATAGTTGGAATAGGGTTTTGCGGCCCATTATACCATAAATATAATAGGAACCCCACAAAAGTATAGGTAGTTATTTAGGCCCATTTAAATCACAACCTGTACACAAAACATCCTGCAAGAATAAACGATAAGCCTACACCCCAAAAACCTTTCTCCCCAACAAACACAAACTTGAAACCCTTGCCTTAAACCCTGAACCTTCTCCCCTGTTAAGCCTGGAAGCCGTACAAAGCGGCTCGAACCCCACCCAGACAGAGACAACTTAACCACATGCCCTGTCTTGCCAACCCTAACCTCTACCGTGGTACACCCGAAACCCGAAACCCTAAATCCTCAACCCTAAAGCCTAAGCCATGCGAAAGCAGAACACTAACTTCAGACCAGTCTGACTGAACTCCTGAACTCCAACTCTAATTGCCACGTTCCTGAATCCCGAACTAATTACCATAAGACCCGGAAACCTATGATGCCAGACGACTGAGGAGTTTAGGGCTTAGGGGTTAGGGGTTTAAGCGTTTATGGGGCCTTCCGCTGCTGCCGTGGACGAGGTTTGCGCTGCTTGGCAATGTTGACCGACAGAACTACCACCTCAGCACCGGAAGTTTAGGAAAACTGTACTCTCTCCCTAGTAAGCTTAGCGCTTTACAGTTGTCGCGAGACTTGTAGCGATTCTGCGGCTCTATCAAGCGGATTTCTGGACCCGTAGGGTGAAGCCTGTTCAGGAAAGTCGCATCCGCGGAAGCCATTGGGCACGGTCTCGTGCAACAGTGGAGTCTTGAGCCGCTCTGCATGGCCAACTAGATTCAGTCCAAGGGTAAAAGGAAGGACCCTTAATAAGGACCCCTAGGTATATATCCTTAATATAGCTAATATATACCCATTATATATATATATATATATACATATATATATATATATATATATATATATATATATATATTAGCCCATTATAGGGTAGGGGTCCCCATTAAGGGTCCCTCCTTGTCCCCTTTGAGTCAGGGGAGGGGGTCTGGGAGTTGGGGTTTCGGGCTTCGGGTATGGTTGGGTTCTCAGGTTCACTTGGAGGATCATGGGACTTACGGGTTCCTTAAAAGGGATCTATAGGGTTTCTTATAGTGGGATCTATAGGGTTCCTTATAATGGGATCTATAGGGTTTGGGGTTTAGGGTCTACTAAGAGGATCATGGGACTTAGTAAGTGGGTTATACTTGGAGTTATAAGTCCCCTAAGTTGGGTTATCCTAATTACTTATAACCTTACTTACTAAGTCCCATGAGCCTTTAAGTAAACCCTAAACCCTATAGATCCCTTTAAGGAACCCTATAGATCCCTAAAAGGACCCCCGGCAAGGCGCTCCGAAAGCCGATCCAGCTTTCCGGCAGGGCTCTGTCGGATGAGGGTTGTGAAAGACCCAGACCTTCCAAAATCCCTGAATTAAGGTATACCCCTTAAACTATAGTAGGATCCTTAATATGATTTAAGGTATATTCCTTAATTAAGGGATTTTGGAAGGTCTGGGAAGAGCTGTTAAGAGGCATTTTAGGGTTCAGGGCTTAGGGTTTTAGGGAGTTTAGGGCTTAGGGTTTTAGGGTTTAGGGTTTAGGGTTTTAGGGTTTAGGGTTTTAGGGTTTTAGGGTTTTAGGGTTTTAGGGTTTTAGGGTTTAGGGTTTAGGGCTTAGGGTTTAGGGTTTTAGGGTTAGAACTGGCAGGAGCCCCACTGAGCTCAGACTCCAACCCAAAACGGTCCATAAGCAGTCCTCCCCCTTTTCCCACTGACCCCAGAGTAGTTAACACTGGCCACTAGTCAATACAAGTGTCACAAGGACCGCCCAGGTCTCAGGATGGGTTGAGGGTTTAGGGGTTTAGATATGGGAGTTTTCGAAAACAGGGGACCCTAATGTAGTACCTTAAATAGTAGGGTCCTAATTATAAGGACCCCCAAACTCCCAAGTTGCTATACTCGGGAAACGGTTTGCAGTTAAACCTGGAAACTGACCGAGTTCCGATAAACTCTCGAAGCCATCCAAGAACCCAAAACTCCAAGAGAAGCGACATGCTAAGCCCTAGGCCCCAACCCCCAAACCCCTGAACCCTTAACACCCCCAAACCTCTATATACATCCGAGTCAATTCTAAAAAACAAAAACTGAAACCCGAAACCGTTTATAAACAAAACACCCCTTGAAGTAACCCTTGTGGACACAATTATGGAAACCTTCCCCAAAAGGGTCCATATGTACTACTATTATGGAATTAGATTCCCAAAACCATCATTAGGATGGTCTTTCGGGGCCTAATTCCATAATGGTAGTGTATATGGACCCTCTTGGTTCTACAACATGGGAGTTCCCGAAAATAGGGGACCCTAATATAGTACCCCACATAGTAGGATCCTTAATATATAAGGACCCCAAAATAAGGTACCCCTAATTTTCGGAATCTCTAAACCCTAAACCCTTTATAGAACCCCTATAGATCCCTTATAGTAACCCTTTAAAGGAACCCTAAACCCTAAAGACTGAATCCTAATTTTTCCAAACTCCCACATTGAAAAAACGCAAGGTGCCGTGAACGCCTTCGCCAAGAATGAAGCCTGGCCCTCGTGACGTGCCTCAACTTTAGGCCCAGACCTTCCAAAATCCCTTAATTAAGGAATATCCCTTAAATTATAGTAGGATCCTTAATATGATTTAAGGTATATTCCTTTTTCAGGGATTTTGGAAGGTCTGGGGGGGTTTAGGCTATAGTTTAGGCTATAAGGGTTTAGGATTTGGGGCTGAGCGGTTTAGGGTTTAGGGTTTAGGGCCTCAACTGGCATCTGAGGCGTCTTGGTTAGGTAACTGAAACCCGAAACCGCTTATGAACAAAAAAACCCGTTGAAGTAACCCTTAAATACGCAACTGAGTGGTTTTCAAAAAATTATGGCCCCTTTCGGGGTACCCCAAATATTAGGTGCCGTACTACTTTAAGGACCCAAAAACGGACCATAATTTTGACAACCACCCAACTAAGGAAACCTTCTTGGGCTCAGGGTTTTCGGGTTTCGGTTTGTAGATTCCAGGGTTGAAGGAGGGCTTGCGGAGGGGGGGTGCTTGGAGGATGAGGGGCGGTGGAAGCCTGCAAGGGCTATAGGCCCATAGTAGTTCCTTTTTGGGCTTCATATTTAGAATCCTATCTATTATATGAACCCCAAGAAGGAACTACTATGGGGCCTCTGGGTAAGGGCTATATGAGGGGTTTGGGTTTAGGCCTTAAGGGTTTATGGTTTAGGGTTATAGGGGTTTAGGGTTTGGCGTTATAGGGTTTAGGGGTTTATGGTTCAGGGCTTTTGGGTCTTAGGGTTTCGGGGAGTACATATATGGGGTTCGAGGTCTAGGCACTTAGGGTTCAGGTTTAGTATCGCCCGCCATCTTCCCCCAACCCAGCCCCCTCCTCCACAGGCCTCCACCCTTCCCCCTCAAACTTTGCTCTGCAGCGTTCACACAGAAAGCTTTCTGGAATTCCCCTGGTAGTCATGCCTTTTCAAAAGAGGATCCGCAAGCCTTTCTTGGTCTCTTAGGACAATATTTAAAGCGAGGTCGATATAGGCACCCCTTAACCCCAAAACCCTCAACCCTAAACCCCCACACACACACAATCCTAAACCCTAAACGCTAAATCCGCTAAACCCTATAAACTCTCAACCCTAAGAACCCCAAACCGTACACCAAGCCGCATGGAGGTGTATCTTCGGGTGCAGCTGCTTTGGCCACGCCGTCTTTGTGTCAGCGTCAATCTTCGGACAGGTACCTCCAAAAGGCTACAAACTAAGGCTCCACGGTTTGGGTTTAGGGTTTAGGGGTGTAGCGGTTTAGGGTTTATAAAGGGTTTTATATAGGGCTTAGGGTTTATATGGGAGTTTCCAAAAATTGGGTGTACCTTCTTTTGATTTTCTTGCAATAAGGATGCTACTGTATGAGGTACTTTGCATATTCAGATTAGTCCTGTAGTTTCAGAAACTCCCATACCTACCTTGATGGTCAAAGAATGTAGCGCTTTAGCGAGGGTTTAGGGTCTCAGTGCTAGACAACTCAGCCAGCTTCAAGCTACATTCCTTGCATGAGGGCTTCCCTAAGCCCCAAACCTCTAAGCCCTAAACCCTAAGCCCTAAGCCCTAAACCCTAAGCCCTAAACCCCAAAGCCTTAAACCTCTAAGCCCTAAACCCTGAACCCAAAGCCCCAAACCCTAAACATTCAGACTGCCGTCCCTTTCAACATACGGTGCGAGAGAAGGCTCAGCAGGATTCGGTTCAGGACTAGAGATTTAAAAAGGTTTCGCTCACTGGCCCAAAACCCAAGGAAACAAAAGTTGAAACTTTCAGAATCGACTACCTTATATGACCCCAAAAGTTCAAAAGTTGAGTTTACAGCCGCCGATAAGCTAGGGAGATTTAGTCTAATTATATAAGGTTGAAACGGCCCTTAACCCTGGGATCATTACATACCTGCTATATACCCTACATCTTGAAACACGGATCTGCATGACTCTGCTACTAGTCTAAGTGTGGGAACACAAAACCTGTTTGAACCCCAAAAGAACGACGTTGTTGATCTTGTAACAACCCTGACAAATCCAACATGCAAAATCCTCTAAACTGTTTAAACGAGCCTGTAGAACAATCCCTACGAACCACTTTTGTATAAAAAGTTTACAAACCGTGACAACACCTTTTATGTAGAACCTCTTATACCAACATGGATGCATGATGTCGCATCCTTATGAACCCTTACAAAGCTCGAACCCGTAGCGGCGATTGGTAGCCGCGGATTGAAGCTTCGAGCGCTCAAGGTCTGAACTTGCCATGAGGACGCCCTGGACTTTGCCCAGAAACCGCAAACCGTCAATGAGTGTCAGGGTCAGGGCTGTATAGAGGCCATGGTACCATACAAGCCCTCTGGGCAGATTCGGATTGCGTCTTTTGTGGAGGTGGAGCCAAACCTTTGCCTTTGGCTGAAACGACCTACCGTTTTCATAGGGTTCCCCATTCTGCTTAAATGGGGTAGGTTTGTTGGCAGCCTTTGGCTACTTTCCAGGATCAGAATACGAATCTGCCGAGCCACTACCTCCTTTGGCCCAGCGCTTCCAGGCAGCATTCCCACACGGCACAGAAGTGGTATAGAGATGCAGGCTCGTGTCCTGCGCATAGTACACCCTAAACTCTAAACCTTAATGCCCAACCTCTCAACCTTAAACCTCGGTTCAAACCCGATTAAACTGCCACACCCGTATAACATATTTATATAGCCCTAAACCTAGGCTTTGGGTTTTCTTCGAATTCGGATTAGTCTCGTCTGTCGGGGCTGACTAATTCCATAATGGTAGTGCTTTTGGACTCCTGAGTTTTCCAAGTTCCTCAAAGTGCCAGAATTCAGAAAACGTACCAGGGCTCTTCAGAGGCCCTATCACATGCAAAAACAGACACGCCGCCAAACCCTAAACGTTGAACCCTGAACCCTCAAACTGATACAGAGTTCAGGGTTTGGTGAAAGCCTGTCCTCCCGCAGAGCGAATCTATCCTGAGGTGACGCTTTCGGGGATTGCTTCTGAAAGTGCCTTAGGGTTCTTGCGTGAATATGCACCCCCCCTGAAATATATCTTCTATCTTAAGTACCGGTGTCAGGGCTAAAAGGCCAAGGTAAGTGTCCCCAGACAACTCCTCAGCCCACTACCGATAGTCTCCATTGTAGTTCCTTTTTTTGGTTAGCCAAATCTCGATTAAAGGATCCTAACCATAAAACTGGTTAACAAAAAAAGGAACTACAATGGAGACTATCGGTAAACCTATCGTTCAGTCTCTCTCTCTCTCTCTGTGTCTCTCTTTCTCTCTGTGTCTGTCTCCCCTCGAAGAAGCGTGCCCTGCCGTCATGCGCCTTGCCTGGCCCTACACAAACATATGAGGGTTCAGGGCGGCTTGGGAATATCGTCGCAGAAGAACCATGACCCAACAACTGAACCATACTCAGGATCTTGAGTGAAGGAATCACAATCGCCATCTGTAGCGAAGACATCTCACATGGGTGGTTGTCAAAATTATGGTCCCGTTTTGGGTACCCTAAATATTAGGTGCCGTATTATAATAGGGACCCACAAAGGGACCATAAATTTTGACAACCACCCATATGGTGCCTGAATAAGGAGCCCTCAAGTAGAGGACTTCGGTCGAGTCTCGGGCTTCCAACACTCTCCTGAAACCCTCGAAGAGGGCAGAACGCTCCAGGAAGAGAAACTTGGGCCCTTACCTTAAAGACTAAACACGGATGACATACATGCCCTGAAATCGTAATGCTGAAATAAAATCAGTCAGGGCACGGACGCCACGCGCGACAGGAGCTCTCCGTGCGCGCCGGCGAGGCACCGGCAGAGGTCCTGCTAACTTGAAGGTTCGTTTGTACGTGTAAACCATTGTAACTACGATTACAAGTTCCGCATTGAGGGACCATGCGCAGTAGGTCGTTGTCCTAAACCCTGTTTAAACCTGAAACCCTAAACCTTAAACCCGGAATGGAGGAATGGGGTACAATTATAACTACTTTTTACTACCATGCTTCCATTCCCTACTAACCAAAGGTAAGAGTAGTAGAGTAGGGAACCTTTCACCTTCTGGGTAGTATAGTCCCTACATTATCCCTATATACCCACAAGGATTAACCTTTAGAGTTCCCGTTTAAACCCTAAACCCTAAACCCTATAAACCCTATAAACCCTATAAACCCTAAACCCTAAACCCTAAACCCTAAACCCTATAAGCCCTATAAACCCTAAACCCTAAACCCTAAAGGCTCTACAGGGGAAGCAAGATCTCCGCATCTCGGCGGGTGTCCTGGTGGAGAAACCTCTTCAAGGCTCTGCGTGCAAGTACCTCTGCGCTTTCTTGGGTTTAGGGTCCCTAACGGGAACGGGCTCCTTAAAGGGATCTAGAGGGTTACTGACAAGGATCTATAGGTTTTAGGGTCTACTTAGAGTTACGTACAGGACCATGGGACTTAGTTACCAGGGTTATACTCAAGGTAGCCGTACTTAAAGCTACTTATAACCCCACTTAGGGTACTTATAACCTTACTTGCTAGGTCACTACAGCACGTTCTTCAGGCCTTTGCAAGCAAAATTCAGGGTTTCTTGGGTGCAAGGTTTGAGTTTCGGAGCTTAGGTTTCTCTACGGTTTCTGTTATGGCTTCTTTAAGTGCTCCTTACCCAGAGGGTCCATATTAGGGTGTAGGGTTTAGGGTCCATATACACTACCCTTATGGAATTAGGTTCCAAAAGAACATGCCTATTACAGTTTTGGGTGCCTCAGGGTAATATGCAGGGTCAACAGTACCTTCATCGAAGAGAGAGAACGGACACCCGTAACTGTATCTCGTCAACTTTGCTTGCTAAGTTCCTTGATGTGTGCGCAACCCCGATAGTCGGAGCCTCAAGTACTACAACTTAACACAAACTAGATGGCCGGAAACATATGAGAGGCTCTGTCGGGGCTTTATAGGGATCTACATAGAAAGCTATCATTTGACTCATTCCAGGTACAGGTACTTGCGATCCCTTTCACTTTTTCATTCCTCCTAAACCCTGCGTCCTGAACCTTAGCTGTAGTGCTCAGGGCAACTGGCCCAGAATCCTAAACATGGAACTACTGGACCCAATCCGGCTTCAGGAACGCTTGAAAAGGGGTCCGGACAATGAGGGCTTAGGTTGTGGGGTATAGGGCTAAGGCTTTCGGGGTTCAGGGTTTCTACCCGAAGCCCTGAACCCTATATCTACTACTTACCATTTTGCTTGAGGGTCTGAAACTGGTGCCTCTGCATGTAGATCCCGCAGCGACTGCGCCGAGGTATCCGCCTTCCGTCTGGTGCGGGTTTACGGTTTTGTAGGACTCAGAGGTCCCCTTTCCTAGAAAAAGCGGCAAAAATCGATTGCAATGGAAACTGTAGGGTTTGGGTTTAGGGCTTTAGCTTTTAGGGTTTAGGGTAGACAGCTGATAAATGCTGTAACTCCTTCTTCGCGGATGGCGCTTGACGACATTAACCGTCGTACAGTAGAGTCCTCATTGACGGAGGTGGGCTCGCCAATCGGGTCTCTGCTAGGTTGAAGAGTAACGAGGGTTTAGGGTATAATTTAGGGGCCTTAACAACTAGAATAGGATTTTGGGGCCCATTGTAGTATAATGATAATAAGGACCCCCCCCCAAAGAAAAAAAAAAAAAAACAACGTTAGTAATTATTCGGGCTCCTATGTTAAGGATGTAGGGTCGCATGCTGGGATACGCAGGTGTCCGAATGCCCGCAACTCCTGAGTTCCCCCAACTACTAACCTACGACTACCATCACCGTATACCCAGGACAACCCATGCACAACTGCAATCCCCAAAACCCAAACCGACGGCTTTTAGGCACTCAGGTCCGGGGATCTGGTGACTTAGGTTCTTGCACTTCCACGTCCCATCCGCCCAACTTAGCATTAATGCACCTTAGGCTTTCCTACTAGCAACAACAGCATCCCCGAACCCTGAACCACATAAACCCCCGAGACCTGACCCCAAAAACACAAAACCCTAATCAAAACCCCACAACCCTGGACCCTGCAAGCTGGTTGAAACCCCCACGCCAACCTGTGGCTCCCCCAAAAAACCGGTTAGGATTCCTTATTCTGGCTTCTTTACATGACTGCTTAAAAAAGCAGGTTCTTAGGGCCACAAGCAGATCCTAAACCCTAAACCCTAAACCCTAAACCCTACAACCCAAACTTTGGAGCGCTAGAGTCTTTGAATCGCTCCTCTGTGCCGCGGAACTTCGTGCCGACGCCGAGAGACACCACAAAGAGCTCCTGAGGAAAGCTGCACTGGGCTTAGGGTTTAGGGTTTAGGGCTTAGTAGTTTCAAGATTTGTGGTTGGATCTTAGGGCTTAGAGTTTGTAGCGGGCAAGTGCACAGTAAGGGCATAAACGCCAATTGTATGCATGTGTGTATACTGCGTGCATGTATATGCGAGTGTGAGTAGGGATGAGTGTACGTCTGTCTGTCTGCCTGCCTGGCAGTATGTAAGTATGTCAGTCAGTATATATGCTCGCACGCAAGTATGCATGTCTTTTTTCATACAGTGTGTATACATGTACACAAGCACACATACATACGCACGTGTGTTCTGCTTCGTTTTGTTTTGTGTATAGGTTGTTTTAACAGTTTAGGACATTAAGGTTGTTTTGGGTCTACAGCAAAGCTTAAGGCTTAGGGCACGCATGGTGGTTTTCTATGGGCAATTGGTGTTTTGAATATTATCGGTGTATTGTGCAACCCTAAACCCGAAACTCTAAGCCCTAAACCCTAAACCCTAAGCCCTAAATCCTAAACCCTAAGCCCTAAACCCTAAACCGGTTGGTGAGGGCTTGACCAGGTCGAGAAGAGGAGGCTGAGGTTTCCAGGTATTCCTCACATGACACGGTCTTAGGGGTTTGGGATTTAGGTTTTAGGGTCCTGAGCTATGAATTGTTAAGGGTTTCGGGGTCTGGCCCTAACCGCTCAAAAGCCCTGGAGCCTACACTCCTAAACCCTAACACCCTGAAGTCATGAGGCTACACTGATGCTGTTCGTAATGTGCAAATCGAACTGGCTGTTAGGTCTCTTCGGGGTTTGGGGGTTTGGGCTTGGCGTTCAGGGGTGTTTGGGCTTAGCATCAGGGATTGAGGCTTCAGAGTTTGAGGTCCTTGTACTACTCATGATAAAAGCATGGTGCTGCATGCCACAGTCTGTTCCGAATGCCCAGGAGGGCTTACAGTATACTCTTGCAAGCGTTTGGTTTAGATAGGTTTACGTCATGCTGCCGAGACCTCTATCAATCTTGGACCCTGAACCCTGAACCCCCAAACCCCAACAACTTCAAGCCCAAACTACATGACATGTCAAAATCTTTGCAAATAAACAAACTTCGAAGCATACGCCCGAAAGCCTAAAGCCTAAACCCTTAGGCCTAAACCCTAAACCGCGAACACTAAAGCTCCAATCCCCAATGCCCTAGAGCTCAAAGCCCCAAAACCTTGAAACCTTCACTTGGGTACTGCCCCCACCCTGCAACAGTCTACATTGCGGGTCAGATTAAGGAAGAGATCCATGCGAGTACATTATAGATATTGTCCAGCTGTTACAGAGTCGGGACACTACCCAACCTTGAGCCCTCAATGCTGTACCCTAAACCCTAAACCCTAAAAAACCTTTAACTACAAATATATATATATATATACACATACATACGTACATACATACCTTAAACCCTAAACCCTAAACCCTGAACCTTAAACCCGGACCCTAAACCCTAAGCCCTAAACCTTTAGCCTGGCGTCGCCACGCCGGAGGGCCAAAAAAGAAGCTAAGACCTCATGCCAGGCTCTGGTTTAAGGATTTAAAGGTTTAGGGTTTAGGGTTTGGGGATTTAAAGGGTTTAGGGTTTAGTCTTTAGGGATTCAAAGGTTTAGGGTTTAGGGATTTAGGGCTTAGGGTTGAGGGATTTAAGGTTTAGGGTTTAGGATAAAGTTACGGTCTAGGGTTCCCTTAATCAGGGAACTATGTACAGGGGTTCCTTTAAGGGGTCTTTCAGGTTTCAAGGGTTTAGAGTTTAGGGAAAAGTTAGGGTTCGGGGTGTAGGGAGAAGTTAGGGTTGAGGGTTTAGGGCTTACAGGGATTGTAGGGATATAGGGACTACAGGGCTAGGGTTTAGGAATTGACTTCAGACTTGTTTTGTGTTCTACAAGGGGTTTATGGCATTGCAGGGGCCGAATTATTTAGAACCGGATTTGGAGAAAACTCCGGGCATCTTGTTCCGGGCATTATACGTGGCTTTGGATTCCCCAGGACCCCGATTCTCTGAAACTGTTTCATCAAGGCTGTCAAAGGCTAGCACAGAGAGCTGTAAGAACCTGAACCCAAAGCCCTAAACCTTGAACTTGGGTCGGGGATTTTGCTCAAGAGGGGCCTACACTTGATATATATAGAGGTTAATAATTCGAATGGTCTCCTTGAAAGGCGTCCTTTCAAGGGGTTTATAACGGATCTATAGTAGGTTTCCAGATTTGTGGGCTTAATAATTAGAATAGGGTTTTGGCGTAAATTGCACTATAACTATAATAAGGAATTCCCCAAAATGCTATGGGTAATTATGTAGGCCGCTACGGCATCCTCTTTGCGAAGGAAGAGAAGCAGGATTCCGGCTTAGAGTCTTGAGTTTCGGGTAGGCTCATCTCAACCCGAAGCCCTTAACTCAAAACCCTAAACCCTAATCCGTAAAGCCCAAAACCCTAGGCCCTAAACCTTAAAGCCTAAACCCTAAACCCGAAGCCCTTAACCCAAAACCCCGGAACTCTCACCCTCAAAGTTTGAATCCTACTTAGCTACTCTGCGACAGTTTCACTGCCCACAGTTGCAGGCCAACCGGCAGGAGCGTAAGGGTCATAAGGGTATAGGGATGAAGATTCAGGGTGTCTCTCGTTGCGTCTCTTGGTCCTGGGCCGGGAGTCACCTACTTAAAGGCTCATGGGACTTAGTAAGTAAGGTTATATGTAGGTTATAATTAGGATAACCCCACTTAGGGGACTTATAACCCCAATTATAACCTACTTACTAAGTCCCATGATCCGTCAAGTATGAGCCTGGATGGAAGGCTGCCGTCGGGTCGAGCATGCACCTTGTGCGCCCACACATCCCAGTGGATCCATCGCCCAGCTCGGTCTCCCACCTGACCTGCGACGGGCGTCTGAGAGTCTCTTCGTTTCCTGGGCGGCGCCGACGAAACATGTGCGGCTGAACGCATCTAATTATGTAATACTCTTCCGAGACAGTATAGCAGACTTTCCAGAAGTCGCTAGCGTCGGTATCGAGATAGCTCCTAGGAATGTACCCATAGGATTCGGACCACGCTTTGAGTACATCGAGCGCTTTCTTGACCATCGGTCCTGACCGTGTCGTGCCAACGGTTTGGAGTTGAATGGCTGCATACCCTCTTAGTATAGGTCGCTTCCATGCACCAAACACGACGCCGCGTCGCAGAGCCGCAGCGACCCCGTTCGAGGTCGGTCGCTCCACTCTGCGCCCTTGACCCTCCCTGCGGTTGATGATATAAGTCCTGCATTAACTTAAGGACCCTTAACCATGGAACTCATGGTATATTCCGTATTATTATGGGCCATGGGTGGCGGAGGAGATATATATATATATATGTATATATATATATATATATATATATATATATATAGATCATAATCATCAACCCTTCGACCCTCAACCAACAACCCTAAACCCTGGACTCTGCCTGGGCATTGGAAAACCTCCAATGTAGGATTTCTTCTTACGATTTCTTTATCTACGTCCTTACCAGGGTAGGTTGTTCGGGGCGAATACCTCCAGAACCCCCGAAACACTAGATGCTAGATGCCTCAACACACCAAAATGAACCTAAAGGCCTGACTCCTAAAGCCTCAAGTCTATGCGGTTTAGGGCTCCGGACTGAACGCGCAACATCCCGAAACCCTTATAGAATTTCAGGGTAATCGAACAGTATTCTTCAGCGTTCCTTGATATAGCTATAGTGAGCTTTACCCTGACACATTGAACCCAAAGCCCCTAAACTCTAACTCAAGGCACTAAACCCAAAATCCTAAATCCAAAACCCAAACCCGAAACACTAAGCCCTAAACCCTATAAGCCCTATACCCCACCCTCCCCCCCAAACACGAAAACACTAACTCACCCCTAAGCTGTTCCAAAGCTCCCCCCCTGTCTGCAAAGGCCTTCATTTGCTATGGATTATATTAATATTAATAATGTTAAATAGGTAAGGGACCCCTAATTTCGGAAACTCTAAACCCTAGGCCCTAAACCCTTTATAGAACCCTTATAGTACCCTTATAGTAACCCTTTAAAGGAACCCTAAGGTCCCATATGTTTACGGAACTCCCAAATGTATTATGCAGTTATTATGATGCGCTGGCAAGATAGTGGAATTAGGCCCTAAAAGACCATCCCCATTATGCTTTTGGGGACCTGATGTCATAATAGTAGTGTATATGGACCCTCTGGGTATTCAGTTCTATTGAAGCGCTGGCCAGGGCGCAGTCTGTCTCGGCTCAAAGTCTGCAGGGCGCCTTTGCTGCACAGCCACTGGAAGTGTTGCGTCTAAAACTCATTGGGGAGTTTCCGTAAATTAGGGGTTCTTTAAAGGGATTACTATAAGGGTACTATAAGGGTTCTAGAAAGGGTTTAGGGTTTAGAGGTTTGGGAGTTTCTGAAAATTAGGTGTCCCTTATTTTGGGGTCGTTAGGATAAGGATCGTACTACTCAGGTCGTATATTAGGGTCCCCCTATGTTCGGAAACTCCCATTTATAAACACGCCACAACCCCGACTGTAAGCCCTAAACCCTGAAGCCAAAAAGGGCTTCCAGAAGGGGCACGATTCTCCAACTGAAACCTGTGAAACTCGGTACCTCCCCGGACGACTCGAGGAACCGAAGACCCGAGGCTAATCGGCTTTGTTCGTCGGTCGCACGCAACTATGGCAGAAGCACTGGACTTGGTAGGGCCTACGGTTGATGGTATAATTCCTGCATTACCTTAAGGACCCTGAACTATGGGAATAATGGTAAATTCCTTATTATGGGTAATGCAGGAATTATATCATCAACCGTATGGATTCCAGAATTACTGCACAGGTGTCAGGTTTCGTCGCCATCTTCGTCTTCCTCGTCATCGTCAGCATGACCGCATACTTATCTCAAAAGGGGAAAAGGAGGGACCCTTAATGGGGACCCCTACCCTATAATGGGCTATATAATGGGTATATATTAGCTATATTAAGGGTATATACCTAGGGGTCCTTATTAAGGGTCCCTCCTTTTACCCTTGGATTATCGTCATCATCATCAACACCATCAGCCACGACATCAACATCATGAGTATTACGATCATCATCACCACTGTCATCGTCTTCATTGCCATCTCGGTTTCGTCGTTGGTACCATACCATCGTCGTCAACAAACAAACTGCAAGCGAATAGCACCAGGATTGACTTTCCAAGAACACAAGCTAAAACGAACTGTGGGTAATCTGTTCGCACGCCATGTTGCGAACATATTTTGCCCAGACATGGAAGAAGCTGTTAAGTCCCCGTTTTACATCCGCTGAACCTTAAAGAATCGTACCCAAAGACCCATGCAGTTGAACAATCAACAACGCGAACCCAACAGCCCGAAACCTTCAGGCACAACCACTACTTGGAGGCCCTGTTGACTTAGTAAGTCTACTTAGTATCCCCTAGAAACCCTATTATAATCCCCATAACCCACCTTACTAATCCTACTTACTAAGTCAAAAGGGCCTCCAAGTACCGTTCACGATTTTTACAAATGCCCAAGAACCCGCACGACAACTCTCCCAAAACCCTTGCAAACACAAACTTTCGACTCGTCTAAAGCTCTACTAAAGCCCATTGCAACCCCCTAAAACACATCCCACAGACATCTAGAAGATCCCTAATCTCTCAACCGTAATTAATCCCTACACCCTACACACCCCAATCACAAAACCCTCTTCCCAAACCCCAAACCCTAGCCCCCCTAGCCCTGGAAGGAGCCTCAGCCGCCACTCGGCCAGCGCAGCCGTGGCAATCTCGTCCGCAAACGTGCATGTGGCTCGCCTAGCACAGTACTGGGATAAACGGTTCAAGGTTTACGGTGTTGGGGTTAGGTTTGAGGGTTCAGGGTTTGGGGTTTAGGGATGCAAAGGAACCGTTCTTATACTCCACAACCCGCCACAACCCCGTTGACAACATCGTCGAAAATGCAAGGAATTGTGCTGCATAGGAACCCCCAAGATAATGCTTCAGTAACCCCCGCATGACATGTTTTTCTCAACGAAGCGCTTATCGCTTGACTGTTTATGTGTCCTCGTGGCACCGGAACCAACGTGTGTGTGTTTTCTTTGCGAATAGTAAATGTAACTGCAATGGCTGATTCTGAGGAATGGTTTCATCTCTCACATATGTGAGCTTACTGATAGACGCAGGCATGCATGTATCTGCGTCCATACCTACGCGCATACTTGCCTGCGCCAAACGTCCATGTGTGTGTATATCTCATATCTTATGCATATCTATATCTAGATATATATGCACCTCATGTGTGTATGTATATATATATATATATATATATGTATATGTATATATGTATATATGTATATATGTATATATGTATATATGCATGTATATATATATATATATATATATATACACATGTCTATGTCTATATATATATATATATATATATACATATACCATACACGTAGCTTCTGTTATACATGCTACCTGGACCTAAACTTTGATATGCATGTGCGCATAGAGACATGTGTTGATCTGTTTGAGTCTGGACACATGGCTACATGCACAGATGCCTGCATGTGTGAATACCTGTGCATGCTTGACGGTTTACCGGAAACGCCAGCCCCAGAGCCCGCTGATGCGAACCTTTAAAAGAACATATGCAACCTCACTCAAGCTACTAAGACCTGTGTCAAAACACAAGGTAGTCCTTCGGGTTTAGGGTGTGCGTATAGGGGTTTAGGGCTTCGGGGCTGATTTGTGCTTTTTGGCACCCAAAGCGGACCCCAAGCCCTACAAGAAGAAGTGCTTGGACCCTTACAGGCTCCCTTAAAGGAACCCCCTTCAAGGAATCCTTAACGGAGCCGAAGTAACATAGGGCCCATTATATTAATTATAGGATAAGGAACGGCAACATTAAGGCCCCTATATTACATCCCCGAACCCTAAACCCTAAACCAACCAAACAACCTAAAACCTATGAACCCTAAGCCCTAAACCCTTAACCCTAAACCAACCAACCAACCTAAACCCCCAAACCCTACAAACCCCTAAACCCTTTAAGGAGCCCTTTACGGAACTCTTAAAGGACCCCTTAAAGGAACCCCCTAAAAGGAATCCCTTAAAGGAGCCGAAGTAAGGAGCCCGTCGCTGCTCTCTCGGCCTGTCTTTCTCGGCATTGCGAAGCTTGGGCTTCGAGTTTTGGCCTCCGGGCCCACATTAAAAATTTAGGGTACCTTAGGGTTCCTTTAAAGGGTTACTATAAGGGTACTATAAGGGTTCTATAAAGGGTTTAGGGTTTAGAGGTTTGGGAGTTTCCTAGAACTTACGCGACTGAGGGTTTGAGGGTTAGGGTTTAGGGTTCCTTAAAGGGATCTATAAGGGTTCTATAAAGGGTTTAGGGTTCCTTAAAGGGATCTATAAGGGTTCTATAAAGGGTTTAGGGTTCCTTAAAGGGATCTATTAGGATTCTACAAAGGGTTTCGGGTTTGGAGTTTCCCAAAATTAGGGGTAGCTTTTTTGGGGGTCCTTAAACTAAGGGTCCTACTATTTAGGGTACTATATTTGGATCCTATTTTGCTATAAGAGTACTGTAGTGTTTAAGGTTTAGGGCTTTTAGGGTTTATAGGGTTTGAAGTTAAAGGGCTTCAGGGGTGGTGGGTTTAGGGTTTTGTAGAATAGGTATGAGACGTTTCTCGTTTATAGGGGCATGCCAACAAGTAGATGGCCTTTTGGGGGAAGTCTTCCAAAAAGTTGTGGACCTACTCTTAAAGAGCAGCGAGTAGCACAACTGGCTTATAAGGTAGTGTTTAGTATGAGTAAGCAGGGTTTAGGGGATCCTTCTATAGTAATCATAAGGGCCAGAAGGTGTACGATAAGGGGATCCCTGAAAGGGTTCAGGGTCCGGGGGTAAAAAGGCTCTACACGGCTGTAAACTCTCTGCCCTGGGGTCTCAGACTAGAGAGCCTCCTTGGAGGATCATGGGGCTTAGATAGGTATGGGCCCTTAAAGGGATGCTTATAGGGCTCCTTGAAGGGATCCTTAAAGGGATCTATAAGGGAGTTCTATAAAGGAGGATCATGGGGCTAGTAAGTATGGTTATAAGTACCTAAAGTGGCGTGATATGCAATTATAAGTATAGTTCCCGTAAATATAGCCCGAGTTCCTAAGTCCCATGATCCTCTAAGTAGCGGGGCGATAGGCTATGCCCGTACCTACTTTCAGCCCTGATAAAGCTACTGATGCACACGAAAACCCATGAACTCTGAACCTTTACAAAACCCAATTGAACTTATGAAGACGTGCTTTCGGAACCCTAAAATGCTCATGAACAACACTGACGCCCTTGCGGCCGGGGCAGGATGTTGGGGTCCCGCCAGGGCTTGGGCGTATCAACCATCTATAGGAGCTGATACCTAAAACTTGAACCCCCTAAGGCCAGAAGAGCCTGCATCTTAAACCTTGTCCCGAAATTGATCCCACAAAGCCAAAATCCGACATCCCAGCCCCCCCAAACCCCGCGGAATCGAACCCTCATGGATGGAGCATCTCTGTAGAAGATTCCTTTTCTTGGCTACCCCTAAAAGAGCGCTGTTCGGACACCTAGAGCCCCCGACAGAGACAACACTTTCATAGCGCCCTCTGATAAGATCCTTATGGAACCCTCTCGAGCAGAGAACCCTTCTAGCAACCCATATGGCTATTCTATCAACCCATATGGGTAATTAGTTCTCTTATTCTGGACACCTCAAAAGGGATCCTGACATAGAGAACTCCTAGACAGCACCCTGTCCTGCGGGAGCACCGGCGGTGGAACCTGCAGACTCACGCCTGCACAAAGAGCTTTGAACTGAGAACCCGGCGCCCTTCAAGGTTTTAAGATTTAAGTGTTTTAGGGTTTACCTGCACCCCATATAACCTACCCTTTTGGGGTCCCCTAATATGATTTCTTTATAGGTTTTAAGATTTAGGTGTTTTAGGGTTTACCTTGAACCGGAATAACCTACTTTTTTGAGGACTTATATAATGAAATCATAATCAGGAGTCCCAAAAAGGTAGGTTAGTAGGTTCTTCAGGGTTCAGGTAGGGTTTCAGGGTTCGGGGCTTCATCGTTTCTCAAAGGTCTGATCAAGGGTTTTTAGGGGAATCAGGGCTTCTTTTAGCTTAAAGGTTTAGGGCATAATCGTCCTTTAGTTTTCTGGTTGTTCAGGGGTCAGGGTTTGGTGTTGCTTTTCATTGATGGGATCCATCAGGGTTGTATTTTGCAGTGGGGTACCCAGAGACTCCAATACCCCTTAATTAAGGAATATATCTTAAATTATAGTAGGGTCCCTAATATGATTTAAGGTATATTCATTAATTCAGGGGTATTGGAGTCTCTGGGTATGGAATTTCGGGGGTCAGGCTTGCCCTGAGGGCTTCTTTGAACTGGAGTTTCGGTATTGCCAGGGAATTTCTGACAAGAAGGGTTTGGGTTCCCAGACCTTCCAAGATCCCTTAATTAAGGAATATACCCTAAATCATATTAAGGATCCTACTATAATTTAAGGGATATTTCTTAACTAAGGGATTTTGGAAGGTTTGGGTTTGGGGATCCTTGAAGCTTTTTTTAAATTTGAAGCTAGACTAGGGGAGCCCGAAACAAGGCTGTGAAGTCGCGAAAACTCGCGTGAGTCGGGGAGTCTATCAAGTCACGGCTAAGATGCCAATGGAAGAGCATGGAACCTAACTAGAAATCCTCCTTATGAGGTTCCTTGTAGAAGTTCTGAAACAGATGCAGCAACAGTAGGATATTTGGGGTACAAGTCAGCTGCCTGGCTAAGGCCTGGTACGTGGGCTTTCATGATGAAAAAACCTGAACAAGCGGGTTTCGGGCTCAGGGGAACTAGTGTCTTAATGTTTATAGAGTTTAAGGTCTAGGGTTTGGGGTTTAGGGGTTTAGGGGTTCGGGTTCAGGGACCCGAAGTACGCAAATTAAGCCCTGAACCCCTGCAAGCAACTCAGCAGAATGTCTTTCTTTGCGAGCGAGGCCTACCACAGAAGCTTTGCCGCGAGGCCACGGGCAATGTAGGGCCCCAAAAGAACACAAAAACATGAGAATCTGAGGATCTCCGCAGTATGGGAAGGGTGTCACAAGCACCAGTACTGGTGACTTTTGACTTCTAGAGGCAGTTTGGTGACGCAGAGACCCCTGTAACGTTGGCACATGTATACAATCTAGGAAGTTTGGGAACAGGATGTCGAACGTAGAAGTAAACCCTAAACCCCTGAGCCCTAAACCTTAAACATCTTTCCACCCTAAATCCAGAATTAGAAGTACACTTTATGTAGTGGCCAAAGCGCCGAGGGCATCCGCCTTAGGCTGGGCATGGATGGAGTCGCTGGGTATACGGTTTAGGGTTTAGGTCAGGGTTTTTTGACTTGAGCAAAGTTGCACGACACAAGCTGGTGCTGATACATTCGTTACTTCGCACAAGAGCCCTCAACCCTAAACCCCTACACCCCGAACCCTAAATCCCTAAACCCTAAACCCTCCTTTCACCCCAGCCCCTTCACCCTAAACCCGGAGGTCTCAAACATCAGGCATCGGATTTCAGCTGCCGACCTTCATTGGCTCACCCTCCTTCAAAGGGGTGGCATGGTCGCTGAAAAGCCAGTGCTTTTGGGAGCCAAGGTCAACAGGGTTTAGGGGTAAAGCCCTTCGTGCCGATGGAGGTGGGGGGGGGGGGTGGCAAAAGCGTTTTGATACGGTCCGCACTGAAAAGCACCGGCATGCCAAACCCAGAAGCCCGGTGACCTGTTCAGCCTGCTCATTATCGGTAGGCTGACGGGCAAGGGGTACTCACTATAAGGCTGTACCTAAGGAACACCGTAAACCCCTAAACCGGAACAGTCACCCACCATGTAGGCAGTTGGGCTTCCAGGGAAAGCACATGAATTCAAAGGCATGTGGTGGAGGGCGGAGTACGATCTGCGGGTATGGGCTGATCGTGCCATTATTTAGGGTTTAGGGTCTCGGTTGAAAGGTTCTGGTGCAGGACTCTATATTAAGGATGAAAAAAGCGTGCTCTTTAGAAGGGTTCTATAAGGGGCATTTGCGTTCGAGGTTTGGAGTGAAGGGTTTAGGGCTTGAAGTTTAGGGTTTATGGGTTAGGGTTTAGGGCTTGGTCTGTAACGCAAGGCTTTGATTAATAGCATCCCGGTATAGCAAAATCCTTCTTCTATGACCAATAAAATTCAACAGGGGCCCTATACACACCCAACGAACTATTTCTGACAATCCTACTCCCTAAACCCTAAACCCGAAAACCTTAAAGGGGCTTCGGTTCAGGTGCACGCTCGCACATCTCTCGACTCTGTAAGCAAGCGAGGCATGGACTAAGACGTAGATGCCCGTCGAATTAGGGTTTAGGCTTTACACGTTTTAGGGTGTAGGGTTTAGGGTTTAGCCTGAAACCCTAAACCCTAAACATCCCTAAACCGAAAATCGCGCCTAAAACCCAAACCCCGGACACCCAAATCCTGCACCTCTTTCGAGATCCAGAAAGCGACCAGAATGGATCTATACTACTCAAGCATATCGAAGGGAAAAGGTATGCGAGTTTCAGATGATGGTCGTCAAAAGTGCTCGCTTTGGGATGTCATATCGGACCTATTCATTTATGCCCAGGAGCTTCAGGTAGTCTTCTACGTTAACAAAACCCCCCGAAACCCTAAACCCTATACCCTACTAAACCCTAAACTCCTAGACCTAAGAGTAACCTAGGAATAAAAAGGGTGCCCTGTTTGGGATAAAGGGTGTTATAAGGGAACCTGAACCCTAAAGAAAGGGAATAAGGGCCTACTCTGGGTCCTAGACTCTAAATCGCACACCGGAAACCCTCAAAGCAGGATGCCACGTTCGGGCTCCGCATCCGAGTCTGCATCCGACCTAGGATGGAGGTTAGCGAAACAGAGCTTCAGGGTTGAGGGTTTAGGGTTTAGGGTTGAGGGTTTAGGGTTCGCCAGCGCAGTGCTGGCGCCCTTAGCAATTCCGCTTTTGAGCACTTTGAAGCAATTTCTCTTCCCTAGGGGGCTTTCCTAAGTGCAAAAGTGGCTTTCCTAAGTGCAAATCCTAAGTGCAAAAGTGGCTTTCCTAAGTGCAAATCCTAAGTGCAAAAGTGTTGGCTTTCCTAAGTGCAAAAGTGGGTTTCCTAAGTGCAACAGTGTTAAAGATTTGGAGCGTGGTCTTGCAAGCCCCAAACTCGGTTTTTGGTTTTTTCCCAATTCCCAAATTCCACGCCCCCTTCAAGCCTTCAAACTGGATTTTGTGGTCTTGTCCCACCCCGCGAACTGGGTTGCCTTTTCTAGCCCCCCTCCATGCCCTCAAATAGGGTTTTTTTTGGTTTTCCAGGCACCTTCCCCAAGCCCTACATTGGATTTTTGGCCCTCTCCAAGCCATCAAACTGTTTTTTTCAGCTTTTTCCAGCCCGCACTTTGCCCAAGCCCCAAACTGGGTTTTTGGCTTGTTCCAAGCCCCCTCCCCAAACTGGTTTTTGGCCTTTCCAAGCCCTTTCCGAGCCCCTAAACTGGGTTTTGTGGTATTTCTCTAACCTGAGGTTTTGGCCTCCTTTGGCCTGTTCCAGGCCCCCTCCCCAAACTTGGTTTTTGGCCTTTCCCAAGCCCTTTCCGAGCCCCTAAACTGGATATTCGCAGATGTTTAAACGGAATAGCATGATACGAAATATAGTAAGATTATTGAATACCGCATATCAATCTGCAAATATGCACAAATCCTAATCAAGCCTGCCGACATAAAATTTCAGCTTCCCCTTCGATAAAGATCCGAGAAATGTATGGAATCCACATAATCGCAATAAGAAATGCTCAAGTTCCTATTGATAGAATTCAACCGAATAAAAGCCCAATCTTCTTTTGATCCGGAGTCGTACGCTATCCACGTCTCAATGTCCGGTGTTGCTGCAAAGCCATTGCGATGCCTTCGTCCTCCAAAGTTTGCTTGATTGCACGTACCTTGAATAACGACTGAGGATAAAGTCGTTTCTCCGAACGATCGCCACTTTGTTGCAGACCTTGGAACTGTACAGGCGAAGGTCAAGCGCCAGTGGCTTGCGAGCATTCACAAGCTTGCTTGCCGAGAACTGTACTGAGAGCTCGCAGGTTCCGTGGCATGGCTCGTCCTATATATGGCGCATGCGATCAAAACCGTCTCCCTGTTAGCTACTTTGATTTTGTCTCGTCAGTGGCTACCTGCTGGCATGGAGATGGTAAAGGATTTAGGGTTTAGGGTTTAGGGTTTAGGGTTTAGGGTTTAGGGGTTTAGGGTTTAGGGTTTAAGGTTTCGGGTGTGTTGCTTGGGTCATTTCAATTTACTTAAACCGTTCAGTTGCACTTAGAAAAAACTTGTCAATTTACTTAAACTGCCCTGTGGTCGACCGTTGCTTTCCTTAAATCCTGCCTTCCTTTTGCTCTTAAAACCACAACCTGCGCTGGCGCATCTTCGGCCTCTGGCCGTCTAAATTTAGGGGTTAGGGTTTAGGGTTTAGGGGTTAGGGTTTAGGGTTTAGGGGTTGGGCTTCAGGGGTTTACGGTAAAGGCCAGAAAGTTGGAACATCATCATCCCCGTGCCCTGAAGGTAACGTAAAAAAGCTATGTTCCAACTTTCTGGGGTTCACTATTGGCTTTGGTGTTGTAGGCTCCCTCTAGGGCTTCACGGTTTAGGGTATAGGCTTTCTAGCGCTCTAGGGTAATTTTAAATGATCTAGAGAGAAAGGTTCTATGTATCACAGCAGGACTGAGGGGCTCTGGGGTTTGGAGTTTGTAGGTTTTGGAGCTTAGGGTGCCTCTAAGTGATCTATAGGGCCTACAGGGTTTGGGGATGAACGAAAAAGGGCTTCAGGGTTTAGCTCTAGTGTTTAGGGTTCGCTGCTGCCTTCTGGAGTGCGTGGGGTGCCCTGGGCCATTTTAACCTGCAACAGTATAGCACACGCTCGGAACTCCCTCAGTGCACCTTGCCCTTGCAAGACTTCCACGAACCCTATAGTTTAGGGTTTAGGGTTTTGGGTTGTTTAGGGTTTAGGGTTTTGGGTTGTTTAGGGTTTAGGGTTTCGGGTTGTTTAGGGTTTAGGGTTTAGGGTTGTTTAGGGTTTAGGGTTTCGGGTTGTTTAGGGTTTAGGGTTTTGGGTTGTTTAGGGTTTAGGGTTTCGGGTTGTTTAGGGTTTAGGGTTTAGGGTTGTTTAGGGTTTAGGGTTTAGGGTTGTTTAGGGTTTAGGGTTTAGGGTTGTTTAGGGTTTAGGGTAGCCTCACACACGACGAACAAACCTGTACGATAGCCCGCATGCAAACGGTACTTGGGGGGAGTGGCCTGAACCCCGAAGCCTTGCAGATCCCTTAGCCCTACACCCTAAACCTAAGCCCACCCCACTCCACAAACACGCTACTTCTGCTCAGTTCGGCCAGAGACACAGGGGCTCGTAGCCTTCCTCCCAAGAGGTGTTCCGGCTTTCCCAGAGGGTCCAGAAAAACTACCATACCTACTTCCATTGTAGTGCATCTAGACCCTCTTGGTTTAAGGTTTCTGCAGTGTTTTAAAGATTTTTTTCTTCGTAGCAGCCTTGCTTACTCGCTTTACAGTGGACTGTAGTGCCCGTGAGCAGTAGATCATTGGATAATCATACAAGGAACATACGGTGATGCTGTGGCTGGCCGTGTTCGTACAACAGATCTTCCTAAGCCCAATACAGGGAAATATGAAACTTCCCAAAGGCTTACCTGGCGATGTACTTCAAACATACGGAGTGCAAATCTTGAGCTTTGTAGTTTAAGTCTGGGCGGCATGGAGCTTGATAGTCTGGAATCGTTTGGGGTTTAAGGTTTTGGTTTCAGAGTGTATGGCTTGCCTAGACTACTAGACCCCCCAGCTAGCCTCTAATATACCGCAAATACGGGCCATAAGGACTCCATTAACGGGCCCTTGGGGGGTTTTGATCCGTAAACCCTATTCCCTAAAGCCCTAAACCCTAAAAACCCTAAAAACTCTGTTAAAGGGCCCTTGAAGGGTCCTGGTAGTGATGGAGGTTTAGGGTCATCTCAATTGGGTCAGTTGTTTGAGTGATGGAGGTTTGGAGTTAGGGTTTACCCATGGGCCCCAAAGTAGTTCCTTTTTGGGGATTACCTTATAGGATTCTTAATATGAACCCCCAAAAGGAACTACTTTGGGGCCTTTGGGTAGGGTCTATGTGGGTTCGACAGGGGATCCTTAGCCAAAGTATTCCGCTAAACCCTGGACCCTAAACCCTACACCCTACTTGCCGGCTGCTCAACCCTCGGCTCGCACTACTGGGAGTTTGCGAAAATTCGGGATACCTAATTTTGGGGTGCTTATACTATTTGGGGTACTATTTTAGGGTCCCCTATTTTCGGAAACTCCCTGCTACGTTCAAGCGATCAAACAGCAGATGGGGATGTCACAAACTTCGTGGTCGCATGCTTGGTTTGACCTGAAGTTCTACACTGATGACCTTTTGGGTCTGCAGTAGGATAGCGTAGTCTTGCTGAAACAGGCTGTACCAGATGGGAACTTTTACTAGAAAGACTGCTGCCAGTTTATGAGTTTAAATTATCGCCCCCCACAAGCACATAAGCAAGCATAAGGATTGGGATATCCCATATAGACCCCCTTAAAAGGAGGCCCAATAAGGTAGGGATATCTCCTTAAAACGCTTATGCTTATGTTCTTTTTGGGTCGCTAATATAGAGGTGAGAAAACCCAGTCCTCGGGCGGTACCAGCTGAGGCTTCAGCATCCGCGCGTGTGTGAAGCACGCCCTGGTCGTTAATTGGCGATTACAGACTCGTTCCACTGTTGATGATATAAATCCTGCATTACCCATATTAAGGAATATACAATTATTCCCATAGTTTAGGGTGCTGACTTAAGGTAATGCAGGATTCATATCATCAACCGTATTGTGTGTACGGCGAAGCGTTTAGAGCCAAGGGTTTTTTCCCAAACCCCTTCTGCTCCCGTCGGTTGTTGTTTCGAAACCTCAAGTCGCGATGGTTTTGGTGTGCGTGTGGTGGTTGAAACGTAGGGTTGATGAGAAAAGACCTTCGGAGCTTCGCCACGGGGTTTTCCGAGGACGATAGGACTGAAGTGTTGGGCCTACCCTAAGGCTCCTAAGGGGGTCATGGGCTTTCTGGGGGAGGATCTGGGCTTTGGGGGCTAAGGTTTGGGATCTCACTACGAGGGTGCAGGAGCCTTAACGTAGGGTTGAAAGTTCCGGGTTAGGTGTCAGGGTTTGCTTGGGCTTAGGCTTTAAGATTTGGGTCCACCACGACTTGGCTCAGCAGTGATGTTTGGACGAAGCCGGCCAATCACATATGCCCTCAATCCCACAACCTTACGACACCCTAATAGGTTCAGATATACGACAGCGCATGATCGAAAATCTGTGGCAGCCAGGGCTCATCGAAAAAAGCGCCAGAAGGGCTGCTGTGAAGTTGATCCTGGGATACGGCGGTAGGGTGTGGGGGTATAGGATTTTTCAGCTTGGGGTTCACCACTGCAAAGCGGGGTAAACAGTCTCGTTACTGCCTCATTGGATCAGTGTTTCTGAGATGATGAAAAGCTGATCCAGTCTTTTGCAGTCTTTTGTTTAACTTAAATAAAAGCTGACTCTGTGCAAGCGAGAAAGAAACATCGGTACTCTCTTCAGAGGCTTGAGGCGCAGGTTTTTGTGTGCTCAGATAAGGGCCCAATAGTCAGAACAGGTTTGGGGGTTCATAGTAGAATGTCGTATCATGACAGCTGCAATAACGTATTCTGAGGTGTTCCTCATTATTCAGCCTTTTCTACTTGAAATCTCAGATTTGCAATCTGTGAGCTTGACTTAAGGTTGGGGTTTGGTGGTACTGAGCACATGCAAACCTGGGCTTTGAAGTAACCTCGGAGAACAAGTTATACACTTCTGTTGCATAACGGTTCCTTTAAGGGGCAGATTCCGAAAAACCTATATGGTACTCCCAAATTATGCAATCCTACTTGTGGGGACTCCGCGCCGAGGATTTCAAGCGTTTGGGTCGGCATTTGTCTACCTTCCGAACCCAGACCTTCCAAAACCCCTTAATTAAGGAATATACCTTAAATTATAGTCGGATCCTTAATATGATTTAAGGTATATTCCTTAATTAAGGGATTTTGGAAGGTCTGGGAATAAAGGCCCTAAACCCTTACAGTGCCGCACGGAATCCAGGTAGGTGCCGACTCCCCAGCAGGAGGGTAGACACACCTGACTTGACCGCGGATGATAGTTCTACGGTCTTGGGCTCAAGGCTTGCACTATTCGAGCTGGCTATAGTATAGCATAGTCGACAAAAGTCTATTATTATATATTTCGATGTATTCTATTTTGTTGTTGTAGATTATACTGTCTTCTCGCTCGGTGATGATATAATACAAAGTGGGGGTCTACTAGGGCTAAGGCTTCTAAGGTTCTGGAATGTAATGGATCGGGGGCTTTAGGTTTAGAGTCGACCTATAGTCTCCATTGTACTTCCTTTTTTGGGTAAGCCAAAATCTCTATTCTAGGATCCTAACCATAAATCATTTGAACCAACAAAAGGAACTACCATGGAGACTCTAGGAAAGGGTCTCCAAGCTCGGATACCAGTCGTTGCTGACTTTAGGGCTTAGGGTTTAAAGCTTCTTTCTTGGGCCTCTCTTCCGTCTGCAGCAATTTGGGAAGGCTAGTATGAAAACCCAGTTAGATCCTTGTCAAGATACTTATAAATCTACCTCTTACCTGCTTACTCAATCTCCGAGTAGATGAAGGGTTGCCAGAGATAGGGCTTTACCCTTCGCTTGGATATCGCCTGGAGAACTCGCTGGCTCAGCTCTTTCTAATACGCGAAATGACAGTCTGTTCTCTTGAAGCCCGGCTAACTGAGTAGCTGGTGTTCAATATCATCTTGTAAGAACTATCAGTATGATCTTGCAGGAATTACCAGTCTGATCTCGTAATCTAGACTTTAAATGCCCAGATACTTGATACCAACAGCAGGCTTAAGAATTATTCCACCGACTTGGAGGATCATGGGACCTAGTAAGTAAGGTTATACGTACCCTAAGTGGCGATATAAGTGGTTATAAGTACAGGTACCTTAATTATAACCCTATTTACTAAGTCCCGTGACCCTCTAATCTCTAAGTATGCTTCTGCTTCTTGCCAGGCAGCTCAGCCAGCACAGAGAATGTGGCAGGTATCAGCGGCACCAGGCCCTGAGACGCAAGAACCGTTATCGAGTCATGCGGGCGTATACTTGGAGGATCATGGAACTTAGTAAGTGCGGTTCCTTAAAGGGATCTATAGGGTTCCTTAGTGGGATCTATGGGGTTTAGGGGCTTAAACGTAGCAGGGAGTTTTCGAAAATAGGGGACCCTAATGTAGTACCCTAAATAGTAGGATCCTTATTATAACGACCCCTGAATAAGGTACCCCTATTTTCGGAAACTCCAATATACTTGGAGGATCATGCAACTTAGTAAGTATGGTCCCTTAAAGGTATCCTTATAGAGCTCCTCAAAGGGATATGGGACTTAGTAAGTAAGGCTATAAGTGCCTTAAGTGGGGTTGTAAGTAGTTGTAAGTACAGTTACTTTTATTGTTATTACCCTAGGTACTAAGTCCCATGATCCCGTCATGAAAGGCTTTGCTGGAGCCATAGAAACTGTCTTCTTCAATGCCCCAAACGGTTCAATTTTCCAACACAGGCCATATATAAGTGTATGGCATATATTCAAATCAATGTCTCGCACATATATATATATATATATATATATGTATATATAGATGTATTAGACCCAAATTGTTATAGTTCTCCCATTGATCATTGCCTATCTAAGTATAAGCCGTATCGGGGGATCTTACCTTATTTATGGGTTTACAGCTTCCGGGCCCCCCTCAACAAATAAGAACGAGCACTTTAAACAAGTATTAGAAGGGTAGGCACCCGACAGGAAGGTTACCTGCTCCGTTGCCGAGTTGGGGCTCAGCTTGTGGGGTGAAATAACTCGTTTGCCCGGATCGGCAACTGCATGGGGTAGTTTTCTAATTTTGAATCCCTTTCGATCCGTTTTATAAGGGTGCCGTGCGATTTCGGGGGACTGAAAAGGGACCCTAATGCAGAGAACTCCCAAGAACAACCGCAATACCAACCCTCCGACTGGAAGGTTTGGGCCAAACTTAGAGCTGGAGTTTAGGGTTCCCAGACCTTCCAAAATACCTCAATTAAGGAATATACCTTAAACCAAATTAAGGATCCTACTATAATTTAAGGGATATTCCTTAATTAAGGGATTCTGGAAGGTCTGGGTTTATATAGGGTTTAGGGTTTGGAGTTCAGAGTTTCGGGCTTCGGGTCTGGAGGTTCAATCTGTGAGGTTTTGAGGGTTCTGTGTCGGGGGTTTCAGTAAGGGCTACGACATGACTGGGGCTTGCTGTAGGAGGTCCCAGTGAGGCTTTGAAAGGCTTTAGCACGCTTAGGGTCTGCAGGTTCTGACTGTTCGATCAGCGCTTAGCTTAGCAATTTGTATATGGGTGATTGTCCAAATTATGGTCCCGCTTTGGGTCCCTATTATACTACGGCACCGATTATTTAGGTATTATTTAGGGTACCCAAAAAAAGGGACCACAATTTTGACCACTACCCATAAATAGAGCCTAGACATGGGGTTTCCAGGACTTCTTCGGGGGCCTCAAAAAGTAGGATGAAGGTAGGTGGGATATTCCCAAATAAGAGTCCTTCTATATAAGGGATCCTTACCCTAAGGCTCCCTAGTAGTTCCTTTTTGGGGCTCATATATAGAATCCTATAAGGTAATCCCAAAAAGGAGCTACTAAGGAGCCCCAGGGAAATCCCACCTACCTTCATCCCACCTTGTGAGGCCTCCGATTCTTCGGGAAAGGTGCACCGAGCGGCAATGAGGGCGATAGACCCAGCGCGGGCCAAGTTCAGGTAAGCCACAAGTCGCGCCTGTGAGACGGATTCGAGCTGGCTTCTCACGAATCCTTCCACCAAGGATGCAATAGGATGAACGAAGGTCTGTAACGACTGTACTGGAATTTAGGAGGCTCTACAAGGTTGTACAAGGGATCTTTTAGGACTTTGTAATTGCAGGTCGTGTAAGTTTCTGATACAGATTTTGTAAGTTTCTGATACTGACTGTTCAAAGCCTCTGCAGGCAGGTTGACTGTAGGTCCGCCCCTTGATAATTACTGTAACACCTCCTCAAAAGTTTCTGGCGCAAGTAGGAAACATGAAACCCCTGTGCCAGAGTCCAGTGCTGCTGATGCCACCGCTTGTGCGATGCCCAGGCAGGACAGCTCGACCACTAGGGTGAGAGGATCCGTGATGTCAACGACATACGCAAAACCTGCAGCAATGGAAAGGGGGCTAGCAAGGGCTCGCTCTTCAAAGCTTTCGGAGAACCCCAACCCTAAACCAGAAGCTCTGAACCTTAAACATACTGAGCACAGGGCCAGTCAAGTTGAAGACGATGCCTGCAGCTGCGGAGTGACGGCACGCATAATGACAAACAGCAGTAGCAGTAGTAGCAGCAGGAGGAGGAGTAGTAGTACTAGTAGGAGCTGTAGCTGTAGCTGTAGCTGTAGCTGTAGTTGCAGCTCTTCTTCTTACTATTGTTGACGGGTGAGGCAGTAGTCGTTGTACCAGCAGCAGCAGCAGCAGCAGCAACAAAGCAAGCGGAGGAGGAGCAGGAACAGCAGCAGGAGCAGCAAGTTGTGGTTGAGTTCAGAGGTTCGGGTTCGGGGTTGTAGTGCTAGGAGGTGGTGGTGAAGGGGCGGCGGCGCGTTGCGAATAGCGACAGTTGTCATGATACCACTACGTGCTGCTAAGCTACTACCTGTGGTCGAGGTCATGCCCTATAAACCCCGCCCCTTTCGGATAGTATTTGACAGAAAAGTCGTGAGGTATAGTATGGTAGAGCATAGTACAGTGTCTTAAAAAGTATATTGTCGTGTATTATCTCCTGCACCCTTGACAGCAGCCAAGTATCTCAGCTCCATGAGGCACAGCGCAGCAGTGGTGGCCATGTTCGCTGACAGGACGACACCAGCGCTGAAGCGCTCCGAGGGCAAGTACTCCTCGGACTTTCGTTGCGGGTCTTTCGGAAATTCTTGAGGGAGTTCGCACGTTTGAGGGTTTAAATAGCATGAAGTCGAGACTTAAACGATCAACGGATTTCGAAAGCCATCGCATGGAAGCACAGGCAAACCGCCTCCTCAGCGGCAACATCCCCCCAAGCAGCATTTGGTTTCAACCCGCTTTAAGGCATGAGGTTTAGGGCCCCTCTTCATTAGGGAGTTTCCGAAAATCGGGGACCCAAATATCGCACCCTGAATAGTAGGATCGTCATCATACTTATAAGGACCACAAATACGGTACTAAGGTACCCCTAATTTTCGGAAACTCCCAAGTAATTATCAGCAAGCTATGACCCATAAGCCATCCAGGCATCGCTCGGAGCCAGCACGTTGTTCGTCAAGCCCCAGCGCAGGCCGTCAAACAGGGATGCAACGCCCTTGGGTGTAGGGCCATGTTTTAGGCATCTTTTTGCGATTCGTACCCCTAGCATTAAACCGAAACCGAAACCCCAAACACAACAAACCGGGTATGTGTTTGTTTGCGGCTACTGGGCTACGGCTTCAGGGCTTCAGCTTTACAGCTTCGGAATCAGTCAGGATGTTCAGAATTAGTGCAAAGAGTTCGCTTCGGATATATTGGTCTTGCTTCAAAGTGTTTAGGGTATAGGTGTTTAGGATTTAAGGCTTAAGGAATCCTAGGATTTAGGGTATATGCGTGTTAGGCTTTCAGGGCGTGGGGTCTAAAGGGTCTGGCCAGTTTGCATTCATGAGCAGCCCAAAAAATGCGCAAACCCCCACATCAAGATCGTGAGACGACAGCGTCTGAAACACTATTCTGGCTTTGGTTTGCGGTTTTGGGCTGTGGGATATGATTAAGGGTTCTTTTGTGGGATCCATAGGGTTCCGCATGGGTTCTATGAAGTCTTTGCAGGCTACGGCTAAGGGAATACTTAGACTGGGATGTAGGCGTATGCTGCGGCCAAGGGACCATTCCCATCGCGATGTCCTGAGTGCTGCAAGCATCTAGAATCTGATGACCTCACAATTCCGAGATGCAAAGCAATCAATTCTAGTAGCGGTCTTTTTAAGGGCTGAACCAGCCTCTACCCATAGGCCCCAAAGTAGTTCCTTTTGGGGATTACCTTATAGGATTCTTAACATGAACCACCAAAAGCAACTACTTTGGTGCCTTAGGGTAAACCTCAAGCCTTGAAGCTAAATCTAGAAGCCGAATCCGAGATCCTAAATCTAAACCCGCGGCTGTCTTCATGGAGGAAAGCTGCCTATACCCCCCTTAGAACCATAATAAACATAGAATTTTAAATATTCTCTTAGGTTTTATAAGAACAAAAACAAAAAATCCTAAGGAGACTATAGCTGCAACCTCAAACTGCACACCTTGCAGAGTCTATCTACATTAATTAAAGCCTTATATGATTGTCCTTGTATGGGATTTGAAACAACCCACTCCTCGCTTCACATACACATGCTACAAGGATACTCCAAGACGTGGGGGGGCTCCCATTTTTCACCCGCCCTTCCGGTTGCGCTGTAAGACTTCTACGCAGGAAAGTACCAAGGACCCGCCGCCACTCCTTCACTCCTTCAAACAGTGTCGCTTGAGGCTTGAGTTCTGCGCCTAAAGATGTCTGAAGATAAGGTTTAGCAGGTTTTCAAATTGAATTTCATTTACGGGATGAGGGTTTGAAAGTGTGGGGCTTCGGGTTTAGGGTTTCTGCCTTAGAATTGAAGTTATGAAAGTTAACAGTAAAGTTGCAGTTTAGTTTGAGGCTTGAGCAACACCCATCCCCTGAAACCCACTTGGCCGTGTAGCCCATTCTTTTTTCGGCTTCTGCCAGGCACCCGGCAGCCTCGGAACAATGCTTGTTTTAAGGTTTAGGGTTTAGGGTTTAGGGGTTTTAGGGGTTTAGGGTTTAGGGGTTTAGGGTTTAGGGGTTTAGGGTTTAGGGTCAACTTGTTGTGTTGTGTGTCCCACTTTGTCGGCGCTTTGAGCTTAATCATGTTCTGCACGGGTTTCGGTTGTTGGGCAGTGTGCGGTTTAGCCTTTAGGCGAATACGGGGCTCTAAAAGGGTTCTGAAGGTCTACAAGGTTCCATCTACACGCAGAGCATACTTGAAGGCTCTTGGATGATTAGTTCAAACTCGGATACAACCACCTTTGTTGGGCTGTTGAGCCTTAAACTTACCCCAAGGCTCCACGTACCCATATAGTAGATACTTAGGCCTTAACGGCATCCCTGTATAAAGACTTTAATTAAGGCCTACGTATCTACTATACTATACTGAACTTAGAACCCTAGCAAAAAGCTAATTTTAGCTGTTTCTTAGGGATTATGATAACGAAGAATTAAAAAGTATTTCTAAGTACTCCTAAGTATATATGGGTACATGGAGCCTTAAACTTAAGTTGCTGAAACCAACACCGTGGCTGCTCGCTGCGTTGCTCCGAAACCTGCTTATCGGTTGTGAGATTCGGTGCGAAGGGCTTCTGCACTTTGAACCGGTTTGCTGTTTGGGGTTTAGGGTTTAGGGGTTTAGGGGTTTAGGGTTTTAAACGTTCTCACTTTGGCCGGAACGACAGCAGCCTGGAACCCCAAGCCTCAAAGTGTAGCCGTAGCATCTGCGCTGCACGCATCTTCGTGTCGGGCTTAGGATTTCAGGATATTTCTGCAATGTCACCGGGAACAGGAAATTGAGGTTGCCATCTAGAGTTTAGTGTTGGGCTAGGTTGCGAGCCCTGAACCGTACCCTAAGGCAGAATGACCTCCACAGCCTTTTCACTGAGGTCGTCGGGACACGAAAGCCTGAACAAAATGAGCTTCAGAGCCCCAAGAGCCTGAACCCTTCCTCAGTGTTCGGGATCTTTAGGGTTTTAGGTTTGGGGATCCTTAGGGTTTAGGGTTTAGGGATTTTTCGGGTTTATGGGTTTAGGATTAAGGAATCTTAGAAACCCCTTTCGAGGAACACGGAAGGGAACCCTCAGTTTGGGTCGAGGTGCAACAGCAGGCCGGCTAAGGCGGCTAAGCACATCGCGGAGGTGAGACGCTGGTCCTTTGAAGGTTTAGGGTTTAGGGCTTCTGAGGGTTTAGGGTTTTGAGTTTAGGATTTCTGGGTTTAAGACTTCTTGGGTTTAGGGTTTAGGATTTCTTGTGTTTAGGGTGTAGGGCGGATTAGGGTTTCTTGGACATGCTGGGCTTCGCCAGGTGCTGTTTCAGGCTTCTGGGTATATGCTGGCATGATACGGCCGATGATAACAATCCGGCATTGCCCATAATAGGGAACATAACGTAGTTTCGGTAGCTTCGGATCCTTATGGTAATGCAGGGTTTATATTATATCATAAGCCTAAGCCCTGAACCCGATTAAACCCTAAACCCTATAGATCCCTTAAAGGAACCCTTAAGGCACTTTGGGATCTTCATTCGCATCCAGTACCAGGGGGACTAAGAAAGGTTGACCGTTGGGATCATATGGGCAATGTGGGGAAAATAGGAGGCCACAAAGGCTTACAGGCTACCTTCCCCTACGACTAAGTCTTAGGGATCCTCATACATATCCCGGTATTTCGGGAGTTGATACGGCGCACATCCAATGGCCGCAAGCGCCTGACACCTCAGACCCAACATCCTAAACCCTTTAGCTATGGGATTCGGGTTTCGGCTGATGGTTTAGGAGCAACATGACACAGTACACATGCATACATCCTCTGTCAGCCCGAACACCACGTTATGACGATAGAAACCACTCACCCGACTGCCTACACCCTAAACCCTGGAAGCCAACACTTCGAGCCTGACGGCCGCCCTGAAGACCCAACCAAAACCCTGAACCCTCTAAACCCTAAACCCTAAACCCTAAACCCTAAACCCTCTAAACCCTAAACCTATAAACCCTAAACCCAGAACCCTAAATCTCCTAGGCCTAAATTTTGAAAGCAACGCCCTGGACCATTTCTCGGTCCTTCCAGTTGCCCTCGCAGAACCTGTGTCTCATAGTGTGCAGTCTTGGTTCGAGGTTGGCGGTTCGAGGGCTACCAAGGGTCTTGGGGTTTTGGTGTGGGTTCTTGCCGTTCTGATGCTTGCCTTGCCTTAAACTTCGATATGCAGCATGCTGTGAAGTCTTGGCTGCCCAAATTGCTATTGAGCTGAGCAGGACTTGACACTGTGGCTTCTGCAGGTGGAAACAAACAGCGAACCTCCAGCATTTTACACGGCGGGCTTTCAGGAGCAAAGGTCTGCAGTCCATGGTCCTGTCAATCAAGCTTTGAAGCTGAACGTTTAGAGCTTGGGGACTGTGTGCCGATCATGGTTGGCGGCTTCGACATGGCTTCGGACTCATGGACGAAGTCTGGAGGGCGTAGCAGGCTGGGTTTAGGATTTTGTGTAGGCTTGGGGCGCTTTCCTCAAGAGCTTGATGCAGAACCTAAACTGGGCTTTGAAGTAACCAGGGAGAAAAAGTATACACGAGTGTTTCACAATGGTTGCATCGAGGAGCAGTTCCCCACAAAGGTATTAAGGCAGCCCCATATGGCACTCCAAACATTGTAGATCGGATCCTCGTTAGCGTAGGGGCTGAGTACCCTAGCCCAAAAAGGGTCAACCTTTTGAGTTATATAGTGGGATTATATAAGCCCCAAAATGTTAAAAGCTTACCTACTCAGCCCCTACGTGACAATGAACCTGCAACTCAAGAGCCCGAAAACCCAGCAACAGCTCGAGCTTTCCACCGAGGAGCTGCCCAGCCAGCAGCAGGCAAATTGGATAGAAACCCAAACCTGGACGAGTGGCGCATTTCTCCAAGGGTAAAAGGAGTGACCCTTAATGAGGACCCCTAGGTACATACCCCTAATATAGCTACTATAACCCATCCCATTATAGGGTTGGGGTCCCCATTAAGGGTCCCTCCTTTTCCCCTTTGAATTTCGGAGTCCAGGCTCTACCCGAAGATGCAAGAACCTACCGTTTCGGGGGTTAATAGACCGTATAAGCAAATTGTCATAGCTTGCTATTTTGTCGGGTGAAGGGGCTTAGGTTTTAGGCGTAGGGTGGAAAATGGCTGAAGACTGAGGGCAACGGAAGTTGTTACATATTGCCTGTGAGCTGCTGTTTGATTCAGGTTCGGGCGTTTAGGGGTCGTGTGGCAGGGTGCTAGGCCTATAAGGAACCCTTGCCGCTAAACCCTAAACCATAAACCCTAAACCCCTGAAAGGATCCCTTAAAGGATTGCGTCAAGGCTTTCACGAGGCCGAAGGCTTGTGATTATCTAATTTTCGAGTGTGCGCCTAGGACCGTACATGCTGCCAGTATGAAAGCTCGATCAGAAAGTCCTAAACCCTACCTTCACCCCCAAATAACCTTATTTTTAGGGACATATATCAAGAAATGATGTTAGGAAACCCTAAAAAAGTAAGTTATTCGGGCTCCATGTACACCCTGAACTGGGGCCTGGAGACCCCAAGCCCTCCACCCCCACCCTCAAGCTCAACCCCCACCCTCAGGGTTTAGGGTTTATGGCTAGCTAAGGCCCCATAGTACCCTAGAGATGTTATCCTGGGGCCCTGATATGTCGCAGCTTTTCTGGATACTTTTTGTGTCTTAGCAAGGGATCCTAGCAATAAAATAACCTCAAAACACGTACCACAATCAGGGTAAACCCCTTTCAAGCCCCAAACCCCAGACCCTGAGACCATATAGGAACCGTTATAGAATCGCTAAAGGAAGCCTGGAAGGAACACTACAGGGCCCTATGTGACAAAATCAAAACCCCAAACCCTTAGTGAGGCAAATTTCAAAGGCCAAGGGCCGAGGCATTCCGCTGCGATTGGTGCGCGGAAATGGCAGTCGGCGCGGATGGCCCACTCCAGGCCTTGGAGAGCATTTGAAGTTGTAGGCGTAAGGGTCTGACCATTTCTACCCTTGAGGCTCAAAGATTTAGGCAGGGAGTCAGGAAGACAACGGCTCAGGGTGAGCCTTTGAGGTTTGCATGCTCCTGCTTGTACCTGTGGACGCTACTACGGGCCTTGGGAATCGAGCAGACTTCCAGGGATTGGAACTTGGCGGGGGTTGGGTTTTAGGATTTTAGGGTTGTAGGGTCTGGCATTTAGGGTTTAGGGCTGTAAAGGTTTGTTGTTTTGGGGGGTCGAGAGCTTTGGGTTGAGACCGACTTCTAAGCCGAAAGGCCCATCAAGACGCCCAGGACCACATAGACCTGCAAAGAAGTGCCACTTGGGGAATGGACGTTTGAGTTTAGGGCTTGGGGTTTAGGGTTTGGGGTTTAGGAGGTGGCATTCTCCAACCCTATCCTTCTGAGGACCTGCTAGTTGGGGCCCTAGACCCCTCGAGGACGCCATATATAGGTCCCTGGAAGCCTAAAGTAACATCAAGCAATCATCCTCCAGAGTAACAATACGCGACTAGTCTAAACCCTATGAGCCCCGATCTCAACCTGCATGAAACGAGGCATTCTCACTCAAGCTGTTTCTTGTAGCGTGCAGTCACAAGAAAAGAAGAGTTTCCTACGGTTGATGATATAAATCCTGCACTACCTTAAGGATCCTAAACTATGGGAATTATGGTATATTCCCTATTATGGGTAATGCAGGATTTGTATCATCAACTCTAAACCCTAAAACCCTATAGATCCCTTAAAGGAGCCCCTTAGAGGTGCCTTTATAGATCCCTTTAAAGGAACCCTAGGATTTATATCATCAACAGTAGGTAATATACCCTCAATATAGCCATCATATACTCATTACAGGGTAGGGGTCCCCTTAAGGGTCCCCCTCCTTTTCCTTATGGGTAATGCAGGATTTATATCATCAACAGTAGCACTCCTGAGGCCTGCATGAAGTGCGGCTGCTCCGGAGAGAATCGAGGCTCCTCCTGCCAGATTCGGGGATCTCTTGGGCTTTGGGACGTTTTGGCTTTAAGGGCTTAGGGCTTGGGTGCTATTTTTTTGTGGGGGGGGGGGGGGGGGGGGGGGTTAGGGTTTAGGGTTTAGGGCTCCATAGGGTTTTGGGCTTTAAGGGCATAGGGCTTGGGGTTCGGGTTTAGGGTTTATAAGCTCTAAAGGGTTTAGGGCTTTAGGGCTTCGAAGTCTTGGGCTTTAGGGCTGACAGGGTTTGTAGGATTTTGGGGTTGGGGGCTTAGAGTTTAGCCTTGGGCTGTAGGGCTTTTGGATTTCCGGGGTGTAATTATAGCGTTCAAGGCTTAGCCGTTTAGAGTTTGGGGTTTAGGGCTGGGTCTTTCGGAAGTTGGGCTTTCGGGCTTGGGTTTTGGGCTGGAAGGCTTAGGGTTTACAGAGGGTTTTGGGCTTTATAGAGCTTAGGGTTGTAGGGCTCAGTTGAAGCTTAGGGTGTAGTGTATAGGTTTTGAGGCTTTTGGGCTTCGGGGTTTCTCGAAGGATTCCTTCCCGGACTCCACAATGTAAGGTTTTGGAGGGTTGTGGGAGTTTGGAGCCAGGGGTTTGGATTGAGGGTTTAGGGTTTAGAGGTTGGAGTTTTGGTGTTCATCCATAGGGTTTCCGGGTGTGCTTAGGGCATGCAGATTGCGAGGGATTTGCCAGGGGCTAAGGGTAATTACAGGCCTCGAAGTGCTTTAAAACTAGGCCAGAAGTGCAGAAGCGTATTGTTTATCCTGGTTACACTAAACCCCAAACTTTAAGACTAGGCTTTGCGGTTAAGGGAAGGCTCCGGCAACTGCGGCTGCGGCCGGCGCCGGCGTTTGCGCCGGCGGCGGGGGAAGCTTTCCCCGGCCGGGATGTCCCCGCGCTGTTCCATCGCCCGCCGCATGAAAGGCCTCGGCTGTGAGGATTTAGTAGACCGCCTGAATTGTTAGCTTATGGTTTTGGGTTTTGTTGTACTAAAATTGAACCAAGGACTAGAAAGAGAGACTACTCAGTTCATGATCCCGACGCTATATATATATATATATATATATATATACATACATATATATATATGTACATATATATATATGGGTACCCCCCTATATGGGGTCCCCTGGGTTTTGGCACACCCAAACCACTAAACCATTAAACCATTAAACCATTCCTTTTGCTCCATACCACTAAACCAATAAACCATTAAACCATTAAACCAATCCTTTCCCCTAGTGGACCCAAACCAATAAACCATTAAACCATTAAACCAATCATTTCCCCCAATGGACCTAAACCACTAAACCAATAAACCATTAAACCATTAAACCAATCATTTCCCCCAATGGACCTAAACCATTAAACCATTAAACCAATCATTTTCCCCTATAGAGAGAGAGACACATCCCTGTATGGGCCGAAAGCATTGGTTTAATGGTTTAATGGTTTAATGGTTTAGTGGTTTAGTGGTCTAGTGGTATGGAGCAAACGGATTGGTTTAATGGTTTAATGGTTTAATGGTTTAATGGTTTAGTGGTATGAAGTAAAGGGATTGGTTTAATGGTTTAATGGTTTAGTGTTTTAGGTGCATTGGGGGAAAGGATTGGTTTAATGGTTTAGTGGTTTGGTGGTATGGGGTAAAGGGATTGCTTTAATGGTTTAGTGCAATGGGGCAAAAGGATTGGTTTAATGGTTTATTGGTTTGGTTCCATTGGGGGAAAGGATAATGGTTTAATGGTTTAGTGATGGGTCTAGGGCTGCCTACTACGCAGGTGTCCTAGTTATAACCGGGGACAGAGGTTGTAACCAGGCTGCAAAATACGTTCAGGGTTTGAAGACTCCCGCCGTGCCCTATAGATCAAATGGATTGGTTTATTGGTTTGATGGTTTAAGTCTTCCGTGTCGTATCGCGCAAGCGGGCCGGTATAATGGTTTAAGTCTAAGGCTCCCCCAAACCCTAGCGCCAAACCCTAAGCAGTAAAACCCAAACCCAACACTTGATGGTGAACCTGCAATATTGGTAAACTGTGTCGAAACACCGGGGGGCTTACATACCAGGATCGTGGTTTGTAAATTCGGGTGCCTTGATTGTTTGTTGCACAATATAAACCTTACGAAGCAAATCTGTGCCACCGCTACTTCATCAACACCTAGACCTAGATCCAAACGTTCGAAAGTTTGGGTGTTTCAGGGGAAATGTAACCGCAATGAAACTAAACAAGGACTAGAAGAAGGTCCGAGGTAATTGGCATGTATTCGGTTGTTGAGGCATGATGCAGTGCTTTGTAACAAACATAATTCCGGGGACCATATGCGCATTCCCCAACTTTAGCGGAAAGGCTACATGGCGGACTTTACATAATGGTCTGTCCGTTCCAGTACATCGGGCTTATGAGATCTATGTACACATTGAGAGAATAGCCGCTAACATGTCAATGACCCAGGAATCAAAATGCGGAAGATGAAGGGTCTCTATCGGGATTACAGTAGGTCAGTAAGTGTTGTCAACATTGGAATATCACGGTACACAAAAAAGTTGAGATACGACTGATACGACGTCATTGTAGGGAGAGATAGTATATCAAAGCTTACAGCGTGGTCAGGTTTCATCACTTCGTACATAGGCGAACTGGTTGCAACGTTATGTTCAAACATCGTTCCAAGGAAGCAGGATTTCGATGAGACAAAACTGATAAGAATATGTGTGGTGAGCGATTTGCAACTTGCAAACTGTTAGGTTTCCTCGCTCGGTACGTAGAAAATTCCTTGCAATGCTATTTCCAACTACATGGATGTACCTCTTTCGAGGAGTGATTCGGTGTGTGTTTACCACTTTTTCTAAAACGAGGAGCACGTTCTGGATTGGGAACAATGGCTTCTGTTCGACCTTCAGAAAATATTCACAAGAACACAAACAGAAATTCGGACAAGCTAGATGTAGCTTTATGGTTTTCAGTGAGCTTTACGTGATGGTTAAGGTATGCTGATACAAAAAGCACAGGCCTCATCACTGAGCATATAGAAACAGTGCCAAGCCTAAGAAGCGACGCTTCATGTCGTCCCCCAGGAAAAACACTGTACAAAGTTTGCCAAGCTTGTAGTGTGCAAGTTTTCAATTTTGGCTTGGGGCAGCCGTCATACAGAAATAAGGAATGCACCACTCAAATATACCTACCGGATATACCAGTGTCTACAAGCAATCACATAGGGGCACAGGGATTTGTCATTGAAAGCTATCAGTTTGCCAAAACGTCATAGCAATGCGCCCAACAACAGAGACTTTGATGGTATTGCGGCATTACAGTACAAAGATGGAAAACTTTTCGTTCCAAAATTCAGTTCGCGATAAGGAATGACTGAACCAGACTAATTAATGACTACAGCACGCTTGTTGGAAAAAACTGAAATATCGATAATGTATACCTGATTATAAATTATTCGAATGGTTATAACCTAGTCGGCTGGTTATAACCTAATCGGCTGGTTATAACCTAGTCTGGTGGTTATAGCTCAGTCAGGTGATGTAGCGAAAAACGTAGGGGACCCCAAATAGGGGTGCGCCCATATATATATATATATATATATATATATATAGGTTTAGGATGGTTTGGGGTGTCAGGGCTTTTGTTGCTCGGCTTTGGCTTATGGGATTAACAGGACTTGCGTGATAGGGCTTATGGCTCCTAGGTTTCCCTAGCTCGATGGGCTTAGGGTTTGAGGGTTCGCGCTGTCGTCGCATTGGAGCATCAATGCTTCCGGGACTGGACCACGATCACAAGAATCAGCAGCAATGCCATTATCTGCCTCTTTGCACCTCAGCACCACCACGACCACCACCGCCCGGAACCCTAAGCAGCAAAATTGCACCAGCACAGCCTACCGCCATGATCACGACCAGAACAATCAAAAGCAGCAGCACCACCACTACTAGGTTTTGGGGTTCAGGGTGACTCTACACGCATATATATTTTCTGAACAACCTGCGATATTATTGCAACAGGTAGGAGCCTGCCCGATACCCTTACGACAGCTGCAAAGCGACACTTACACTTTGAGGACAGAGTGCTCATCCGGCCCTACACCCTGAACCCTAAACGACAAACCCTAAGCCAACAACCCTAAACCCTAAGCCCGAACGTAAACACCCCACCTGAAAATCCCTAAACTATACTGAACTGAGAACCCTAGCAAGAATTGCAATTTCAGCTGTTTCTTAGGGATTATCATAACCATAACTTAAAAATATGTCTAAGTACCCCTAAGTAAACCGGCCCTGGAACCTTAAACCCAAAGCCCTCCCTAGATCTACTTCAAACCCTCAGCCCTCACACTAAAACCCGCGAGGCACTCCTGCATTATAGACTCATTAGACTGTACTAGGCGCTCTACAAAATTTCCTTTAAAAGGATCTATAAGGGTTCTAGGGTTTAGGGGCTTGGGCTTTAAGGTAGAAGCCCAAAAGTTGGACACCCCATAGCCTCAATCCTGAAGTGTTATGTAGAGGGAATCCCTGCACTATTTTGGCCGTTATCCGGTGTCCAACTATATGGTTTTGCTGGAAATAAACCCGAGCTTATCCCCAAAGCCCTCCAGGCTTGTACAGCCAAGCTGCAGCAGAATAGGCGGAGGTGCAGGCACCGGGGGGAGCCTTGTGGGGGACTCCAGGGGCTTTCTTGTTCGAAAGGGTTTAGGGTTTCAGGGTTTAGGGTTTAGGGTTTAGGGTTTAGGGTTTAGGGTTTAGGGTTTAAAGTTTAGGGTTTAGGGTTTAGGGTTTAAAGTTTAGGGTTTAGGGTTTAGGGTTTAGGGTTTAGGGTTTAGGGTTTAAAGTTTAGGGTTTAGGGTTTAGGGTTTAGGGTTCTATAACAGGGTGACCTGTAGGGTTTAGGGTTTGTAGGGTTCTATGATCAAGGTGACCTTTTCGGGCTTAGGGCTTAGGGCCTACTGAAAGGTGCATGGTTTTTCGTGATTGGGGCTTCGGGTTCCTTTTTCTAGAGTTTAGGGCTGAGGGGTTTAGGGGTTTCGGGTTGCGACATTATGATATAGCCTCTCACTGCCAGAGTAACTATGTACTAGGTTTGCCCTTCAAGCCTTTGAAAAATATTCGTAAATAGGGTCCTATTAAGCCCAATAAGGGAAATATAAAATGTCCCAGAGGCCTACATAGTGTAGTGCCACTACTTCTTCTGAACCGGTTCTCAGGCTCTAGGGCTCGGGCCCCGTTTCGGGGGTTGGAGGTTTGGGGACTCAAAGGCTTAGGCAATCCCAGAGGCTCCATGTACCCTTATAGTAGATACTTCAGCCTTAAAGGGGGACCTATATAGCTACTTGAAGGCCTACGTATATACTATATGGGTACATGGAGCCTTGAGGAATGAGACTGTTGGGGTTCAACAGGAAGAACAGCACTCATTATCTAGACGGGTTTTGGGTTCGAGATAACGTCGTTAGCAGAGGCCCCCATAGTAGTTCCTTTTTGGGATTGCCTTACAGGGTTCTGTATATGAACCCCAAAACGGAACTACTTTGGAGCCTCTGGTTAGTAACGTTACCGAGAGGTCACTGGGCGACCCTGGCGGGTTACTTGCCGTAGCATCCAACTTAATGCACAAAGCCCTCGCCCTGAACCATAAGAAGTCGCTGCATGGGTTCCTATATGGGAATTTCCGAATATTGGTGGTACCTTATTTTGTGGACCTTAGAATAAGGATCCTATTTTTTGAGTACTATTTCGGGGCAGGCCCTGAGGTTTTTGGGAGGTTCCGAAAATAGGGGACCCTTTAACATAGTACCCTAAATAGTAGGATCCTTATTAAGAGGAACCCAAAATAAGGTACCCCTAATTTTTGGAAACTCCCAATTGGAACAGAAACGATCTCTCCAGACGGCAAGCGAGAGCCATCTGCGAATCATTGAAACTCCCATTTGGGTTTGGAGTTGTAGGGCGTTAGGATTCAACGCTTGATTAGAGTCTAGAGTTTAGAGTTTAGGTTTTCAATACTCGCATGCTCCAACCCTCAACCCTAAACTCCGTACCACTGGTGTTCTGGTGTTCCGAGTGTCAACCGTAACCAATTACTACCCCGTAAACCCGGACCCTAGGCCCGATGCCCCCCTAAACCCTAAACCCCCTCTCTACCTACATAACCCCCATCCCAGCACCAGAACGGCCTAGGTCCATTCAGACTGCAGGGTTGCAGGATCAGTGTGGGGGGGGGGGTGCATGTTAGAGCTTGGGGCGTCGGGGTTTAGGGTTTAGGGCTTAAGGGTTGAAGGCCTGGGACAACATAATGTCGAGAAGCTCACCAAAGTGGCGTCGGAACAGCCGCAGGGCGGCAAGCATCGCCCTTGCGTTGAACCCTGTAAATCCGAAGCAAACCTTAGACCCACCCTCAGCCCAAATCCTTTAGCAGCGCTCTGCAGTGTTTGTTGTGCAGTGTTTGTTGCGTCATCTACTACACGATCAGTGCACCGAGAGAATAACTGCTGTCAGAACTCGTTTTCTGTGTATATCATAGCCGTTATTCTGGGCTACTAATCTTTTCTACAGGTTGAACGGTTCCTTGTTACTTTCAGAATCTCCCATAGATCCATCGACGTGCAGAGCCTTTCGAACGTTTGCACTGGGGTTGCGCTTTATCCCATGACGAATGCTCTCTCTCTCTCTCTCCCTCCCTCCCTCCCTCCGCTCCGGCTCTTAGTGTGTAGTGTTGGGGTTTCAGGATTCAAGTTTTCGGGGTGCCGGGCGAGCTTGGGGGCTGAGGGAGGGTAGCATCTGCCCAACCTCCTGAGACATACCTACCTTTTCAGGGACATGCATAAAGCAAATGAGTCAGAACAAGGAGCCCCCTATTGGGCTTAGGTAGAGTCCTTACTTAATGTTCTATCCGTGCACCATGCAGATGAACCCTTGCCATTCCAAAACTGTTTTGTTTAGGTCGCCGTCGTGGGGTTGCGGCCGGGCTGTGCTGAGCCACGCCCTGGACCTCCAAATCTTAAATACCCACGAAGCAAGCGAGCCTGAACCCGTTTCGGGCTTTAGGGTTGACAGTCCCTACGGTCCCTACTTGGAGGATCATGGGACTTAGTAAGTATGGTTATAAGTACCCTCAGTGGGGTTATATGGGTTTTGTGGGTAGAGTTACCTTAATTTTAACCCTAGTGACTAAGTCCCATGATCCTCCAAGTAAGCCATGGCTCCCTAAGCCCCTTCTGACGAGGCAGGTGCTGAAGCAGTGCAGCACCGATCAGTGTGGAGAGACCCGCGACCAAGTATGGAGCCTGTCGCGGAAGGAGTGCTCGGTGTCTCTTTGGAGCGGTCACACCCAGATTATGGTCTTGGTCAATACCGCGGCTGCAAGGAGAACTGGGCTCTTTTCGCCTTCTGGATGGGGACAGGGAGAGAGCATGATGCACTCTCGGGTTATATTTATTTTGCTCGGTATGAGGGAGAGGGATTCGGCATTCGTGTTCAGGGTGTTGGGGATTAAGATTTTGGTCAAGCATGAACTAGTCACTGAACCCAAACCATGTGTTGCTTCAGCCTCGTTATAACAAAGGACAACTGCTATCTGGCTTCAAAACAAAGCCTCAAGACAGGAAGGTTTAGGTGTTCCTTGGGCAGTCACATGTTTGTTGGGGCTGTGGCAGTGCACTCAAGACTACTATTACTACTAGATTTAGGCAAACCACTGCAGACAAGTATGAAGGATGGAGTTTGGGCTAGTAAAACTCTTGCTTCAAGGGCCTTTATGACATGATCCGTTTGGGTTTACACTACCCACCTTCCCGGCATGAGGCTTGTGACAATCCTATTTTCGGGCGGTTACTGCAACGGTTCAGGCTGAGTAGCTACTAACAACACTCTTCATTAGGGCTCCTTATTTAAGATTTGCTATAGTGCACCACCCTTCCCCCCACGCCATATTCCAACTGCTAACGCCCTCATAATATCACTTTCGGGGGCCCTGGCTGGGAGTGAGTCACGGTTTAGGGTTTAGGGTTAGGGTTTCGGGTTCAGGGCTTCAGATCTCGGGGGTCGTACTAATCCGAAAACGATTTTGATGTGTTGTTTCTTTCTAAGCCAAAATGCCCACTACTAAGGGTTGTCAAAGGGCCCTTCGGGGGTCCTGGTAATGTAAACTGGGTTCCTGTTCAGGGGTTTAATTTCAGTTGCCATAAAGGGGACCTATAGTAAAGTGCCTTGTAGATGAAATTCTTTAACAAGAACCCAGGTGAAAGCATATGTCCCAGCACAACACTGCTGCCTTCACCTGCGCCAACACGCTGGGGCCCTGTATCGCCCTCGTCAGGGCCTGGACGAATGAACTTGTGGGGTTGAGAGTTATGGGATCAGGATTCAAGTGTTCAGGGGTTCAGGGCTTAGGGGCTCAGGGGTTTAGGGGTTCGGGGTTAGATCGGTGAGAGGTTAAAAGCTGCGGAATTAATTTAGGGCTTTGGGTTTAGGGGTTTAGGGTTGGGGATTTGGGTGTTTAAGGTTTAGGGTTTAAGGTCGAGGTAAAAGCAATCAGGTGTTGCGGGATTCTGGGTTGACAAACTCGAGTGGCCCTCGAACATCGCAAGCGCACGCCCATGAAGATGCCACGGATGCTACTAGCTTAATCAAGGTCTTTGTTTAGCTGCGGATGAATCTAAGAGTTAGGGCTTATAGTGTTTGAGGAAGTAAAGTAGAGTTTGGAGCTTGATGTAGTCAACCCTCCGTCTCGGCAGCACTCCTTAACCCTAATCCTCAGCCCCTTAATGCTGGGCCTAACCTGGCAAAAAGGACTCTTTTTTTGGTCTTGGGTGATTTTATATGGAACGCAAGACCACAAAAAGGGAAAAGGGCTCACTCGGAGGCCAACCGAAGGCTCATAAACCCTAAACCCTAAACCCTAAACCCTAAATCCCCAACCCTAAACCCTAAACCCTAAACCCTAAACCTGCAAAACCCACAGCCCGGAGCCCCCAAACCCAATACACTTCGGACCGGCAGGCCGTGGCCATGTGCTCGCCGTAAGCTGCAAGCAGCGTCCTGCCGGGAGGCTCTACCCTAAGGCCCCATAGTAGCTACTTTTTGTGGTTCGCATTTAGAAACCTATAAGGTAATCCCGAAAAAGAACTACTATGGGGACTTGGGGTACTGAAGTCTGCAGGGGCTTATCCTTCGTCGGGGCTTGGTGATATGTTCACGTTACGGTTTAGGATTCAGTGTTTAGGGCTTAGGGCTCCGTTGAGGGGTTCAGGTTTAGGGCTTTAGGGTTCCTTCCACGTCATAGGGACTCTCTGCCGGAAAAAAAGTAGATCTTAGTTGTCAGGTTTCAGAACTTGGGGGCGTCGAAGGATGGTTCAGAGCTCTAGGGTCTAGAGTGTATGGCTTAGGGGTTTAGGGCTTAGGGCCAGAACATATAAGTAGATCTTAGGGTTCAGGCTGCCTGGCCGGAATAGACGTAATTGTGTGATCAGAACGAACCAATAAAATGGTCCGAGTCCGAGGGCTGTCGAAACATTTACGTGGCATCATCAACGGAACCCTACGGATCCCTGTAAAGGAACCCTTAAAGGAACCCGAACGATCCCTTTAAAGGCACTTCTGTTTCAGGACCTGGAGGTTATTGGATTGAGAGGTCGTGGCGCAGGTGCTCAGAGGTCTTAAGATCCAGACGTAGGGCTTTAGGTTTTACCTTGGGATCTGAGAACCTACCGTTTTAAGGGTTCTACCCTCTAATTAAGGGGGCATAACCTACTACTATGTAGGGTTTGGGGATACAGGTAGGCTTTAGTCTTTAGGTTCATGGTTTTCCGAAGGTTTGTGTGGTTAGGGGCTTTTAAGGGTAAAGAGCTGTAGGGTTGGGGGAGTTTAGGGCTTAGTTCGGGCTTTCAAAACATTGCAATCATGCAAGCAAGATCGCGCAGCCCCACGGGTCCAGAAAGCCACTTGTGCGTATGACCACTGCTCCAGAGCCTTGTCGCAGGCGGCAACACCTTGCTGTAGAAAGTTCGATTCGCAACCTCCCCTGCCCTTTCTCCCTGGGGATTACAGTCTTGTTCGTTGTAAACCAGATCAGGATCATGCGACTATAACCTTAACCCCAAGCAACCTACCCTTTCAAAGACTTATATTAGGGAACCCGAAAAAGGCAGGTTCCTTAGGGGCCAGGAAGACTCTGGAACACAGGTCGGCTGTGGATCAGTCTACTTTACGTGGAGGGTCAGGCTGTGGATCCCCAAACTCCCGCAACACACAACATCCCAAAGCCCGAGAGCGGGGACTCAACCAAGAACTCGTGGCCGGATTCCGCCTGTTTCTGTAGATTTTTGGGTTTAGGGTTAGGGTCCTGATCCCCCCCCCCAACACTAAACCCTGTAAGCCCAAACCCTAAACCCTAAAAGTCCTAAACCCTATAAGTCCTAAACCCTATAAGCCCTAAACCCCTAAACCCTAAACCCCTAAACCCCTAAACCCTAAACCCTAAACCCTATAGATCCCTTTAAGGAACCCTATAGATCCCTTTAAGGAGCCCTTTAAGGAACCCTAAACCCCACCCTCCCCCTGCTCCACTCTTCAACACCCAGTTTGCGACAGGGAGCAGCCCTGGATCCTCCCCCGCAGCTTGGATGGACCAGCCTTTAAAGCGGCCTTATAGGGATCCAGAAATTTCCTTAAAGGGATCTATAGGGTTCAGGCTTTAGGGTCTACTTGGAGGATCATGGGACTTAGTAAGTATGGTTATAAGTACCTTACGTGGGGCTATATGTAATTCTAAGTATAGTTACCTCAATTATAACCCTAGTTACTAATGATCCTCTAAGTAGGGACACTACCCTTGCCCCCAAAAAGGCTAATTGATTGAATTATGGTAGAACTATATACACCCGAAAAGGTTAAAGGTTACCTACACCGCTACTAAGTTTTTGACTTCTGCTACGGGATACGAGCCGTATATCTACCTATCCGTCTCTATCTATGCCTATCTATCTCTATCTGCCCATCTATCTATCTACGGTTTTCATGTTTGGAAGAAACAGCTGAACAAGCTCATACGTATATGTGTGTACATATATATATATATATATATACACATACACATATGTATGTATGTGTATATATATACAAGGTCTACTACACTATGAGTCATAAAAGGGGTACAACAAATACTTGAGTTAAGGATTTAGGCTTCGCAGTCTCAGGTATAAGACTTGGATGTTGGAAAGCCTTCGGCGTAAGATCTATGGCTGATTCGTCGCGAAGAGGACTCGGATACTGGGTTTATAATTTCGAGATTCAAAGGGTTTAGGGTTTAGGGTTAGGGTTTAGGGTTTAGGGTTTAGGGTTTAGGCTATTGACTCAGAGTCGGGGATGGCTGGCCAGCTGCAAGAGGTTTTGGCACAGGAGCGGTAAGATAACCCAGAGGGTCCATAATTATACACTACGAATATGGAATTAGGCCCTAAAAAGGCCATCCCCATTATAGTTTCGGGGACCTAATTCCATAATAGTAGTGTATATGGACCCGCTGGGTAAGAGCAAATCAAGTTTAGTTGCGTTGGGCCTCCGGTTTGATCCCTCAACCCTGCACCCAAATTCGGGTTTTAGGGGTTTAGGGATCATAGGGTAAACTCTTGAGGCGTTGAGTTTCGCTTGCCAGGAGCAAAGGAAACAGGGCAACTGAAACAATAGGTCAGTACGAAACTGCAGAACCCTTCCCCAAGGGTTCAAGTACCCAATAATCATATACTCTCCAAAATCCTAACCTACATAACTACTATCCTAAACGCAAGTACCGTATTATTGGGTCTTTTGGTCCCTTGGGGTATGTAAAGAAACCGAGTACCTGATAATTGGGTCCTTTGGACCCTTGGGGTAAACCCTTAAAGTAGCCCTAAACCCTAAACCTCTAAACCCCTAAACCCCTAAACCCTAAACCCCTAAACCCTAAACCCTAAACCCCATAGATCCCTTTACGGAACCCTATCGATCCCTTTAAGGAGCCCTTTAAGGAACCCTAAACACCTAAACCCCTAACCCTGCAGAGCCCTTTGCCTGCCTCCGTGCCGAAGGCTGCGAGAGCCGCCTGCTCCTGGCTGCTACCGAACCCCTAACTTAGGGACCCCAAACAGCACATAAGAGGAACCATATAGATCCCTTCAAGGAGCCTTTTAAGGAACCCTATAGATCCCTTTAAGGAGTTACTATATTTGTTGCTTGAGGCTCCCCATCTGGTACTCTATGAGGGTCTACTAGGATACCCAGTAACCTAAGAACAAAAAGGCCTCTCTTTTTGGTATTGGGTAACTTTATAAGGAACCTAGGACTACAAAAAGGGAATAAGGGTACTACTGGGCATCCGAGAAAAGCATTATATGGATATATCCCTACCGTATTGGGCTTCTTTATAAAGGGGGCTTATATGGGATATCCCTATTCCCTATCCTAATTTTTGCTTATGTGCTTTTGTGGGGCCCTACTAAACCCTCGACCCCAACCCCCCCCAACCCAAACCTCAGCCGTTTATAGGGCTTCAGATTTTAGGGTTTCGGCTTAGGGCTCACGGTTCCGCTTTGAGGGTCGAGGGTCCAGAGTTTAGAGATTAGGGTTCAGAGGCTTGGGGTGTATGCTTGGAGGAGCATGGGACTTAGTAAGTATGGTTTCAAGTACCTTAAGTGGTTTTATATGTAATTATAAGTATAATAATAACCCAAGCTACTAAGTCCCATGATCCTCTAAGTGGGGCCTGGGAGTGGGGTGCAGGGTGCAGGGTATCAGGGTCGGAGCCGGCATGGACCCTAAACCCTGAACCCAAGACCCCTAAACCCCTACACCCTATAGATCCCTTAACGGAACCCCATAGATCCGTTAAAGGGATCCTTAAAGGAACCCTAAAGAACCCCTAAACCCTGAAGGCCAACCCCATTGCACCCTAAACCCTAACCCAGCTTCCCGGTGCCAACGTAGGTCTCGAGATCGATATGGTGGTTTCCGAAAATTAGGGGTACTATATTAGGGTCGGGTTTAGGGTTTAGGGTTTAGGTTCTTATAATAAGGATCCTACTATTTAGGGTACTATATTAGGGTCCCCTATTTTCGGAAACCCCCATATGGGTGGTTGTCAAAATTAGGGTCCCTTTTTGGGCACCCTAAATATTAGGTGCCGTATGATAATAGGGACCCAGAAAAGGGACCCTAATTTTGACAACCACTTATATCCGAAATGTATGAAGGAATCCAGAGGATTGGATGTTCGAACATTCTGACTTGTGTCTTTGCAGTCAATATTAAATTAGGCTTGAAACGACTTCAGGGGCTTGGCGGTGTGGGCCACGGTTTACAGTTGTGCATGTGCCGTTGTCAGACATAAAACTACGTAGACAGAGCCCAGAGTCGAGAAGGACCCATGGAAAGCAGGTTATCGGAATCTGCCATAACCTGCTCTTTTCGCGGGTTTCTGCTCAGCCTGCGTTGGGAGCTAGATGAAGAAATCTGCACTATTTCACGCAGAGCCTTGCAGGTATCATTGGGATCCTGGCAGCAAGCCGTACTTACGATTCTGACTATGTGCGTAATCCATGAACCCCTACTTAAAGGACCATGGGACCTAGTACTAGGTTTATAATTAAGGTAACTATACTTATAATTACTTATAACCCCACTTAAGGTACTTATAACCATACTTACTAAGTACCATGATCCTCCAAGTACCCTGAACCCGGGTCTCCATTCAGGCCGTCCTGGGCGTAGGTCAGGTGGATGTTGTGCTCCTCCTGCTGCCGAGCCTCCTGCGGGGGAGTTGACTTCCGGGTCTTTTTGCAAGGTGCTTTTCAAGGTGTAGTGTCCTAGGAATGATGGCTTGCTGGGTTCCAGATATAAAGGCATGAGAACATCAACCGTTACGGTTGGGATCAAGGATTACATCTTACGGTGTCCAGTTGGCTGATTCTTTACGGCCAAGGGTTATTGAAGGCGCAGACTTCGACAAGATTTGCATAGCAAAACATGGGATTTGATTCCCAGACCCCCAAAAGAATCCAAAAAGTAGATCCCTTAATGGGGGTTCCTATACAGTACCCATAGTATTATAGGGCCCCAAATTAGGGGATCGACTTTTTAGATCCTCCCGGGCGGTCTGGGTTCACTACCAGGTCAATCGAAATTAGGCCCAACACACGCGCACACACACACACACACACGCAACTAGGTGCTATAGAGTCCAACAAGGATCCAACAACGGTCTTTTCGCGGCTTTGGATTAACCGGGCTAGGGCTAAGCTGTTTTTGTCTTGGTATCGCGTTTGAGGATGGAGGCTTCCGGCCTATGTTGTCGAAAGTCTGAGAGGATGACTTAGGCCGCCCTGAGGGGATTCCTGGAAGAAACGAAAGATCTGTTGCCCGGCAGAAAACCACACAAGTCTCATAGATCCTGAACCCTTAAAAGGGTCGATGTACCCAAATAGTGTATACTTTGGTCCCAAGGTACCTATATAGGAAGTACTTTAAGGCCAAAGTATATAATATTTGGGCACATGGACTCTTGCGTGAAGCGGCACTTCGTCATGATCAGGGGATCAGGTCACCTGATCGTTAGGGTCCAGAGCTCAGCGCCCAGAGGATGCCTCCTGCTTGGCGCGCCGTGCGACTCGATTTCTCGCTGCGTGGTACTCCGGTGTGTCCTCAGGTCTGTGCAGGGGCTGCTATATGGAGGGATCCTTGATTTCAAGACACCGGAACCGACAGACGCGCCCTAGTATTTAGAACAAGGTTGCCATGCTATAACGGACAGGGGCATGTAGGATCTAAGGGATACGGTCAGGGTTCACGGAATACTGTTTCAGGTTCAGGGATTTACTGGTGTGCCTCCTGCGTCCTGGCAGGATCCGGCACGTAGTACGTGGCTCTGAACAGATAACCATAGCAAGCCAGGGCTCAGGATTTAGTGTCTGCATCTAGTGATAGGTATACTCCTGCTCGCTAAATCCTCCGGATCATTTGAGTAGAACAACGAAACTCTCGGCTTTTAAACCATATTCCATTTTGCCTGTGCCTGCGAAGTACGATCACCCCCCCACGAGCAAGTTCCCCCAAGGGTCCAAAGTACCGATATAGTAGAATGTAGGGTTTAATGGGATCTATAGGGTTTAGGGTCTACTTGAAGGATCATGGGACTTAGTAACTACTATTATTTTAATAGGGTAACTATATACTTCAAACTACTTGGATCCCCACTGAGGGTACTTGTACCCCGACATACTAAGTCCCATGACCCTCCAAGTAACGTGCATCCTGGAGGCACGCATGTGCAACGGCACTGCACTGAGCAACTGCCAGCACCTCTCCTCGCGCTGTGACAAATGCTTCTCAGACTGAGGGTCTGGGGTTTAGGGGTCCTTAAAGGGCTCCTTAAAGGGATCTATAGGGTTCCTTAAAGGGATCTATAGGGTTCCTTAAAGGGATCTATAGGGTTCCTTAAAGGGATCTATAGGGTTTAGGGTTTAGGGTTTAGGAAGGGGTTTTCAGTTTGGGGGTTGGGGTCTTCAGTTGGGGTTAGGGCTTGGAATTCACTGGTTCAGCGTGTCTTGTGGGTCAAGGTGCTGGGGTGTGCTTAGCCCTAAACCCTAAACCCTAAACCCTAAACCCCTAAACCCTAAACCCTAACCCTTTGTCATCCTTTGCTTTGATCCAGACTCCCGTCGCCAAGGACATCAGGGCCATAGGGACCTCTACCAAAAGTGCTATGGGAGCTTCCTTCCAGTGTCATGCGAAAGCGTCCTGAACCCCGAAGCTACACGCCTGAACAAGTCGAACTCGAAACTCTCCGTTGATTAGTCTGCCCACTTTGTCAAAAGTGAGGTTTCGAATACAACAAGCAGGGTGAGCAGTTCTGCCTATCGGCTCCTCTAAGGGATTGCTGGTGGGTTGTTTGTACGGTTGTTGCGGCGCTTTGTAGATGTCTTAATAACCAAAACAGGGTTTTGGGGAAAAATCATGGCATCATTCTGTAGAGACTATGCATAGTGAATAAACGCATCCACCGTTTCCTGACTCAAGCACCCGCATTTCGCAAGTGCCTGGGGCGGTGCTTTCGGCCCTGAACTCCACCACAACCTACTCAGAGATTTGGCCGTGGGTGCTGTAGGGTTTCGAGGATTGTATGGTCGGGAGTGTCGGGTCTAGGATCGAGGTCTGATGTGCAAGTCGCCTCCCAGCGGACACTGAGAGTTGAGGGTGCAGCTTTGACGGCGCAGCGTCCTCGTTCCGCGTGGTCTTGATGAGGCTAATGATGGATGCATAGTGGGCATTGTAGCAGTCATCGCAGACATTGAAAGTACCTTGCAGCACGAGCAAGTCAAATGCCCCTGAAAACGAATACCACCCCTAAGCAGAAGTATCTGGTACTTGAGGCTGAGGCTATACATAAATACTTCTATGTACAGATGCCGCACCTACCATAGCTGTACTTAGTATCGCGCAAGGAAGCTATTCCACAAGCTTGTACGAGCCATGTCGCACAGGCCCGTAGAACTTCGCCGGATGCGGCTAGAAGTGTGTGGGGGGAGCTTGTGCGTGCCGGCATCATGGACACAGACATCAACAAGCCTAAACCCATAACCTCAAACCCTCAACACTTTAGATGCACCCTGAGCCCGACAACACAAGACGCCGGGTTAAGCTTGGGTCTCTGGTGTTGCAGTGCTGCAAAGGCTATATTATGAGAGTAACGAGACTAAGTTCACCCAAATTTATGGAAGAAGAGTTCTTTAAACGATCGGTTCGTGTAATTTGGTTTTGGCTCTAGGGGGCAGCGCTTCGTGTAGATTCAGTCGTTGCTGGCAGGGGATGAACATGTAGCCTTCAGCCAAACCCCGAACCTCTAACCCTCATGTACTATAGGGATCGGAATGATCAACAACAGTATCCCTAAACCCTCAACCCCAAACCCCAAAACCCTAAACCCCAACCCCCTAAACCCTAATGTACTTTCGGGGTCGGAATGATCAACAACCGTATCCCCTTACAGCTGATCCCCGAACTCTCTCTTCATTTGTTATTCAGGCCCCTCAAGTCTCAATCCTAAATCCCTTGCTGGGGTAGCCTAAATATTAGGTGCCGTCTTATATTAAGGACCCAAAGAGGGACCCTGATTTTGACAACCACCCACATGTATGCAAGCTTCAATTTACCCTTTGAATACGCCACTGCTTAAAGGAGGACCCGAAACCCTAAACCTCAAACTTCCCAACTAAAGGCCCTTGCCCTTGAGGATCCTGATAGAATGCAAGCTTCAATGATGCTCGCAGCGCCATCGGAAGTCATCCTTGGGGATCCGTTCCTGCCCAGACCCCCGGGAGGATCTAGAAAGTCGATCCCCTAATTTGGGGCCCTATACTACTAAGGGTACTTCATAGGAACCCCCATTAAGGGATCTACTTTTTGGATCCTCCCATAAGCTCTAAACCCTAAACCCTAAAACCCTATAGATCCCTTAGAGGGACCCTTAAAGGAACCCCTACAGGCACCTCCATGAAGGGATCTACATTTTGGATCCTCCCGGGGATCCGTTCCTGCGGCTAAGCTTGGCCGCTGAACTTCTGGGAAAGCTTTGGGCTCAGGGTCTTAGGGTTTAGGGATCGCTTTAAAGGGATAGGGATCCCCTTAAAAGGGCCTTTAAAGGGATCTAAAAGGTGTTTAGGGTTCCTGACGCAGTTCCCTTTTAAAGGGGCCTTTAAAGGGATCTGTGAGGAGTACCATAATGGGCTGAGGGTTTAGGGGTTAGGGGTGAGAGCTTAGGGTCTAAAAGGATTACCATAATGGGCTTAGGGGGTTTTGGGGTTAGAGCTTAGGGTTGAGAATTTTGGGTCGTAAGGTTTAGGGCTTTGGAGCTTTAGGACTTGAGGGCTTTGGGGGTTGAGGAGTTAAGGGTTTAGGGTTTCGGGCTTAGGGGCTTTGGGAGTTGGGGGCTTTAGGGGTTTAGGGGCTTAGGGTTTGCATTGTAGTCACTAAACCCTAAACCCTAAACCCTAATAATGGCTGGTAGACACAGGGAGAGGGCCTGGACTCTGTTGCAGGAGTCACGCTCTCTTCTGCGGATCCTGCCCCTACCCTATAAGGCTCCTTAGTAGTTCCTTTTTGGGGTCCATATATAGAATCCTATAAGGTAATCCCAAAAAGGAACTACTAAGGAGCCCCAGGGTATACACCTTGAACCCCGAACCCTGACATGAAGGCAAACTGAGAGAGATGCTCATATTCCCAACAAATCCTGGGTAGCAATCTTGAACTCTGATCCTCCCAGACCTTCCAAAATCCCTTAATTAAGGAATATCCCTTGAATTATAGTAGGATCCTTAATATGATTTAAGGTATATTCCTTAATTAAGGGATTTTGGAAGGTCTGGGCTGATCGCAATCTGGGGTTTAGGGCGGGTTTACGTTGCCTGCCGCCCCAGAACAAGCAATATGCGCGATTGTTTGTTTCAGATTCAATCCATTTTATGGCTTACCCAGAGGCCCCATGGTAGTTCCCTTTTGGGATTACATTATAGGATTATATATATATATATATATATATATATGACGCCCAAAAAGGAACTACTTTGGGGCCTCTGGGTATTGCTCAGATCGTAGGGCACGGGCCTGCGTCTGTGTTTCGAGACCCTATAAATGCTAATCAAACCCCCTGCCACGGTTTAGGGTTTAGGGTTTAGGGTACCTTTTCGAACAAGAACGCGTGGCAAACCTAGAATAACCGTAAAGATTGCCGTTAACAAAGTCTTTTATCAAAGGGGAAAAGGTGGGACCCTTAATGGGGACCCCTACCCTATAATGGGCTATAATGGGTATACATATATATATATATATATATATATATATATAATGGCCATATTAAGGGTACATACCTAGGGGTCCTTATTAGGCCTCCCTCCTTTTACCCTTAACACAGCCGAAGAATAAAATAGAGAACCCCAGCCTTCTGCACGCCTTCAACAACCCTTGAAGATCTTTGAAAACCAAGGAAGCCTGCTTTCAGAACCGTGGCAAAAACCCCCTTTTATCCGAAGCTCTAAAGCCGCCTACACCCTAAGCCCGAAACCCTTAGGGTTTAGGGTTCAGGGTTTAGGTTTTAGGGTATAGGGTTTAGGCCATAAATCCTGGCCTGGCACTCGTCGCAGAAGACATTCTTCATGCTCACTTCTTGCCACGGCTTCAGCTTCTTCCTCAGCCAGGAAAGGCTGAGGGCTTCCTTCCCCATTGTTGGGAGGATCCTAAGAGTAGATCCCTTAACGGGGTTCCTTAGTAGTTATGCAAGTTCCGAAAGGGGGGATCTATCTTGGTTGTGAAACGTTAAGCACGACCAGGAGGCCCTCAAGTCCCCTTGAATAGAGAGCCCGTATGGTCGATAATAAAAGTACCCAGACCTTCCAAAATCCCTTAATTAAGGAATATCCCTTAAATTATAGTGGGATCCTTAAATAATGATTTAAGGTATATTCCTTAATTAAGGGATTTTGGAAGGTCTGGGTATCTAGCGTATGGTAGAGGGTAGTTGGGGGTTCAGGTGGGTTTGCAGTATCGGACATCGGGTTTAGGGTTTTTAGGCTCAGGATATAGAGTTTCCGAAAATTGGGGGTACCTTATTTGGGGGTCCCTATAAGAAGGATCCCACTATTTAGGGCACTATATTAGGGTCCCCTGTTTTCGGAAACTCCTATATAGAGTTTCGGGCCTGTTTATGGGATGCAGGAGGGTTCTATATGGGTGCTTTCTGGGTTTGGGTTTGAGGTCTTGGGTTTGCCTCCGAACCCCAACATCAGAAACCGAACCCTTTCACCCAAAACCAAACGCTGCCCAGGGTCTTCTTTGTCACCACGTGACCATCAGAACAACGAAGCCTCCGACTGCGAGACTTTGATACTCAAGGAGGGTTTATGGTTGAGTTTTGTCTTTTAAGCGCCTCTTTTCCATGGTTTAGGTTCGTGTTTGAACCTTCGTGGTTATATAAAAGGGTTTAAGGTTTGTGGTTTAATTACGGCTTAAAGCTTACGGTTTAAGGTTTAGGGTTGAAGGCTTCTGGTTTAGGGAGGAGGGCTCTTGTGGGCTTGTACAAGGCTGCTGGGAGGCTTGCTCGAACAGCACAGGGTTTAGGGTTCATGGACTTCATAGGATTCGAGAAGTGTTGTATGAGGGCTGTATGAGGACTTCCCAGACCTTCCAAGATCCCTTAATTAAGGAATATACCTTATATTATAGAAGGATCCTTAATATGATTTAAGGTATATTCCTTAATTAAGGGATGTTGGAAGGTCTGGGTTTCTACATGGGCATCATGCTAGAGGTTCACGGCTTCGTAAGTGGAGTTTAGGGCTTCGCATTGAGCCTAAACTCTGAAATCCAGTTGGGCACAGTTGAGTTTACAGTTTAGGGGTATTGCTGGTGAAAAGTGTAAGGTGAACCTAAACCCTAAACCCCTCCCTCAGGGACAAAAACCTAAACCCGAAGCCCTAAACCCCTAAACTCCAAACCCCGCTAGCTCTAAGGCCCTTGAAGCCTTGACCCCATTCAGCCTGAACCCTGGAATCTACTCAAGAGCACCCATCTGCCAATAAATGCCCGAGCTGCAGTAAGCTCTCTCCTTCGGGAAGCCTGGTATGGGATTTGGGGCTTAGAGTTTAGGGTTTTTCGGTGTTCTTTTGCAGGAGTTCTTATAAGGGATCTATATGAGGGTACCATAAGGGGCTTCAGAGTGGGGCTTTGGGTTCAGGGCTTGTGGCTTAGAGGCCTTGGGTTAGGGCTTAGAATATCGGGTTTAATGTGGAGAGATTTGTAGGCCCTATCAGGCCTCCTTAAGGTTCTCTCGATTTCCTGCATACGGATTCTACTTTTGGCCGGGTGGATGATACCCCAAGACTTTATTCAACCATGACTTGTCGGCGTTTGGGGTTTCGGGTATGAGCATGCAAGAATCCATGGTCCGGGTTTGGGGCTTAGCGTTTAGGGCTCCTTGAGATACTACGCAAACATGTCAGTTCTGTGGCCATAGGCCTCGGGGCCTCAACGATGATCGCTAGTTGGACTTGGGGCAAATTATGTTTTGGGGCTTGTGAAGACATACTACAATCTCCTAGCACTGCTTCATCCTTGGAGTACGTCACGCGGTGTGTTCGGCGAAATTTCTGACAACCGACTGAAGGTGTCTTCCCTAAACCCGAAACCCTATAGATCCCTTTAAGGAACCCTATAGATCCCTTTAAGGAACCCTATAGATCCCTCTACGGAACCCTATAGATCCCCATAAAGGGTTTAGGATAATCATATTCCAACTTTCTGGCTTTTACTTTAAAGGAACTACTTTGGGCCTGTGGGCAGGGCTTGGGCTGTACTATTACATTTGGGGGTCGGGCTTGGGTTCGGGCGTCCCGGGCTAGAGGCCCCAGAGACTCAGACCTTCCAAAATCCCTTAATTAAGGAATACCCCTTAAATTATAGTAGGATCCTTAATAGTGATTTAAGGTATATTCCTTAATCAAGGGATTCTGGAAGGTCTAGAGACTCAAGGAGCTTGGCGGCTCCTGCATTTTCAGGGATGAGGGCTTCGGGTTTAGGGAAGACACCTTCAAGAAATCGGCTCTTTAAAAAAAGCTCCTTAAAGGGATCCTACCCTGAAACCATATTCCAACTTTCTGGAGTTCCCTGTATGGGATTACGTTATGGCTTATAGTTTGGGGTTTGGGGATTCGAGTCTGGTTTATGGATCGAAGGCTTAGAGTTCGGCAGTTCATGTGCCACCAGGTAGCTCAAAGTCTTGGCTCCCTGCTTTCTCCAAGGGATCCTCAGATTGAATTAACGTTCTGTGAGGGAGCTTGATCAGGTTTCTATTTATTGGTTCTAGAGGGTTCTCAGGGTTCTTGAGTTACAAGTTTCTAGAAGTTTTACAACGGTTTCTAGATCGGTTTCAGGGTGCATCTCTACAAAAAAACAAGAGTCTAGTGAGAATTGCGTAGGAAGCAGCCGCGAAGCTTGCAGTGAATAGATTGCGGACTTGGTTTCGGCTGTAAGTTTGGAGTTTAAGATGTGGGAGTTTGGGGGCTTGGGGATAGGCAGTCATGGTTTCAGGCTTTATGCGCTCATTGCTTTTGGCGTTGGGGTTGTGGCTTCGAACGTGTATAAGTACCAAGCCCACTGATCCCTGGGACCCGAATATTTCGTACCAGACCCTACCCCGAAGGCCTAAGGCTCAAAATATTCCAAATCCGTATACATAAATAAATATATATATATATATATGTGGTATATGGGCGCCAACAACCTCACAATATGAGTCCTGTGCTCTGGGGTACCCCTAAACGGCAAACCCTGCACCCTACCCCCAAACCCGTATCCCTAAACCCCAAATCCTAAACCCTCAGCGCCAAACCCTGCTCCTTTCACCCTACCCTGGGGCTCCTTAGTAGTTCCTTTTTGGGATTACCTTATAGGATTCTATATATGAGCCCCAAAAAGGAACTACTAAGGAGCCTTAGGGTAGCCCATAAAGCATTCCGGGATGCCGGCGGCGCGCCCTCAGGTCTGGTAGCAGTGGCAGGGGGCAGAAGGAGCCGGGCCTCACTTGATGGGCTTACAGTAGAAGCCAGAAAGTTGGAACATCATTGTCCTCATGCCCTTAAGGTAAAGTATAAGGGATCCTAGCACTAATCCTCCTAAAGCCATGTTCCAACTTTCTGGCTTCTACTGCAGGGTTTAGGGTTCAGGGGTTCAGATTTTAGGGATTTTGGGGTTTCGGGTTATAAGTTATGAGGGTTTCTTCTGCGGCCGTGTCTGAGTCTGTGCCACGCAGGCGAGCAAAAACATGCAGAAAGCAAACGTCACATGACAGAGATTCGCTCCCAGAGAGTCTTGCATAAACCCAAAGGGTCCAAGTGGTAGTAAAGGATATACTTTGGGCCCCCAAATACCTACTAAGTAAAATTACCAGTTATAATGGTACTTGGACCCTTTGGGAAAGGCCATCTCATAGGTAGATCCCAGGTTCGCTGAAGTCAGCTTGGCAACGTGTAGTCTTTAACCTTAGCACTCTTGGCCCAATTACTCCCAGATCACGTTGCGCAGCTGAGGATATCCTTGAACCCTAAACCCTAAACCCTATCAATCGGCGGGTTGAACATTGCCTTCGTCTCCGCAACGTAACGCGGAGGAGGTGGTTCATGCAAAACCGCCTGGGTAGCAGCCTGTTGGGCATACAATGCCGCTCCCTTTGCCATGGCCCTCTGTGGAGGTGGAGCCATTCCCAAAGGGTCCAAGTACCATTATAGTAGGTACTTAGCAGGTATATGGGCCCCCAAAATATATGCTATACTATTACTTGGACCCCTTGGGTTTGGTTCGAAGCCACTGTCTAGGCCCGCCTGCGCTGACTTACTTTCGGGAGGTTGCTTTGGCTGCAAGGGAGGAGGCATCAATCCTCCTTGCTTTGCCAATGCCTCAGCAGCCGCCTTAGACGCAGCAGGATCAGCCGCCATGTTTAGCGAATTTGTGTGATGCTTAACGGGTTTAAGGTTTAGGGTTGAGGATTCAGGGTAAAGGGTTTAGGGTCAGGGACTTTATAGTGAAGGGCATTTTAGGGGCTTTGGGGTTTAGGGTTTTAATAGGGCTTGACAGGGTGCTTCTGATCATAAGGGTTTCCACTGTTTTTTGTTATGGTTTCGTAGAGGTTTGATAACTGCTTCAATGGCATTTCCTAAGGGGTTTCCAGGGTCACCGTTGCGGAACTTCATGGCACTTATCACAATAACGGACTCCATGCCGGAAACAAGGGCTCCAGTTACCTCAATCGTGGGCTACTGGGGTACATAACGTATGGCTAGTAACCTACTACTTATAGGTAATAGGAGCCGTAGAGCAATAAGAGATCTATCTGCCAAACTGCGAGATTCAAAGGTGGCTTTGAATTACCAAGGACTTCCCCCAACACCCTGAACCCTAAACCCTAGTACCCAGACCTTCCAATATCCCTTTTAAAATTAAGAACTATCCCTTAAATTTTAGTAGGATCCTTAATATGATTTAAGGTATCTTCCTTAGTTAAGGGATTTTGGAAGGTCTGGGTATGTGGCTGAGGGGCTTGGGGTTCCAGGGCTGAAGGATGCAGGGTTTAGGGATGCTCCAAAAAGTTGGAATAGGGTTTCAGGGTAGGATACCTTATAATTTACCATAAAGGGCTTAGGATAATCATATTCCAACTTTCTGGCTTTTACTTTAGGGATGCTCCAGGTTTGGAGTTTAGGGCTTGATGTCGACTTCTCTGAGCATCCGTGCCTGTTGTGTTGGCGTTCTTCGCTTCTTTTGTTTTCATGTCTATAATATGAACCGGCTTTGGTATTTTCAGGGCTTCGTGCAACTTGAAACGGCTGGTAAAACTTCGGCATACAGCTCTTACCATCCTTTGTCCGATCGTTTAACATCAAGCCACACGAAGAACCTTGCGGAACTTTGGAATTATGACATCAGGAGCTACGGTCCGAATTTCGTGCTTTGGTTACGGACTTAAGGACTAGGGAGGAAGGGCTTGGGCCTTAAGGCTTAAGGATTATCCAAGGGTAAAAGGAGGGACCCCTAATAAGGACCCCTAGGTATATACCCTTAATATAGCAATTATATACCCATTAGATATAGCCCAGTATAGGGTAGGGGTCCCCATTAAGGGTCCCTCCATTTCCCCTTTGAGATTAGAAGTTTAGAAGGCTAACTCGGAGTCTGGGTTATATTCAAGGCTAGGTTCCGGGACGCTAGACACCCAAAGGGTCCAAAGCACCTTTATGGTAGAAAGTAGGGTTCCTATATTAGGAATTACTATTATGATTTGGGGAAGTATCCCCCGCAACAGTACTTTGGACCCTTTGGGACAGATGCCAGTCCAAGCCGCATCGTCAGGATTCTCTGCAAACGCAGCCTGGAAATCCTGTCGTTGGCAGGACTTAGGCTCTTGTGGTCTGGGTCTGGGCTTCTGAACCCTCAACTTGGCGTCTAATTACACCGTAACCTCTAAACTTTGAGGAAATTGATTGGGTTTCGGAAGGCTCTTGAAGGATTTTCTGAAGGCCCTAAACCCTAAACCCTAAACCCTAAACCCCTAAACCCCTAAACCCCTAAACCCCTAAAGCCCTAAACCCCTAAACCCTTGACTGAGAAAGCTTCTGATGGAGCTTATGGTTTACACGAGGCGGTTTGGGGTTTGGTGACTTTTGGGATTCAGCATTTAAACCTTGCCTTTAGGGTTTAGGGTTTAGGGTTTAGGGTTTAGGGTTTAGGTTTAGGGTTAAGGGTTAAGGGTTTAGGGTTTAGGGTTTAGGGTTTAGGGTTAAGGGTTTAGGGTTTAGGGTTTAGGGTTTAGGGTTTAGGGTTTAGGGTTTAGGGTTTAGGGTTCCAGAATTTTCCAGGCAGCTTTATTTGCCAGGGGATATACATATGCTGCAGAAATTGGAGCAAACTGCAAACCAGAACCATAAGTTCTAAACCCTAAAAAGCTATGTAAGTTTAAAACACAAACACCATGGAGTCTAAGGACCGCAAGCTGTCGGATTCTTACAAGAACCACCCCTAAATCAAGAAACCTTGAATTTAGATACTCTACTCCCAAGAACGAGTAAGCACTCACTGTCCTTTTGGGGGTCCTGATAGAGAAACAAATGCAAAAACTCAAACATCATCCAAATTCAAGAGCCTGAAGACGGAAAGGGTCACACATGCTAGAGGAACTTGGCATTTAGGACTTAAGTGCTTAAGTTAAGGATTAGGGATTAGAGTCTCAGCTTTGATCGTTGGGGTTTGGGCGTTTATTCTGCTCCAGGCATCCTGGCGAGAATTTTGGCTTTAGAGTCTAAAGTTTATTATGCTTTCAACCCCTAAACCTAGGGAAACCCTAAGCCCTAAACCCCAAGCCCTAATAACCGTATGCCCTAAAACCTATAAGCCCTAAACCTCAAACCCCAACGAGCCTTGGCTTGCCGACGAGCTTCAGGCACAGCGGACAGCCTAGGGTCATTGGTATATATGAGTGGTTGTCAAAATTATGGTCCCTTTGTGGGTCCTTAACATAATACGGCGCCTAATATTTAGGGCACCCGAAAAGGGACCCTAATTTGGACAACCACCCATATATAGGGATGGCATTAGGGTTTCCCTATACAAGGGAGGTTGGGGGACCCTGGGGCAGACAAGTAGACCCTGAACTCGGGTTTAGGGTTTAGGGTTGAGGGTTTAGGGTTTGGGGATTAGGAGCCCTGAACCTTACACCCCAATCCCTGACTCAAACGAGAAGCTACAGCTGGAGTTAAAACGAGGTCTAATGAAAAAGAGGCCGGGGAGTTTAACACCTCCGGAGGCTCTTAAGTATCGGAGTGTGTATAAGCCCCAAACCTAACCCTACACCCTAAACCCCTAAACTGTGACCTTGACCTAACATGTCGGACATGTGGGTTGTTAGGGATTAGTGGTTGGGTCTAATTTGGGACTTGTTTGGTGGTAGGGGTGGAGGCATCACGACTGCAGCCCACATCGCAATCCCGGCGCAGCGGCAACCGCCAAACCCCCGCGCCTTCCCTAAAACCCAAACCCTAAACCCTTAAACCCTAAACCCTTAAAACCTCAAACCCTCAAACCCTAAACCCTTGAACCCTAAACCCCAAACCCTAAACCCTCAACCGTCGGAGGAACCATCCAAGACCCCGCTCGACATGACGAGGAGCAAACCCAGCCGCTGCTGCCTGCTCTCCACGCTGGTGGCCACCTGGTGTTCACAGGGTCTGGCAGGGTGTTTCCTACTGAAATACAAGCTAACTGTGTTCTACAATCTCTAAACTAACGTAGGGATTTGCAAGGGAGTTGGATACTAATCTTTAAACTAGCGTAGGGATTTTGCAAGGGAGTTGGATCCTACACCCCCAACACCCTTATCCCAGAACCATGCAGCCTCAATCCCAGAACTACCCAGACCCCCCAAAAGATCCAACAAGTAGAACCCTTAATGGCGGTTCCTACAAAGTACCCTTAGTAGTATAGGGCCCCAAATTAGGGGGTCTACTTTCTAGATCCTCCCGGGGGTCTGGGTATACACCCTAAATCCCAAATCCTGAAGAGGCAATCCGACGAGTTGCGACTCGGTCCAAGAACAGACACAGTAAACCCGATGAGAACCCAGGCAAGGATCGCCCCCTAACGCTTTAACCCTCATCCCTGGGGTTTAGGGTTTTGGGTTTTGCGCCTTAACCCTCATTACTAACTCAGAGGCTCCATCAGATTCTTACTATGGTTTGTGGGACCTAATTCCATAGTGGTACTATATATGGAGCCTCCAGGTAACAAACCTTACTGAGGTACGGTATAGAACAACATTATTACCAAACCCTTGGTTAATGAGGTCTGGGATCAGCGACCAGGCGCGGGGGCTCATGTTTGATAGCTCAGCGTGGCCTCAATGACCTTGCTCCAGTGCTTGTCGTAGCAATGCTGGCACATGTCCTGATGCAGAGTGCCCCGGGCTGGCACGTAGTTTACGGTGTAGGGTTGAGCTCAGGGCTCACAGGATTAAGGCTCAATGCGCCTAGTAATCTAGTAATCGGCAGTTGGACGGCTACATTTCGCACGAAAGATTGAGAGCGCCTCTTGTCCGGACCTTGTTTACGCCCCAGCCCTGCGAAGACCAGCTCCCATGATCGTATAACTGAGGAACATGTTGCCATAGCAGCCTGGTTCCGGGTTTAGGTCTACAGGACTCTCGGGTTTAGGGTTTACCTGTAGAGTCCGCTGTGGGTTGACTTATTGCCTTTTCAAGTCCTTTTTTATCGAACAGAAAGGAACTACGATGGAGACTATCGACAGGGTTGGATGCGCGTGGTAAGCCGGTCGTCCAACAGACAGCAAAAGAAACCCGGTCCCACTCGCAGTGGTATAGACATCGCCACCGGAACCTGGGCCGAATCTTTTTCGATCTAAGGGAGAGAGGGTCTCCTAAACTTGCTATGATGAGTGGCATCCTAGACGGTTGATGATTATCTGGGCCCGGACTAAACCCTAAACCCTATGCACGGTCTTTCACGGCATCCCTTCATCTCGGAAACTGCCACTTAAGCCTGGCATCGACATCCCAAAGTGTCCAATCCTCCGTTGACTGGGTTTGAGGTTTAGCAAGGGTTTAGGGTTTAGGGGTTTAGGGTTTAGGGGTTGGCGTTTGAGGTTTAGCAGGTGTTTAGGAACCAGATGTTTTTAGGATTTAGGGTTTAGGGTCTACGGTTTAGCTACGGCAGGCTCAGAGCACCCGCAAAACTATAGATCCTTGTATCCTACGATACTATATCTCCATGATTTAGGGTTTAGGGTCTAGGGCGGTCCATGATCCGCCCTTGCTCAAAGCATATAGCCTTAACAAGGCCTCGCATGTCCTGTGGCGCGAGCATCCAAAAGAACAGAACATAAGGCTGACGTCTATAAGAACTACTACGAAGGAAGGCCGATGTTATGGCGAAGGCTCCTCTCTACTTAGAGGATCATGGGACTTAGTAAGTGGTTATAATTGGGGTTATAAGTCCCCCGAGTGGGGTTATCCTAGTTATAACCTACTTGAAAACCTTACTTACTAAGTCCCATGAGCCCTCAAGTAGCTTTGCAAAACCCTACGTCGACTCTTTAACCCAGATCTCTGGGTTCCTGTATGTTCTCAAGACTTTTTAGGAGAGCCTACAAGAGGGGCCTTGATAATTAGAATACGGTTTTGGGGCCCATGGTACTAAACATATTTCAGCCCCTATATTACCCAACCCTAAGCCCTATAGCAGAGCATCAAGGCCTGGAGGACTTTATCACGACGTCACTTAGTTGTAAGCATGAAACCTGTCCCACCCCTATAAACCCTAAACGCCGCTAATCCAAAGTCTTGTTCTCGGCTTAGAAGCTCGTTCCGTTGCAGCAGGACGCCGCACAGACCACACTTGTGCACACCTGCTCCGAGCAGATTTAGGGCGTGAGGTTGCGAACCTTAAACCCTAATATACCCCAAACCCCTAAACGCTAAACCCCTGCACCCCTAAACCCTAAGTTTAGGATTTTGGGTTCAGGGCGTGCGGGTGCCAAGGAATGGCCTGTAGAAATGCATGCAAACGCAAGCACGGTCTGTGCCAGGGGATCTGGGTCATGGAGTACATACGTGTTTTTCTCTTCTTTTAAGCGCCTTTTTCCATCTGCAGAGAGTGTCTCTACGAAGGAAGCCCTGGGTTTAGGGGTTTAGAGTTTAGGGGTTTAGAGTTCTTGGTTTAAGGGTCGTGGAGTACATAGGGTTGGGGGGTGCGAGTATGGGGGGTATAGGGTTTCAGGACTTAAGAGAACCCCCTGAACCCGAAAACCTCAACCTCTATCCCCGGGGTTCCCACATCTCGCCTCGGACTTGCCATGCCTTGAGCTTCTTACCTGAGCTTCCAGGATCCCAGGCTAAGGGTTTTAGGGTTTAGGGTTTAAGGAGTTTAGGATGTAGGGGGTTTAGGGTTTAGGGTTTAAGTGGCTTAGGGTTCAGGGTTTAGGGTAGGCTAAGAATTGTGTAAGGTTTAGGGGTGTTGGGCTTATAAAGCTTGTAGAGATTAGGGCTTGAGGGTTCGGGCCTTGGGGTTTTGGGATAGCTTATGGGGCTTGTAGGGGTTAGGCTACACGGTTTAGGGGTTTAGGGTTGTAGGGCTTGGGGTTTAGGGCTTCCAGGTTGAACCCTAAATCCTTGATCCTAGACCCTAACCAATTATTGGGCTGCTAGGGTCCAGGGAGTAGCTGTTAATAAACTACGCATGCGCAGGTTTGATGGTCATACTTCGAAAAAGGGTTTTTGAGTACAGTGTAGTATCAGTACTCACCAACCCTGAGCCCATAACATAATTTGGAGTTCATGGATGGTTGCTGTAGTCTGGATGTCTTTTCATTTTCAGGTACCATTTCTGTGCTCTGTTCAAGTACATATTATGTTTCTGCACGAAAACCACCATGGCAACAACTAGGGTTTTGGATTGCGGGCTTCTAAGCCACAATTCAGACTTCATCTACATTATCGGAGTCAACTTTGAAGCCGGGTGCTGGATTCTGTGACTGTGGGTGGAGATCTCCACGTATGAAGCGCTACTTGGAGGATCATGGGACTTAGTACGTATGGTTATAAGTACCTTACGTGGGGTTATAAGGAATTATAAGTATAGTTACCTTAGTTATAACCCTAGTTACTAAGTCCCATGACCCTCTAAGTAGACCCTCTAACCTAAAATCGCAAACCCTCAATCCCTGACAACCGCCCACACTGAATCCAGATAGAGAAGCTTTGCACCCGGGTGTCGATCCTAAACCCTAAACCTCTAAACCTCTAAGCCCTAAACCCTCCACCCCCAAACCTTAATCCAGGCCTCGTCGACCCCAACCCCTACGCCCTGGAAGCCCCAGACCGTCCCCTAAAACCCTAGACCCTCAATCTCCTCACCTAAACCACAGTAACTACCTCAACCTAGACCTTACACATAGGCTCCATAGTAGTTCCTTGTTGGGATTCCTTACAGGATTCTAAGTATGAAGCACAAACAGGGAACTACTATGGAGCCCCGGTGTAAACCGTAGCTCACCCTAAGGCTCCATGTACCCATATAGTATATATACTTAGGCCTTAAAGTGCCTATATAGGGACCCCTTTAAGGCTTAAGTATCTACTATAAAGGGTACATGGAGCCTTCAGCCCTCGGTCCTAACCCCTATGGTACCCTTATAGGAACCCTAGGATCCCGTACAGGAGCCCTTGAAGGAACCCTAAGGATACATGGAGCCTTTGGCTCAAAGGAGCACTTGGTCAAGGGATGGAAGTTGATGCAGCGTGGAATGGGATCTCGAGCGACCTCGCGGGTTGGTGCTTAGGGTCTAGGGTATAGGGGTTTAGGGGTTTAGGGGGCTCTCTTAAAGGAACTGCAAGGGCTCCAATAAGGGATGATCTGTATAAGCGTACTCTATGGGGAGGGGTTTAAGGTTCAGGATTTAGGGGTTTAGCAATTTGGGGTTTAAGGTTTACTGCAAAGGGTGTGCTCCGGTTTTGAGGCTTGTTATAGGAATGTGTAGGGCACCAAAAAAGCACATAAGCAAACATTAGGATAGGGATATCCCATATAAACCCCCTTACAACGAAGCCCAATAAGGCAGGGATATCCCCATAAAATGCTTATGCTTATGTGCTTTCTGGGCCCCCAAACTAACGCTTTCAGACCTTTCATGGTTTCGGGGCTTAGAGGTTCTGGGTATCAAAGGGTAAAAGGAGGGACCCCTAATAAGGACCCCTAGGCATATACCCATTATATAGCCCATTATAGGGTAGGGGTCCCCATTAAGGCTCCCCTTTGAGGGTAACGAGCGATCAAGGCTTCTGTAAGCTCAGCCTTTGCTTCTCGCAGCTTTCACAAAGGTTAAGCGTTCGGGGTACAGTAGAAGCCAGAAAGTTGGAATATCATTATCGTAACCCCTTTAAGGTAAATTCTAGGGGATCCTACCATTAATCCATATTCCAACTTTCTGGAGTTCCCTTTATGGGCATGCTGAGATATGGGTAGTTGTCAAAATTAATGTCCCTTTTTGGGTACCCTAAATATTCGGTGCCGTATCATAGTAGGGACCCAGAAAGGGACCATAATTTTGACAACCACACATATCCTAAGCCCTGAGGCCATGTAACCTAAACCTCCTAAACCCCTCAACCCTCAAACCCTCCAGACCACAAAACCCTTTAAACCCTCTAAACCCTCAACTCTCAACCCTAAACCAGCTAAATCCTTAAACCCTCTAGATCACAAAACCCTTTAAAATCTCTGGACCCTCAACTCTCAACCCTAAACCCACTAAATCCCTGAACCCTCTACGGCTTTAGGTTGCAAGGCCCTTCACTTACTACCCCAATAAGCCACAGAAATAAAAGGTTAAACTCTCCGACTCCTACTGAACTATAAGAACCCGAAAAGTTAAAAGGTTAGGTCAGGTACTGGGGATCAAAAATTAAGGGTTCTATGATAACCCACCAAAGATTGCTTTAAAAAGTACACCCCCTTCCTAGAATTTACACCTTGCATTGACACCCGCGAGTCACCTGTAACACCAAGTCTGGCCTGATCAAACAGAATATTCAACATACCAATTGCAATTCCCATTGATCTTAAGTGGATTACGTGCCCTTAACCCTAAACCGACCCTAAACCCTAATAAACCCTGAACCCTAAACATACCATGTCATGACCGCTCTCGATGCGATTCCTGTCGGTGTGGGCATGGCCTGCTTTAGGGTTTAGGGTTCATTTTCTGCGTATGATGGCGTTGTTCTTGCGCTGGTTCTTCTTGCCAACGTGCATGCGTCTGTTGCAAGCGCCTACAGGGAACTCCAGAAAGTTGGAATATGGTTTCATGGTAGGATACCCTATAATTCCATAGACGGGTTAGGATAATCATATCCCAACTTTCTGGCTTGTACTATACCTTATTGCAACAGCGCACAACCGCAGCGAAGTGCTTGGCATGCTACTTGCCATCGTTGCTAAACGATCCCAAAGGGTCCAAAGTACTGTAATGGGGGATACTTCCCCAAATCATAATAGTAATTCCTAATGAACCCTACATTCTGCCATAAAGGTGCTTTGGACCCTTTGGGGATAGCTTCCATTCTGGAGGTAGCGGAGGCCTCCACTGGGATGCTGCCACGGCTAAAATTCTGAGCTTCAAACGCCAACTTGCTGCTGCTGGCTGCTGCCATGGCTACGTGCCGAGTATTGAATAATACTAGGAAGCTTCTTCAGTTAGAGAACCCCTCTTATACTAGCTAAACCCTAAACCCCAGACCAAACCCTACTAAGCCCCAAACCCTAAACCCTAAACCCCTAAATCTCAAAAGCCCTGCGCCTGCTGGGCTGCTGCATCCTCGGGCGAAGGGCAGTGCGCCATTTCATGGCCGAGCCCGCTGCAAGGCTGATAAGGTCAGCTGTTCAGGGCTCCTTTAAGGGTTTAGGGTTTAGGGGGTCGAGGGCTTAGGGTATGGGGTTAAGATCCCCTAAACCCCCAGCCCGTTAAGAGTTCTATCAAGGTTCTAGCCAGGCGAAAAACGTGCCGCACAGGTTTGTTGCTTACGGGTTCTACTACGGAATTTCAGAGTTACGACAAGTTTTAAGACTCCTTTAAATTCAGGATTGTGTCAAGGGCACTTTTTCTGCTGATATTTATTGAGGGGTAGGGTTGGAGGAGTTCAGTTTCCAGGGTTTGGGTCTGGTGCTGGCAAGGATCGAGTGCAGAAGGTATAGACTTTGCCGCCAGTCTCGGCTCATGGCTTTGGGTTTTGGGCCTAACCCTAAACCCTAAAACCTAAACCGCTAAGGCTACGGAGTTGTCCGGTAAAGGTTTCGGGGCAGTGGGTTCTGCATTGAAGGCTTGAAGGTGCTTCACTGCTTTAAACGCTCTTTGGCTTCACCCTACCCTAAATCTAAAACAAGCCTAAACCCCAAACCCTGAGCCGTTGTGGTTTACCTATAGTCTCCATTGTAGTTCCTTTTTGGGGTTACCGTTTAGGATCCCTAATATAAAAGTTGTTAAACCAAAAAAAGGAACTACAATGGATACTATAGGTAAACCCTGAACCCTGAGCGGTTGTGGTTTAGAGTTTGGGTTTTGAGCCTGAGCGGTCGTGCGGCATGTGAGTATGACTTCGAAAATCTCTTGGAGCAGCGGGGGCGCAGGGCTGACTTTCTAGGGTTCCTTTAAAGGGATCTATACAGTGTTCTACTTAGAGGATCATGGGACTTAGTAACTAGGGTTATAATTAAGGTAACTCTACCTATAACTACTTATATCCCCACTTAGGGTACTTATAACCTTACTTACTAAGTCAAAAGGGCCTCCAAGTAGGGTTTAGGCTTTGAGGTTCAGGGCTCGGGGCTTGCGGCTGTTGGGGTTCAGGTCTCAGGGCTGCGAGGGGCAAATAGCACAGCACTTGCCAAGGAAAGGTCCGAATCCGGAAGAACACACGGCCTAGGGTTTACGGTTTAAGGTTTAGGGTTTGAGGTTTAGGGTTTAGGGTTTGAGGTTTAGGGTTTAGGGAATCCGGAAGACAAAACTGCTGTCCTGAACCATTCCTTAAGGCATGTCGTATATACTTAGGCCTGAATGTGAGAGTTCCTTTATGGGTCTTTGAAGGCTAAAGTAAATACTGTATAGGAGCACGGACTGTTGAACGCTAAACCCTATAGAACCCGTAAAGAATCCTCGTGGCCCTATGGTACCCTTAAAGGAACCCGTAGGGTAAATGGAGCCTTAGGGTTATTAGCCCTCAGGGTTCTTGAAGAACATCGCAATGCCACACATGCTGTCTCCACGCCAATTGTCACGGGCGACCACGAACGCATTCTAGGGCTTCATGGGTTCAGTTTACGGCTTATGTGTGTGTGCGTAAACATGCATATATATATATATATAGATATACATATGTACATGTATAATGTGCATATAATATATATATATATATATATATATATATATATATACATATACATATACATACATACACACACATATATATATATATATGAGATATAATACTGTCAAAAGATGTTCTAAAGCATTGCATAACCCCGAACCCACAGACCCTTAGTTTCTGCTTTGTGTATAGGGCCCTAGATGGGTTTAGGTTTGGGGGATGACTGGGCCTCGCAGCCAATGGGGACGTCGGGGCTTGCGTTTGGGATTCAGGGTTTAAGGCAGGGCCCTTAAAGACTTAAGAAGGACCTAAGGAGCATAGGGTTTTCCAGTCTACCACAGCCATAACGGGAAGATACCAGTAAACATTGAGGTGTTTCATTACAGCAATTCGGCTTGAAGGTTTGGCATTCAAAGGCTTGGGGTCCTTGGGGTTTGGGGTTGAGAGATGCCGCAGCCGTCATCATAGGCACTATAGTCTCGTCATGAACATGAACAACAGGTATCAAGCGATGTGTCCTTCCATGGTCTTAGGGTTTGTCATGACATATCATCACCATCACCACCAGTGATTTAGCAACGATCATTGCTTTACCTCGGTTTCTGCCAGAGAATCAAGGCTATAAACTACCCTAAACCCTAAACCCCCAACTATAAACCTTATGGGCCCTAAACCCTAAACCCTTATGGGCCCAGAGGTTGTAGGGAGATCTGCGCTCATGCCAGGGGCCTACGACCACTGCTACTAGCTGCGACTCCTACTCTCCAACTCTCTTACTCTCCTTCTATTACTGCTACTACTACTACTACTACCACTACCCACTACCACTACCACTACCACTACCACTACCACTACCACTACCCCACTACCACTACCACTACCACTGCCACTACCACTACCACTACCACTACCACTACCACTACCACTACCACTACCACTACCACTACCACTACTACTACTACCACTACTACTACTACTACTACTACTACTACTACTACTACTACTACTACTACTACTACTACTACTACTATTACTACTACTACTACACGACGACGACTTCTCCTACTACTGCTTCTACGACCACGATTAGCATTCCGTCTGCGACTGCTGCCACTGCTACTCATAGCCCAAGCCGTACGCCTGCAGCGCGCCAGGAGACCAAGGGCAGCGGCACCGCATGCAGCCAACAGCAGGTCGTCGACCAGCGCAACCATAGGGCCCCAAAGAAGCCCAATATGGTAGGGATATCCCCATAAAATGCTTATGCTTGTGTGTTTTTTGGGTCCCTAAAACCATGGATCGAGAGTTGCTTTGTCGGCTTGAAGCTAAAACTTAGGCGGATCATGGGCGAGCGTATGGGGAAAGGGCTCATGGGCCTGTGATGGGATCTACTATGTTACACAAGGTGTACCGGACTTAATTATGGACCTTGCAGGTTTTGGGGTCGAGGCTATTACGTACCTTTGGTTAGTAGGGAATGGAGGAATGGGGTACAGCTATTACTACTATGACTACCATTCTTCCATTCCCTACTAACAAAAGGTAAGGCCTTCGACTTGAGTCTTCGGGGAAAGCAGCAGAGCCTGACATACCAAAGACTTAGAAGCAAAAGCCGTAAACTCTGAACTCGATATAAAGCCCAAAGCCTAATACCCCGAAACCCTGAAACCTGGACCATATAACCCTAAATCCTGAAGTGCTACAAACCTGCAGCCCTCAGCCGAACGAAACCTGCTACAGGGGCGAAAATAGTTGGCATAGGTTTGGGGGGTAGCTTTCTTTTCAAGCGCTATTGTAAGGAAACCTCTGGAATCATAGCAAAAATCATTCAACCCCCTCTACATTTTTGTGGTGGCCTGGCCGCGGGGTTTGGGTTGGTCAGGGTCACTGTCCTCAAGCATTCAAGGGTCCGGTTCGAAAGCTTGGAAGCAATAGTATGGATGGGCTTCAGCCATTTAGAGGTACCCAATAGAAGAGTTCTTAGGATAAGGACCCTGGTACTTAGGCTATGCTTGGACTCCTGGTACGGCCATCGTTGTGGATTCGTGGTGAAGGAAACTTCGATCGTGGTTATCACTATGACCTTATGTGATGTTTCAGCAGCACCATCATCTCCTACATCACCATCACCATCTTCTTCTTAAGATCTCATCACCATCAGCTATCACTGTGGTACATACAAATAATATGCCGTTCTTGCTTGGGTTTCAATTTACCCGAGTGGATTCGCATATGCCAGTAATAGGGCTAGCTCCTTACCATACAACAATAGGGCCAGTATGCTTTTGTGTTTCCAATCACATGGATTATTCAGCAAATGTTCGATGTCAAAATATCGAGTTTTGGTGATCAAGAAAATCTAGCAAGGTGGCGGCAGTGTTTGACAATAAATGATTGGATGTCTTGACTTGGATCCTTGGCTTCAGGAATTTATGTAATGAGCTGTCCTCAGCAAGTTCAGAACGGCATCTCTGCAGAATCCTGCCAGTTGTGAGGGTTTCCATGAGGTTTCGAAACGCTGGGGGTATAGGAACATGTAGCTTATCGGTCGCTAGGTTTGCGGTAAACACTCAGAAACTGCGAAACTCCAATGTATCTTAAGTCAGATTAAGGATCACTGGAGGGTTCAGGGATTTTTGGCCTTTGGGGTTGAGGGTTTAGGGTTCGGGGGATATAACCCTAGGGTTTTTGGGCTCCAGATACGTAAATAGTAGGTTACTAACCACATATTAAGTACCCCAGAAACTTATTACTTAGGTAACAGGAGTTTTGTGGTAGGGTTTTGAGGTTTCTGGGTCACTGAGGCATCCACGAGCTTTGACAAGCTTCCGACGGACTCGGGCACCTCCTGGCTGCTCTCTCAACTATCGGGTTTCCTTTGAAGGTTCCTTTACGGGTTCCTGTAGGGTTCAGGGTCAAGGAAGCGAATTTTAAGTGGCAAAGCATGTGCACTGAAGGGAGTCGAGTTTGAGGGTTTCGCGATTTAGGCTGTAACGGTTCAGGGGCAACAAGGAGGGTGCTCAAATTTATGAGCATTAAAGATGTACTTTACTTAAGTAGCCTTCCTCATCATCCTCAAAGCGTTCTGCCATTTAGGGACCTAAAGCCGTCCAGCCCCAAACGCTGAACAATGAACCATGAACCCCGAACCCTAGACCCTAAACCGCAAACAATCAACCCTGAACCCTAAATATCTCACAAAGTCTTGAACCTGTGGTTTCGGGTTTAGGATGTTGGAAGCCTTCACGGTTTTCCAGAGGTCATTTTATGGAGGTTTAACGGTGGCCACGAGTAAATAAGCAATTCTAAGCCCTGGCTGGGGCTTTAAACATATTCTGTTGGCTAGAAGGTATAAGCTTCCAAACGGGATTAGGGCTTTTAAACCCTAAACCCTTCACCCTAAACCTAACCCTAAACCGTAAACCCCTAAACCCTGAACCCTCAGCCCATAACCCCTGCACCCTAGATCCCTTAAAGG